TAATGTATACTAAATACTTTTTTTTCGAATATGAAAAGTATACGTAAAAATGAAATAAAAAATACCTAACCCACATAAAAATATGATCAGCTGTTTACAAAACGTATTTCGGGCGCGTATGTAGGTATGCTTCTCGGCTCTACGCTGTACATTTTGTACTCGTATTTTAAACTTTGAAATAAATAGCACCATATATAACACCTTTTAAACCCCTAATATATTTCTTTATAAGTTTTCAAAACTAATCCATTTACACTCTGTATCATATGTATCAATGACATCAGTTGCACGTGCGGTTTGCAAGTGTCACCTGCGTAAAGTATCGCTCCGTTTTATTCCGAACTTCCACCCACTCCGTCACGGCCATTCTCGTCACAATCGAACGTCCCCCGGCGAGTTCCAGACTTGCCTCATTCTGATTGAATCATAATTTCATGCAAATAATATGAAAAAAAAACAGTCAGGTATAAACATCCATTATCTAAAAAAATACCTTTTATAATTTTAAAATGTATTCCAATAAAATAAGGTTATCGTAGTTATACGAAACTGCAATATTTAAATAATTTAAATTTAGGAAAAATAATATTACGACATAGGAGAAATAACATAATGAATGTTTCTTATTAAGGTTCATAAAAATTTCACAGAAAAGTGTAAAGTCAAAAATCATTTATTCATGTAGGTAACTGTGAACTTATGTTCACTTATGAACGTCACAAAATAATTAAAGAATCTACATTTACTACCAGTTCTCAAATCAAGGGTGTAGAACGAACGAGAAGAACTGGCAATAAACTCGCCGGCAACCCCTTTAACGCTAAGTTTTATTTTACATTCTTGATTTACTTATGTGCACTACATATTTTTCCTTGTAAGAGCGGGTTCCTCCACACCCCAAGCATTTTTATCATTTAAATATTGATTAACGTCATAATAACCCTTTTCAAGCAGTTTTTGTTTTACATACGATTGAAACTTATTTAATGAGTGTGCTTGCACTTCGCTGGGGATTTTATTAAAGTATCGTTTGCAGTTGAAAAGAACTACTACTTTTATGGAGCCTTTTGTTTGGTAAACTTATTTTGTCCTTATTGCGTGTATTGTACTGATGAAAGCTGCCGTTTGTTTTAAAAGTATCTACGTTTTTCCTCACATACAAAACATTTTCATAGATATATTGACTTGCCAACGTTAGGATATTCAATGCTTTAAACTTATTTCGAACAGACTCTCGTGGGGAAAGACCAAAAATCGATCAAATAGCTCGTTTCTGCAAAACAAATATAGGATGCGTTGCCCCACAAAAGGATACCATAAGACATTACACTATGGAAGTAACTAAAGTGGACAAGCTTGGCTGTATTTTTATCAGTAAGCTGTCGTATCTTCTTTACAGCAAACGATGCAGAGCTGAGTTTAGTTGAAAGATTTTGAATGTGTGGACCACACACTGTAGTTTACAATCGAGAATTATACCCAAAGACACAGCATTTTCGACAAAACCTATTTCGTCATCTATTATTTTTATACTATCATTTCTACTGCATTCGTTCGTTGTTACAAACTTAAGGCATTTAGTCTTCTTTTCATTTATCAAAAGATTATTTGTGTTAAACCAATGAACAACTGGAAATAGCACTGTTTACATTGTCCATTGATACATTTTGTCATTTAACATTAAATAAAAGTGAAGTATCATCAGCAAACAGTACTATTTCGTAAAGCTCATTAACATAAGATGGCAAATCATTAATATAGATAAGAAATAGGAATGGTCCAAGTATAGACCCCTGTGGTACGCCCATTGTTACAGACGATCCTGCGGAGATAGCATTATTTACATGAACTTTTTTAATATTACCATCTAGATATGATTTCATCATTTTCAACGCCGTTCCATCAACTCCATAATGTTGAAGCTTTTTGGCTAGAGTATGGTGATGGACGCAATCATAAGCTTTTGAGAGATCGCAAAAAACTCCAATGGCATTATTGGAGTTTTCCCAGGCATCCAAAATGTCGGAAATCAATCTAATACCAGCATCGATCGTGGTTCGGCCCTTTGTAAAGCCAAGTAACACCTACTACCAACTTGATTTATATCATCAGAAATAATCTCGAAACATATATTAATCATTGTAGGCAATTTAAAATGCTGATTGCTGACGCATGTGTGGCCGATACCATTGTCCGATATTAATTATTTGTTAGTCTTTATTTTTCGTTCGAATTAGGTGGCATTTATTAGTAACTACCTGTACCCGCGACTTCGTTCGCGTGGAATAGTGACTTGGGGTAGAATTTTTAATTATTTAGGCTGTTTTATTAATTTATGTTATTGCGCATTTATAGCAGCCAATCTATGTTGTAAGTGCTATTTTGCCGCAACACTCTCACCTCACATCACTCCTACTCTCACACCCACTCCTATTCCCAATTAGCCAAAGAAGAAGTCTCATTGTTCTAGCTTCAACGAATTTCCATACAAACTTTTACCCCCTTACAACCCTCTTTTCGCAATTGAAAGTATCAATGTCCTTTCTCAGGGTCTAGACCATCTGTGTACCAAATTTTATTCAAATCCGTTCAGTAGTATTCGGGTAAAAGATTAACAGACAGACAGACAGAGTTACTTTCGCATTTATAATATTAGTAAGGATAAGGATTAGTAAGGTTTATTTTAAGTTCACGTCATTTGAACACGCAACCTTTTGATCTGTTTTAATTAATTAGGCATTTATAGCGGTTTTACTGTTGAGAATTTGATAATGGCACATTTCCCATAGTGGCACAGAATGCGAAGATATTGAAACGAATTTAGAAAATAACTACAATTTGATATCTTTAAAGCGTCAATATACGAAAGTTAACGACGAAGTCTTCTCGCGAAATTTCACGATCGTTGGGCAAAAGCCGCATGTATTGAAAAGAAAAAAGCGTGTTCCTTCGATATGAAATCGTCGTGGTTAGATAGGTACTGAATTTAAATGTAACCCAGGTACTTCGAGGGAGCGCGATAGACCATCGACGTCTTATGATATTTTGTGGTTTTTTTTTCGACCGCAGGACTCGTGGCCAATTGCATGTTACTCTACGGAATAATTTATATATTTATTAACTAATTAAAACTAAAACTATTACCAAAAAATTTAAGAAACAAATAATTACTCGTTTTTCTCTCTATATTATATAACTTGAATTTGAAATTCAGTTTTTTATGTGATTTCTGGAGAATTTTTAAGTTAAAAATATATCCTTAAATCTGGTGAAATTTCGGACTAAAACTAGTGAAAAGGCTTTCTAAAAAGTGGCAACACTGATTAGGCAGTGCGCAAAAGTCAAACCGTCCAAAAGTAGTTCATAGTTCATACCACAAAATATGAATGACCATACGTGGCAAACCTGTGACGTTAATAAATTATATATCGATACTAAAAATAAGTTTCGAAACCACAGAATTAATTGTAATTTTTATGTGACATTTCGTGATCTAACTAATGAATAAATAATAAGTTCAACTATCATCAGACGAGAATTCGTTGTTGGTCGGTTTCAATGTTTTTGTTTACCTCGTGTTTATTTACCTTTTTTTTTAATAACGAATATATAGAATCAGGATGGCCTATATCAGAATCTGCCATGTTTCACGTGGGTCAGAAACTCGAACAAAGTCACAAATCGATTCTCGAATGATTTATATCTCCTTAACTTCACAGAATAACAAAATATAACGCTAACACTCTTTAGTTAGGCATTGATAACGATACTAAAATTAAATCAACTTAGAAACTGTTAAAGATGGCGTCGGAAGTAAGCGATACGTCGAGTACGTGGTGCTAGTAGTGGGCGATATAAATCGATACTAAAAAAATATCGATACATTACGCGATAATATCGCTTCCATCCGATATTATCGAAACGCCTAGTATCGAATTGAATATCGATATATTTCATCCGATATACCAAAAATCGAATTAATTCTAATTGCTTATTCCTTTAAATGTGCAAATGCCGTCGTTAAAATTAAAGAGATGATTTAAAAGAATCAACAGGATGAATCTACTGTGGAATCTGACTCTGACAACTCAGACAAAATTAGTCACCATAAACTGGTACAACGAAATTGGAAAACAAATAATACCAATGAAAGTCTTTCAGATGAGTTATCGCTTTATTTGAGAACTCCAGTGAGTAGATTTAACGAAAACCCATTAGAAGTGTGGGCAGCCTATAAAATACAGTTTCAAAGTTATACAATGTGGCTTTTAAATATTTAACCATGGTGGCTAGTTCAGTTCCATCTGAACGGCTTTTCTCAAAAGCCGCACAGGTTCTTACACAGCAGAGAAGCAGATTGCAAGCCAAAAGGGTCAATAAAATTTTATTTTTGCAAAGCTTAGAGAAGAAATACTGGGATTTATAAATCTTTCAATTTTGGGTCGTATGGCCATTGATTTCATTTGCATAATATATAAATAAAGTTGATTTGTTCTAGATGTTGTGACTCATATTAATAATATCAACCTTCCCTATTTAATATTAGAAACTAGTTTAATAGAGTAGGTAAGTAATTACTTACGATATTTTAAAAATATCGATATATATGTTCGATATATCGCAAAGTATCGATAGAACATTACGATATATCATATCGAAAATAATATCGATATTTTTTTAACATGAACATCACTACGTGGTGCGTTGGCGGTTCTTGATTCCGAAGTGAACAAGATGGCCGCCCCGCTTCCACCGGTGTGACGTTCCGCGAGAATGGCGGCTGACAGACAGATGACATATGTCATACTGCCATTCTGTTCCGACATCGTCGACAGCAAACGTCAAATTTCATGTGTCGCGCCGCCAAATACATTATTTTAAAGACTGGCTTCATTAATTTAATAATAAGTTAAATAAAAAGTGATGCAGTCCATTCAGTATCTATTTTCAGGTGATAAACAATATACATATTCTTTATTTTGTTTTCAGAAAATATTATAATGGAAAGAGGGGGTGAACATTCCGAAAACATTGCATCTAATGTGAATAATTGTAAAACAAGTAAGTGAGACTTATATACAAACTATCAAAACTTTCTCTGTCTGTTTCTCTCCCATAGACCAGCGTCCATGTTTCTCTTCTCACTCTCATCTACTTAAAATTTTATATAGAAATGTTTATATCAAATATTAGGCAATCAAGATATGATTTAATTCTTTTATTGTTTATAGAATAGTAGTAACTATTATATTTAGGGTATTAAATAAATCTGGTTTGGGATTTAATTGTTCTTCATATATCTTGGAAATTTTCAATATTTCATCCCATCTAATTAATACTAATGCATAATTCTTTTGCAAATGAGGAATGACCGTAAGGAGTGTTATAATTATGATTAATTTAATAAAGTTAATTCGGTTCTGCTTTTTATTAAAAGCAATTAAAATAAAACACAATATTTAAGAAAGTCAACTAAAATGTCTGTTGTAGAGTCCCATTTAAATTGTATTAAATGCTTAATAAATAATTTTATCACCCCTTTGTACCTCCCCTTTTGTATCCTCTCACTAACTCTGATTGGTCTCCTTCGAAACCTAATTTTTTAACATAGTATTGAAGAAGTATGATCTATATATGTGATGTATTAAAGTTGATTAAGAACAAAAAAAACAGGCTAGTTTATTATACTGAAAAACTCATTCACTGTTGCAGATAACACCCTCTCAGAAATGGCATCATTTGACTTTGATCGCCCCAGATGTATTTTAACTATAATTGAAAAGTTGGAAGAAGAACCTAAAATAGTTCCTGACACTAATACATCTGCCTCAAAAGGCAAGAAAAGAACTAGAAGTCATGAACTAAGTGTGGAGCAACTTAAAAACTACAATAAGATATTACACAATATACAAAACCCCTCCCAAAAAAATTATCCCATTTCTTCTAAAGAAAATAATCTGAGTTTGTCCCAGATAACACTTCCAACCAATCACACTGAGAATAATCTAGATTTAGCCACTGACAATGGTTTGATATCAGCAGAATTAGTAAACAACCATAGTGATACTATGCAAATGCACACTAGTCCTTTACATAATTTTCAAACAAATGAAAATATCAATCCCCAACTCAGCTTAAATATAGTTTCTATCCATTTATTAAAAATATTAGTGCTAGAAAATAGGCAACCTGGAATTGCTTCTCGCCCGAATATTGACTATGATAAAAAGTTAACAACTTTCCACCTTTGTTACAACAAATTCATTAAATACATACTTCCCGCGGATTATACAAATTTTAAAATCAGCCTTTTCTCAAATATCATTCGCATGGCGAAATATAAATCTATCAAATTTTGCGAAACTCGAATGTATCAGCTTATTTTAGAAATGTTTGAGTGGTGTAAAAGGAAGCAAGTAATAGAGAATGAATGCGCATCTGCCAATATGATGGCGCAAACTTATGCTTCTCCCGCATCTCATCCTGAATTATATAAATCTTTGCAAAATCCACCACCATATGAAGTCGCTGTCAATTCTCGCGGGAACAATCAATATGTTTATAATCCACCTGCACAAATGCAGCATTATGTACCCCCACAGATTTCTTATCCTTTTCCAAGTATCCCTCCACACACTTCACCTATAAATCCACCTGTGAATAGCTATTCACTGCCAATTCAAGCCCCTATTCTTAATGGACTACTTTCACAAAAATCAAGCCTATCTCCACATATACCTTGTAACACAGGAACATCAAAACGTCCTCATGATGTTGTGACAAAATTTAACAAAACTCGGGAAAAACAAAAGGAGTTTTTGTTTACATCAGGACCACCAGGCAGCGAAGACTGTACTTATGTTGACTTTGATTTGCGTAATTCAAGCAGGTCTCAAGTCAGGCTGTGGCCTGAAAACGGAATTTTAGAAAACTGTCAAACACCAATATTACCTTCAAGTAGAAGAAATTTCAATAATTCACTGAATTCTCAATACACAGAAAATGTTATTAATTCTATGGAACTTCAAAGTACGAACGAAACCACAAGATCTTCCGCATCCAGAGACAGTGGATTCATGAGTCCATTAAATTTTAATAGTGATCAAGATAATATGGTAAGATTAACATAACTTTGGTCTAAACATTAAAATATAATTCTTTCTGCAATTGGGTTTGAACGCGTTAATCTCAAGAACTACGGGTTCGAATTGAAAAATTATTTTTGTGTTGGTAAACATTTATCGAGGAAGGCTATATGTTATAAAACATCGCGCTAAGTAATAGAAGCGAATAGCGATACAGCGGGAAATGTGAACAAAACGATGGGTCTTAGATGTACGCTGCAAAAACGGTTCAAGATACCCAAAAATATGTATGATAGAATGATTCCTTTTTAAATGATTAAAAAAAAGAAATTGGATGCGCAAAATAAAGATTCTCGCGGACGAAGTCGCTGACACAGCTAGTAATTAATAAACATAATCAGTATGATGCTAGCAAGGCACGAATGCACCACCTAGTACCCATCGGCTGTCTTTGTACATTTATTCGATCAGCTCCGTTCGCGCCGACGTCTTAGCTCGATAATAATAGGACCATAGACTACTCATAACTACCTCATTATAGTTGTGCTTTATGTGTAAATTTCTTAATGTAATAGTTAAATTATATAAGGTTTTTCTTGCAGAATGCTGCATTTTCCAATGGTAATAACGAAGAAGACCAGATAATAATAACACATGTGACTTCACTTAGTAAAGACGCAGCTTTTATATCGACGGGTTCCTGCAATGTCTGCACAAACAAAACTAATAAACGATGTGTAGGATGCTACAACATCTATTATTGTTCGAGAGAGTGTCAGGTACTTGCCGAGATTTTTTTTAACCTACCAAATTTATTATTTGAGTACCGTCCCCATTATCATACTCTTAATATTTTTCAGAGTGCCGAATGGAATGTTCATAAGTTCTTGTGCTACCCGCAGTGACAGTTACAGACAAGGACCACAATATTATATATTCAAATCATCTATATTGTTCTTCAATCAGATAATTTGTGTTGTTTACAATTGGAAAATTAAAAATTCTGTTAAAAATATATTATTTTATATTATGAACAGGGTATAAGCGTTCATTGTTTCCAACAGTCCTAGTGACAATAACCAAAGACTGATCAATGTTTTGTTATAGATATACATATCTATAAAATAAATATCTATAGATAAACATTGAAAATAATTTAGTCTAATTCTGTAAGAAAATCGAGCTGATAGTAAAAGTTAGTATGCTCATAAAATTTTTGAAACATATTTTTTATAAAAATGTGTACATGTATAATTAGGTAAATAAATACTTTGATGCTAGTCGTGTGTATTATTGTAATGTAAAGCAAAGCTTAGTTATAGTTTAGGCTATAACTAAATTATTTCTAGGAAGCTTCTTGACTAAGGATTTGGATGCGAGAGAAAGAGGCATGAAGCGCTGTGAACGATGAGGACTAAAACTCCAACAAACAATTTATTGACTCCGGTACACTCCTGAGGGGATAACTCAAAAATCAGTTATCAGTTTTTAATAAAACTCGTTCGAGCCGTCCCCAGAAGTATAGTATATATATACACTATATATAACATTGTGAAACGACAATTTTTATATAAGTATACCTAAGATTATTGAAACCGGTAGTCGCGACGTCTGTTCTGATATTGTCGCTTACAATTAATGTAAAATTGATTCCGACACTCTCTTTGTAAAGGATCAAGATACCTGTGGCGGTAGCATAAGCCGCCTCACTCACAGCGCACGTCTTAACAAAAGCAGGCTGTTAAGAATATATAAGCTCAGGTGTCGAGTTAGGAGCTACGTCTTATTTTTACACTACGCATAATAATGGACTGTCATGTAAATACAAACTCTCATATTGTATGTTGAGGTATGATTTGTCATTTGCACGCACTGAGAGATCCTTCAAATTAGTGTCGTTCGTGTGCGACCGCGGTGCGTTTTTTATGAAGAAGGTACAACCTTAAATGAAATTCTATATCGCAATATAGTGAAGCTTGTTTTAGAATTCGTAAATCTTCACAATATAAAAGGTAATACAATGGCTCTCAGCGTAATCAATAGGTAGTGTGGGGTCTTTACTTAAATAAGTACATATTAATAATAAAAGATGATTCACGAAGATTCGTGTGATATATAAAAAAAACAATTTTATAATTGTATCGTGTCTTTATTTATTACTAACAGCTATAGGGATTATAATTATGTATTGATAGTAATAAATAATAGGACTTTTATCTTTAAAATTTTAAAATATAGATTGGTCAAACATTGTTTGTGTGAACAAGTGTTCAAAAGAGCAACATAACTGAGAAGAACACCCAAGAAACTAAGTCCGGCTTTTTTTAACATGTCTTATAAACTACATTACTAAATACATTGTTGTGATTTTATTAACTGAAGGAGCAATTCATATTACTGCTAGACGGTCTTGTCATTAAAGAAATCGTTCAGAAAATAATACGCCTTTTGAGACAATCAAAATTTTATAACTTTTTTCAATTTATTTATCTACTCTAATTTGAAACCTCAACTGGCAATGTATCATAAATACGAAACAATTCCCCGCAAATGAATTAGATATTTTATGGAGCCTATATTTGGGGATAGCTAGGTTATCCTTATTTTGTAAGTTTATATTATGCCTATCACTATTAATGAACCGATAGACTTGCATCCAGTTCTTTAAAAAGTCTCGGCAAATAGACTGGTACCTGTATTACCGCTATAAGCTGTGGTTAGCAATAATATATTACACAAAATATTTTATCTGTGTAGTATATAGTACATACAAAATATTATTGTATAGTATATATACACATGTATTTCTGTTTTGTCTGTTTAGATAATGAAATATTATTCGAGTTTTATATGTTATATATGAGTAAAAATAAATAATTTAAATCAAAAGTTTGCTGTTATTACGTTGTACATATTATTATGGATCGACGGAAGGAAACATGATATCTTTGAATTAAGACGTGAATTTTTAAAATGTTATTGTTTTTTGTTGTGTTTTTAAACAATATACATGTTAATCAGAGCTTAAAAAGTATTACAACAATGTTTTATGCTGCTCTATTACGTTTTATTCGAAGGCCGCTGGTTCTTGGTATCATCTTTGCATCCTCTCTAACTTACTGTATAGTGAGTTTCCTCAAAGAGGTTAGTTAGTTTTCTTGTTTAATGCTATATCCCATGCTATTTATCCAACTTAAAATCTTCATATATGATAATATAATTGTTTTCAGGGTACTAACAAAAGTATGATATATCAAGATGTTTCAATGCAACATAAACCATTTGTGTGGAGAACACTACAAGAACACAACGAAACAGTTGACATTGAGTGTAGAAACTCAGTTCAAGGAAGAGCACTAATTGTTGATGATAGAGGTAGAAAATATATACAGGAGAAATTCAATTTTGCTTTAACATAAGGCATAATATGTAGACATAAGTATAGCATTTTAATTGCAAGGGTAAACAGATGTTAAAACCCTGTTAAAATCATATTCCCTGGATTCCAACCCAGACCCACTTCAAGGCATGTGAGTGATTCCGAACATGTAAAATTTGATCCAGATTAGGAAATTCTTTACACCTATTTTGGCAACTATTGGGTCTATAATAAAAGAAACATTTTTTATAACTTCATATATCTTGATCTTCTATTTAATTTCTTGTCTCTCTCTGTCAATCTTCCATAATAATTATTGATGTCCTAGGTTATGTTTGTGAAAGGACAGGTATTGGAAAGAATGGCTGTTGTATTATCGAAGCAGAGGACACAAGTCGGTACAGCTGTCAATCTTGCAATGAAGACCACTGTTGTATTATATATGAGTATTGTGTTTCATGCTGCCTGGACCCAAAACAGGTTCGTATTAAAGAACACAAAGTTTTATTTTCTTGTATTATAGAAAGAAAAGGAAACTAATTAGGAAAATAAATAAATTATCACATCAATTTAAGACATTATATTTTCAGAGAAATATGCTCCAAGTTGTGCTGTCAAAACTAACCGTTGAAGAGCATGTTTTAGTTCATTCCCTTGCGGATGACTATGAGCTTTGTCTCACTAAATGCAGGACCAGTTCTCACAGTGTCCTTCACGAGAATTCATATAAGGATCCCGGGCATAAACATTGCTTTGGTAGTACCCCTGCAGAAACAAAAATGGAATCATAGCATCCATGCTTATGCACATTAGGAAGTGAATAAGGGAGTGCGAGACATTTAATTCTGATCTTGAACAAAACAATGAAACAATTTTTTTGTGTTAAGAAATGTTTTTGTGAGTAGAAGTGTATGAACGGTGCATTTATATTCATGCCTAGTATTTGAAATGGCCTTAATTGAAATTTTTGGTGCTCCACATACATTTTTGTTGGATTATAGGATAAGGTTAAATTTTATGTATTGTACTGTTAAAGTTTCTATATATTTAATCAAATCAAACATACGAAAACTGAAAATCAGTAATAGTCAGGGACCAAACAGTGTAGTGTTTATGGTTCTCAAACATTGCATTCATATTATATATAGTTTACAATTAGACTTTCATGTATGATACCCAACTGCTTAAATGAAATTATTAAGTTGGGTTTTATATAACACAGGTTATTTACTTAATTCTAATGGCTGCTCATATTAATATGGACAGGTATTGTTATGGAAAAAAAATATGAAATGAAAATCTGAATGTAAAGGCCTGAACAACAGATTGTTGGTAGACATATTTTCTTTATATGGATGATAACCCTTGTTAGTACGACTCTTACTTAGCTGCTACAATATTATAAAATACTAGCAGCCCGTCCCGGCTTCGCACCGGTAGACATAAATAGGTACAGATATTTAAATTATAAGCATGCTAATTAAAACGATCATGAATCACTAAATTAGAAAAAAAAGTATTGCGCGTCCTAGCTGTTAACGACCGTTGTCTATCTCGCTGTGTCAGGAGTGAGGAGTCGCTGCGAGCGCTGATACTGATACGAACGACAGTCAAGCGCCGACGCTTGACTGTCGTTCGTATACGACAGCTGCGTTCGCTGCGACGATCTTGCATTTCGTTCTGCAAGACGAACTGAACGTTCAACGCTAGATTCTCTGATCGACGATCATTTTTAGAAGAAGACTCTCCAATATGACAAACTTGTGCTAATCTCGCTTGGGAACTATTCTTAGGTATTTACTTTAAATCAGAGAAATTAAGAATAAACTAATAATAATACAAAATAAAATATTCAAGTTCCAAGAGATAATTCCGAAAAGAAATTTGACAAATATTATGCAAAGTGTGATTCCTAATACTAAACTTTTTAAGTGAAGCATAAAAATGTTAAAAAAAAAATCGAAATATTCAATGTCAGTCGCGCCCACTGCGTAAGGAACCCACTGCCCCTCTATCGTTGAATCATTAGGTATTGAGACAGTCTTGAATATTAAATTATTTATTTGGATAAAAAATTATAAACGGTATAGATAACACGGTCTGATTTTGATTGGCATTTCTATTAATTTGTTAAATGTAAAAAAGTAGTTATAGCAACGTAACTACAATAGTTAGACATATTCTCCCGCGATGTTTTTTGTAGATATTAATATATTCTATAATATTATCGAACATTTTTTTGTCCTATCATTAATACTTTTCGCAGCGTATGTGAAGAAACAATTTTTTTTACGCCTTCCGTTGGTTTTATTAAGAATTTCTATAGATGCCTATAGTAATCAAGTACTAAATATAGCCTATGTTGCTCAGTGATAATGTAGCTTTTTAATGAAAAAATAATTATTCAAATCGGTCAAGTTTTTTTTGAGTTTATCCATTACATACAAAAATACAAATCTTTCCACTTTATAATATGTATTAGTATAGATAAGGCCTAGACTTTCATAGAAGTCGTTTGTAAATATATCATGGTTTAATTTTAGATTAGTTATTGAGTCGCTATGAGTTTGAGAATCCTTATTATCGTACCTACGTTACTTTACGTCATGGTTTGTAACTACGCCTCATTATCTAAAAAAAAGTGATACTACGTCTATAAATGTAATGCTATAACGTGATTGTGTGTTGTAATATTGATTATTGTAGTCGAAGATGTAAAATGGTTATGTTTAAATTTTTCAGTCAGATTCCGTGTATGTTAAAAAATTGCATTTGGTTGGCGGTAGTGGAGTGGTAGGTGCAGTGCAGCGGCCGGCAAAATAGGCATTGATAGACGAACGCGTGAATGTCGGTAGAGACACACATGCGTAAGTCCATCAAAAATGCAATCTAATTATTACAATTCAGAACTTGACCAATGACGAAGTTGACTAATAAATAATAACAATAGCTTTTTACGCGTCAAATGTTTTTTTATCAAACAGCTTTTGTGTGCAAGCTAGTTCGAAATTTAAAAATAAACCTTTGACAAGTTACCTCTTTGGTCGCTATATTCTAAGTTGAAGATCGTTCCGTTTTTAAATAGTACGATATATACTATCTAATATTATCAGATAGTAATTTTTTGAGCGCAAAACGACACTATCTACTGTTATATGCATTTTCATACAACTGTCACCGCTGCTCCACCAGTATAGCAAGTTCGATTTATCTCGAAGAAAGTTGTCAAAAATAATGCCCAAATTTGTTTGAGAAAAAGTACTTTGTTTAAATAAAACGGTTTAAAACGCGATATAGCCGCTTGGTCGCTATGGTCACGGGGAGTGTCCCTGTGACCACGGCGGCGCAATACATCCGAAACGTCGGGCCGAAGTTAAAAATAATTTTCAAATAAGTAACTAATATATCGCGTTTTAAACCGTTAAAGTGTTTTATTTAAATGTGTATAGAGAGTATTTAAGTACTTTGTTAATAAAAATTGTGTAAGAATCTCACAAGAGGCGTCGAGTATTTCGTTTCTTGGAAAGTCGGCGCTTGAATGAATAAGCTTTGGGACACAATGTTTTGTAATGTATTATTCTCCGAATCATGGCAAACAGAACGTTTTCTTAGTATCGATGTAACATAGTAAGTTTATTTTTGGATATGCGCTTAAGCAATAAAAATTGCACGTAGTGTTAATTGTCCGTTATATTGTTTGCGAAGATGAACTTATTATTGTATACATTTTTGATGTTTAATGAAATTTATAGCATACATCGGAATTGGGTTATCGTGACGTAAATTCAATGAAAAATTGGCGACACAGGCAAAACGCGAACTAAGTTAAGCGATTTTATTTATTTATCGTAAAATTGCGTAGGGTCCCGCCTCGTGTCTAAACGCTTAAATAAATTGCGATAAGTGGGAGATGTCCTGAGTTTACATTCCGGGAATTTCGGCCGGATGTAAATAAAATCAACCAATAAAACATCTGTATCAATTAGGAGTAATCACTACGATGTTTGTACTTAATTATGATATTAAGTGTTCTAATGTTGTCATAGTAAAGATTACCTAATCCGGTTACGAACGCAGCATTGGCCCTCAATGATCTTCGGCGCCGCCCTGACCTCTGAAGGTGAAGGCTATTTGCAAAACAAACTTTTGAAACAACGAATGTAGAACAAACAGGACATTATTATGCTTATCACATACGGAAGAAAATCAGTTTCAATCTTTTTCCATTGGGCTATTTCATATAACAATTCAATTACTACACTAATATATAAAGCTGAAGAGTTTGTTTGTTTGTTTGAACGCGCTAATCACAGGAACTACGATTTCGAATTGAAAAAATATTTTTGTGTTGGTTAGAGCATTTATCGAGAAAGGCTATAAAATCGCCATATCACTAATACAAGCGAAGATACAGCGAGAGATGTGACAAAAATTGGGAAGATTATTCATTATTATGGGTTTCCGAGGCGTACGCTGCAAAAACGGTTCAAAATATCCAAGAAATATGTACGAAAGCATGATTGCTTCTGAAGTGCCCTAAAAATAGTACGCGATGCTATTTGTCTACCTTTTAAGATTAACTTGCAAGAACGACGGACAGGGACGCTACCGACCCGAAAGTCGTGGGTTAGATTAGATTTAAAAAAGGGTTTGCAAAAATGAATTTGCTCAAAATAACGATTCTCGCGGACGAAATCGCTGACAGAGCTACCAAATATGGATCGAGTAATGTTTCTCTCTATTCGATTTCGAGCTTAAATTTGATCATATATTTTCGACAACTAATTTATTAAAGTCGCTTCAATTCAAGCTCCAGTCGTGTACAGAGAAAACCATTAACCATCTTCTTGTCTTTGCAGTCGGGTCGAAGAATATCGATTAAACGAACCACGACTGCCTACACGTTGACATAATTATTGTAATTACATCAATCGAACTCGCAATTGAAACTTAATAGACATAATGGAAATCATATACCAAGTTTTTAATAAATGTAACAGTGTAAATAAATTTATTTTTATACGTTAATTGTCTTTTCATTCTATATATCAAACAAGCCCATAAAATTTTGAAGAAAACAAGAGTTAAGTTTTAATGCTTTGCATTTGAAACCGTTGCAAGTGTTTTATTTAAAGGAAGATTGTAACTCGATATTATTAATTTGCTGATCAATAATCCGAGTAGCAGGTAATTTATAACCTGTATAAGCATAACGCAACGAAACGGCACGGCCTTCTAACTAAATTCTACTCCCGCGCAGTCGGTGCGCAACATTCGGTTGTCGGTGTCGTGTTCAAAAAGCATTATGATAAGGTGAGATACACACTGCTTACTCGATTTTACATAACACTTAATAGGCAATTTGAAGGGCGTATATATTTATCATTTAATTCGAACTTGGTTAATCAAGTTCATAGCGGCATCTTTGATTTGATGTCTTGAGTCATGTGAAAATAAAATGTTGTCCATTCTCGCGACGTCGTCGTTAAATTATTAGTACGTACGTTATTCGCAGCAAGTAGGGTGAATACTAAACGTTTTATCAATTCAATTAATCCCATCATTTAAATAGAGAAATTTAGTACCTTCACTTACGACTTCCTCTCTTGTACCAAATTGTTTCATCTGCATAATTATTAATTGTAACAATTTTTTTTTATTGTTTTGTATCACCCTGTCTCCATGTATACGAGTTGTAATACTTTATATAAAGGATGTATTGTTTTCTTCTGGGTCACCAATCAAAGGCTATCAGTCAATAAAATTAGCCAATGCCCCATTCAGCTTCTGCGGAGTTCTATTTATCCAAACACTATTTCGGTAACATACCCTAATGAATTACGTTTTTTCATACATAATTGTTATGATTAGGATGAGGTACTGCCTACCTCATATCAATAAATGTAAACTTGCCTTCTTCGTCGAAATCTAAACGTAAACCGCGTTAACCCTTAATATATTGTGTACGGGTTTATTTTATAAACGAATACGTTCGCGTCTTTCTTAATGATAGAGGACAGACAGGTTCTTTTGATGGAAGGTAAAACAACCCAGCCATATAACACGTCAACGAGCATCTCTGTCCACCTAATTTGGCTTTGGATATTCGGATATCCATAGTGTGAAACCGCGATTACATTTCACAGCCTTTTAATTTGTTGAGAGTTACTTATTAATTTGTTGACGTAGCACTGAAATTTTTGACATCCCTACTACCTATTTAATTTCCAGATTTTTAGGCGAAGTCCAACATGTTGTATGTGTATTTTTATAATGTAATAAATAAATAAATGTTACCATTGGTACCATCGAGTTGATTGGATTTTAACCAGAATTTTTAAATTTTCTCCAACAATGATGTTGAATCATCATATCGTAATACAACGAATTCGTAATTATTTGAAACCTGTTTTTTTATTATTATGTAGTAATTAAGGTTATCCATTCCAAAGTTTGCGTTTATCGAATTGATAGTTACGCCTTTATGAGTAGGTATTTCACATTTTAAGATTTATTCGCGACATCGTTCGCGCGGTTAACCGGTTCGGTAGAATATTATAATTTTTAAAGAATAAACGTCCTAAATCATCTTGATTTAACTTTACCTGCAGCGAATAACAAAACGTTAAACTATTGTAAGTTTTTCACTGGATTCTGATTCGACTAAGTGAAATAACATTTCGTGAGACCGAGGTGCCTCTGTCAGGGTTAAAAAATCCGATGATAAGGAGAAGCTGTAGACAGTAGCTTAGTTGGTTAGAGCTGAGGCCCGGATCACTTTTTTTAATTAAAAAGGTTATTTAAATATGTCCCATAAGTGAGCTTAACATATTGGTAAATGATCTGGATTTATAAGATTAATTTAATTACGATTCTCTCATTACGTTATTTTAAATAAGTTTATTAAATGTACATTCAAACACTCGTGCTTTATTTTGGTATAGATATTCAGGTAGTGCCAATTGATAATTTTGTAAATTTACGATATTAAATACATTTATATGGGTAGCTAAATATTCGAACTGTTTAGATAAGATATACTAAATTTTATACGAGGACACAAATTAAAGTAAGGTGATCATTCAATTCTTAAAAAATACTCCTGTATTTTGTAGAAGATCGTGTGAATTTCCGGAATTGCGAACTAGCAAGACAAATATATATCTTCAATGGGATTATCAAATGTATATATAAATAAAACACTTTGATCCGTTCAAAACGCGAAATGTATCGATTTTTTTAAATAAAACACTTAAACGGTTTAAACCGCGATATATATTAGTTAAACTTACAGCAGACGTAAGCCGAAACGTCGGGCGGAAGTTAAAAATGATTTTCAAGTAGCTTTAACTAATATATATCGCGTTTTAAACCGTTAAATTGTTTTATTTAAAGATGTACTACTCAAGTAAACTACAGACGGTATTTAGTTTAACTTTAAAAACGATTTTTACTAAGTACTGTCCGTTTTGCTTTTGAACGTTAAAAGTGTTTTTTAAATGTGCTATAATATATATATATATATATATATATATATATATTTATTTAAATGTGCACATAAACTACAGACAATATTGGAATGTACATTATCAAATTTTCTATAGTGATATTCTGATATTGTGTCAGAATGCTTATTGACTTGCAAATTTTTAGTTTTTTTTCATTACGAGCACTGGACCGTGAGATAACATAATGACCGCGAAGTAAATAAAACAACGTGAACATCCACTTGTATCGCACATTACTTTAACAATAGGTACGTTATTTTACCTAGCATACTGTTGAAAAAATGAAATCACTCGAAACTTTGTTGAACAACTTACGAATACGCTGCTCGAAAACAAAAAAAAAGGTTTTTAAAAATAATGAACATTAATAAGCCGGGTCGATCGTTTCGAAAGTTAAGGATTCGAGGCACAGGGCAATAAATTATGAGAATTACTAACTGCGTCAGCGACTTCGCCCGCGTAGACACCTAAGCGTCAAATTTTGTTTCTTCAAACGTCCTCCTCACATTTTTAAACTATACCCACGTAGTTCATGCAAGTTGATCTTAAAAGATAGATATGTATCTACTTTTGTAAAAATTTTTTAGACCATTTAAAGAGGTATAATTCTTTTTCGCAACAGAGGCAACGGAAACTCTCAAACATGAATAACTTTCCATGTTTGTCTCACTCTTCCTACCATTTCTTCACTCCTATTTGTCGAAGCCTTGAAGTGATAAGCTTAAGTGAGCCTTAAGCTTTCCTCGAAAAATACTCTAACCAACACAAAAAGATTTTTTTCAAGTCGAACCAGTAGTTCCTGAGATTAGCGCGTTTAAACAAACAAACAGATGCATCTGCTTTTTATATTTGTACAGATAAAATTTACTTAGGAATCCTCTACGAACCGAATTTATGAGAAAATTGGTGCCTTGGAATCATATAATTTTAAAAAATAAAGCTTAAGTCTTTAGTAGGTAGGTATTGCCTTCTTTCGTTGTCTACAGTGGAAGAATATAGACGATGAAAGGATATTAATAATATAATAATAATTATACAGAAAAGAAATGAGTGCATATGACATTAATCTATACTAATATTATAACTGCAAAAGTAAGTCTGTCTGTCTGTCCCGCTTTAACTCCAAAACAATAATTTACACAGAATTTTAGCGCCTGAGAAAGGGCATTCAGGTTTTAATGGAAAAAGTTAATAGGGAAAAGGGGGGAAATTTGTACGGAGTGGAGTGGGAGTTAGATAAAGTGTGAGCGGCAAAGTGCTTCTTTGCCGCTCATCACTTTGTTGCATTAAATGCGCCCATACATAAATTAATAAACAGCCTAAATAATTAAAAATTCTACCCCAAGTCCACGCGGACGAAGTCGCAGGCACAGCTATATGTCTCTATCTTATATGTGTATTAAGTTTCAATACAAAAAAGTAGTGGTCTACAGTAACGTTGACTTTAACATAATTTTCTTTGTTGTCATTTTAATTTGACTTTTTGATATGTAAAGTTTTGTTTTGTTTATAATCGATTGTTTCTGGTAGGAGCGTACGAAATTTTCGTGAAGTCTGAATATGTCTTCTATTATACTTTTAGGCATAAATAATTTAATTTACATAATTTTCTGTTGGCAATAATTATGTCGTAGCTACAGCAGGTGTTTCTTCTACAAAGAAAATAATTCTTTAAAAAAAAAATTTAGATAAATAAAAATTCACAAGACGGACGTGACTCAAACCGGCATCCACAGATTCGATTTTAACATATCATGTAATGCCATTATATGCAATAACAAGTTTTACCGTTTCCTCGAAAAGACTCGTAATAATATGTATATTACCTATTGTATTCAAATGTTAAAAAGCGTCAGATTTATGAAAATTTTGTTATTTTTGGCCACTTTAGGCAACTTGAGGCCAACGATTAGGGTCATTTTTTGCGTCCTTGGCCTGGCACAATAAGAATATTTTTTTACACATTTTTGGAAAGGATTGTAATTTGATATTCAAAACCATAAGTACCAATAATGATAGGACTTCATATCTATACTTTTTATGGCAGCTTATTTGCCACGTATAAATTATAATATTGTAGTGTTTGCAAATATTATAATGTTGGTTAACCATTATGGGATTAGGTAGTATCACTTGAATGTTGATAATTTGATAAATGATTACATTTCTAAATATTATGCAAAATGTTTTGCGTTAATTTAATGGTATGAGCACCTAACTCCCATTCGAGACATTTGAAATTCAAACCCCGATCGTGTACCAAAATGTTAATTTTAGTGTTACGTTCTCTTTGGTGAAGAACAATACCGAGAATGTTCAAATTTTGACACCAATATATAATAATACAATAAATTATCACACGACAAACTAAAACTCGAAAGCGAATTTTTATTTTATTCTATTTAGAAAGTCACCCGGCCCTGGAAATCCGGTAGGTATGTCTTAGCGTGCCCGTTGTCTTAGTAGCTTAAATTTTAAAATAATACGTAATAATAAGTTATTTAGATATTTAATAAAACAATTTCTTTAAGTACTTCTTGCGCGTGAAAGTAGCTTAAACGTCTATTTGATTATCTCGTTTGCTTCTGCATTTTCGACGTTTATTGTAATGTCAATAAAAGTTTATCTTTATTAGGCATTTGCTAAGATAAATTGAAAATCTTTGAGATTGAAAAAATTGACGTCACTTGAACAACATCTCACACCGTTCCGTGCTGCTGTTACCAATTGAGCTACCGTGTCTTCCGCGTCTAATTTCTTGAACCCTCTCGCGCACTGAAAAATACCAAAGTTTGCATATAGGAGGAGATATGAATAGGTAGTTATGTTGCCTTTATTATCTCTTTATCGTGTGACATAATAAAAAATAAATGAATGAATAGCTATGCAAATTAAAAGTAAGACATAAGTCAACAAAATAACATAAGTCTTAACTTCTAAGACATTAATTTACTTTTTATTGTTTATTTACTTCAATTGTCCGTTTACATTACGTAATAAACTGCAAAATTTGTTGTCATTTTATTGTTTACTGTCATAACGAGACATCACTTTAAAGCCTGTAATATTTTTCACATGTTATTGTATGGCATACTATCACATTTGAGATGGCATTATTATAATTATAAATCGATGAGGCAGGACTCGTACGGTAACCGTATACTATGACACGGTAGCTCAATTTGTTAAAGCACACTGTACGGAACGCTATGCTTGCCGGTTTAACAACACTGTTCTACACTTAAAAAATACGTGAACAAATTGCATGATTGGACATGACACAGTAGTTCGATTAGTAAAGAGCTTGTTACTGTTGGTCTGCCATATAGACTCTCATGTACATGTATGTAAAACATAATTCGATATTAGAACCCAAAGTTTTAAGTCTGCTAACCATATTGGCTTGAGTGGTTTCTTGATCTATCTTATGTTTGCTTTGGACGCGTGTATTTGATGCTTTTTAACGGTTTAAAATGTCGAATCAATCAGTAGGCGTGGACACATCCGGAATCACTATGTCAATAAATTTAAAACGCATGTATGTATGATCTACCTATTTATTCTAGTTCTATTATTGTTCGTACGAAAAATTTACTATACCGTCAAAATTCTCGGTGTCGATAAATCCTTTTTAATATGAATTAAAAAGAAATGTCAAATATGACATCATCGGCAAATGGCGTAAGCCATCGTAAACAGACTTTCAATTTCCTTCCAATAATTGTCTTTTAAATTCCGCTGTGTAAATCGGAAATATTTCGATCAGATTATGGTTTTAATGACGATAAGTGTTCAATTTTAAGAACACAATATCTTAAACGTGTATATAACGGTAAATATACAGTACTTCATTATTATGTATCGTATTTTAACCAGGCAATGTTCGCTTTACGTCAACTTGTAGTATCATAACGACTTGGTAGTTTTTAAAACACTTTTGAAGATTAAACATGTTTTATTTAATATATAAGATACTTTAAAATTCTAGAAGATAAATAAGAACCAGATATTATTAATTATTATATTAAAATACTTAAAATTATTTTAAAAACAGGAAAGCTCATGACTATAGTTGTATCCTACGACGTAGTATTTTAAAGATAAATGTTTCGGGACTTGTTTAAAATTCATATCCAACTAGCACATCTATAATAACTTCCTCTTTCATTTTTATTACTTTCTCATTCTAAATAGATTCTACAAAGGTCAAATTTACAATATAATCAAAAGTATATTTAATATATTATAACCTAATAGTTTGAGACACATTCCCCCAATTACGTCCCATCTTAAGACGTCATTGTGTGTGAAAGCAAAAAAGCGGTAAACATTTTAAGCACCTGAATTAGTTATCATTTGTATGTTTAGTGCGTGAACAAATAAAGCGTTCCACCTGTAATTTTTCTGGTGAACTTGACTATTAACTGATAATACTTATACTATTCCTTTTGTGTCATTGCGTTAAGTACACGTTAGCGGCATTGGGTCCAGTCTCGGGGAGGCATTGGATTGAGCAGGGCACAAAAGTTGATCAACTGCCTCTAAATATAATCTATTAGTGGATCGGACACGGAATTGTTGTGTTCGGAGGGGAATTGGGGATTTTAGGTTGGCAACAAATATTTAACTTTTTTATCGAATCCGTTTCCTTACGTAACTACTATAAGCTTCTCTACTATGATTGATTACTTTTTGCTTATAATGATGAGTGGACTTACGTGTCCTTACGTAACTACTATCAGCAACCAAATTAATAATTTAAATTAATAATTTGGATGCTGATATAGTTACAAGGACCGTAGACCACTCATCATTATAAGCAAAAAGTAATCAATCATAGTAAATACTCACATATCTATCTAATCGATCTCGTGTACAAAACGAAAGAGCAGTAAATCGACTCATATCAACGATTAGATATTTATTTTTATCGTCAGCGCTAGAAAGAGATAAGGTTAAATTTACCAACATCTTTATCGCATTTTATAAGATACTAAAAGACCATCTAAGCTAGATTTATGTCCGGTTTTACATTTGTTTATGATTAACTGGTCATTAAAGAAGGTATTCATGTAAATTATATATATATATATATATATACTGTTTGATATTGAGGCGGTTTTGTAAATTTTGCAATTGGAACGGAAACGAAAACGATATTTTCTTAATGATAAAGGTATAACACACAACAAAGAAATCATATAACAACAATAATAGAACTTCGTCACAGCGTGCGCTTATAGTGTAATTAAACAACGCTGGTAGAAACATGCACTAATGCAAAACTTAGTAAATACCCAAAAACCGAATTTACTAAGGTGGGAGTAGAACCCAAAACACGTCGGTAGGATTCCCGCCACAGCACCAAAGAATCCATGGTAATATAGGTTATTATTTTCAGGACGCGTTGCTGTATAATTAGCAGCGTGTTGGCAGCGCTGGTGGTGGGCGCGCTGGTGGCGGTGCTGGTGCTGCAGCCGTGGACCAGCCACGACCACCCGCGCTTTCCGCGTGCCGTCGTCGCTGCCAATGGTGTTGAGTGTGCTTCTGTTGGCCGGTTCGATTTTTGTTAATCAAAGCTAGCATTAGCCATTAATTGGGTTTTAATTTTCTATCTCTTATTGCTGATGAGCTTTCAGCCAATTTACTCCAACACATGCTTGATCTTACTGGCATATATGTATGACTGTAAGCTACTCTAAAAAGACTACCTCTAATCAAATAACAAGGCATTAAATTTCCAGAGGAATACTGGAAAGAAATGGATCAGCAGTGGACGCTGCAATTGCCACACTCTTCTGCGAGGGTCTAGGCTGTGCGCAATGCATGGGTCTAGGTGGCGGGTTCCTAGCCACCGTCTACGACGCATCAACGAGACGAGTTCGAGTACTGAACGCCAGGGAACGAGCTCCGATGGCAACATACCCGGACATGTTCGCGAACGCCTCCTCCCAAGTCGGTGGACTCGCGATCGCCGTGCCAGGAGAGCTGAGAGGTTACGGAGCGCTCTATCGAGAGTACGGCCGCCTGCCGTGGAAGGAGCTAGTGAAGCCGGCGGCAGACCTCGCCCGCAATGGCCACCGCGTCAGCGAATACATGGGTCGCGTGCTCAAGACGTACAGCGCCAGGATCCAAGCCGAGCCGTCCTTCAGGTGTGTTCTCAACAATTTTTCTACATACTTTGGCGATTTATACGCAATGTATAATACATTTAGCCAAGTTACGTTTGAATGTACCAATAATCATGTAGATATGTTGAAAATGACAGTTGTGTTATGAATTATATTTCGACGGGCACGTTTCTCCAAAGGTAGACTAGGTTAGTAATATGTAAATAATAATAAACGATTCGATTCGATTATCGCTAGGTCCATTTATAGTCTTTTTTAAAGAACTATCGTCTTTGTTTGGAATAAAAATTACATTAAAGAGTGATAGAGTTTTCGAAAATTCGTCTAGGTCACGAACCACTGTCCACAGATAAAAAAAACCGTAAAGTGTAAATCTGCATTTGTGTTTTATTCTGTGGATTTCCTATAGATTTTATGATATTTGAAATTATTTATTTGATGGTATATCAGCTTTCATCAAGTGAATGAATTATTTAAATAAAACACTAACGGTTTGAAACGAAAATATATATTAAACTCGTTAGTGTTTTATTTAATGTGTAGTTTGAGTATAGACACTATATACTATAGCATAGTCTGTTTTAATATATTTGCGTTTGTTCTACGCCACAGCGAAGTGTACGTGAACCCAGCGACGGGAGAAGTATGGAAGGAAGGGGATATAATCCGCGAACCGACCCTCGCTCGTACACTCGATATCATCGCCGAGGAGGGCCCGGAGGCGATACACAACGGTTCCCTGACGTCGGCGTTGGTGCGCGACATAGAGACCTTCGGTGGCATCATTACAGAAGACGACCTCAGGAACTTCAGGTATCAATCTAGCACGGGCTCGTTGGTTTGATGGTGGCAATGTATGGCTAGTAATCTACGGATCATGGATTCGATCCCTACCGTCTCCACCATATTTCTCATTTTTCCAATTTATAATTTTTCTGAAAATCTGGATAATAAATGGGTTGTAGGAAAATCGAAATTCCTTTCGGATCTCGAAAAAGCCGTCAAGTTTAATCGGATATCGGTTTGTGGATTTCCGAATGACCAAACGGACCTGCTTGGCAAAGCAACAAAGTATTCTTGGAAAACCTAATAACTGGTAATATAACGTTGATTACGCATCTAATTTCATTAACAACAGAGTTAAGCCAACTCGTTACAGTAAGTCATTACGATCGGATTGTAAGTCGCACAGTTTTATAGTGCCCCACACACATTACCCGAAAACTATACGAAATTGCTTTAATAGACGTTTGTCGCTTTATTATTCGCCTTAAAATAGCAAAGAGAAGAGAAAGAAAACAAATTCTCATTCATTTTAACCCTTTTACGTAACATACAAGATAATAATGCGTTTATGTAATTATTGCTTGTTGTTTTATTTCCAGACAATTTATTGTTATTGTTTTTATGTCACGATTAGGCTATACGTCGATACGTGACGTGTAAAGCAGTTTAATCAGTTTTTACTTTAATATGATTTAAGAGAAAGAGAAGCAATACTTAGTGTTAATATCTCTCTTGATTAGTATAGCTTAATATATATTAGCTACCCTTAACTAAGTGAAACACTATTCCTTATAACAAAATTATAATTCTTAATTTGTAATTATTCCAGGGTAGAATGGCAAGAGCCAATCGCCGTTCGCGTGTCGGACGAACACACCCTGTATTCGGTGCCGTTGCCAGGCTCCGGGTCGGTCCTCGCGTTCATCCTGAACATGCTGCGCGACTGGGTCGGCTCAGGAACGGACGCGCCGGTGAGCAGCAACCTGTACTGGCATCGCATAGTGGAGTCCTTCAAGTTCGCCTACGCTCGCCGGACAGGCCTCGGTGATCCGTCGCGTACTAATCTCTATTATAGTATTGCAGAGGTAAGCGTATATGAACAGCGATTCGACTTATCCAGCTTAGAAGAATTAAAATAATATTTAGGTACTAGCAATTACAATGGGGCTTCATCGTTCTTAATACCCCTAATCTAGGTCAAAGGAGTATTCTCAGAATTATGCTAATATATAATACGAGTGAGGTAACTTGGAAATGTGGAAAAAGCGGGGAAAATTATTAATTTCGCTGTGAAATACTGATCCCCTTTAAATGATCTAAAAACTGTCCGCGGCGCTGTATGTTTATATTTTAAGATTTACTTGCAAGAACAACGGGGAGTGACCAACGTCATGTGTAATAGGTTAAGTTTAAAAAAATGAAGAGGAGTTTTGCAAAAACAAATTTAGATGCCTAAAATTCTTCGCGGTGAAGATACGTAGATCCCAAGTAAACAATGACGTACCAAATAAATAAATCAAGTTTAAATAGTCTAGTCTGCAGTTTACTCGAGTTGATTTATTAAGAAGTACGACGTCTGCTATGCGTACTCCAAACTAAGGCAAACACAAATGGAAACTGACTAAATACCGAACAAATAACTGAAGATAATATCAGAATTAAAGATACAATATAGAAACAAATAATAATATTGTTCGTGCAAACAGGAAGGTTGGCATAGGACACAGTAAGAGTTGGATAACCCAAAGTCCCAGATAATGTGGACTGATTACCAGGCCTTCTATCAGTGTCCCCATTAGAAAATAGTGATACCTACGACGTCGTAAGTCTCACCGTGACCGCAGATGCCGCAAACCATTTGAAAAGTTGGGTCGTAGTTAAGAATAAAAGTAGTATTGTTCACGTTTTAATCCGACAAACGTATTCCGATTTTAAAGAGGTTAGAAGCCAAATTATATTTGTAAATTAATTTATCAACATTGTGATATAACATATTACTGTGTAGATTTTTTAATGATAATGAGCCAATTGTTACTATGATCCTAATGTTTAAAAATAATATCAATCTAATATATTATACAAATACTCTTGACCTGATAACCTTGTCGCATCAATCAAAGTATAATAACCGAGGATAATACTTTTATAAAAGTAGTTGTATATACAGTCGCAAATTGATCTATAATTATATTGTAAAGCACGCTTTAAAATTGCATAGATTTGGAAAATGTAGTATCAACGATATCAATAAGTATACAATAAGAAAGGATAGTGAATAATACGGTGTGCTCGCAACATCGTACATTTTTATTTTTCCAAACAACCTCCTCAGTTTAATAAATTATAGCTATTACCCACGTCGCGTCCCGTCCGCGTCGCTGTCGCATCGTTCTTCGCGAGTTAATCTTTAAAGATAGACATATACTGTTGTAGACATTTTTTATATCATTTAAAGTAGAATTATTCTTTCGGATTAGACGAGCTTCATGTTTTATAGCCTAAATCCTTCCTCGATAAATGATCCAACACAAAAATAATATTTCAAATCGAACCAGTAGCAGAAGACTGTAGTTCCTAAGACTAGCGCGTTGAAACAAACTCTCCAGCTTCATAATACCAGTAAAGATAAATGAGCTAAAAAATGTTATTAGCTATCCATATTTTTCTATAGATTTCTAGTACCTGCCCGTACTTGAAATCTCTTAGAAAAAAATCCGAACATGTCCACTACACCACTACAATAACGACGTCACACGTTTATTTTTACAATTAAGTTAAGATATATTAATTTTTGCAATAAGAGAAAATCTATTGCGTGTGGTAACTTTTACAACATGGAAGAGGCTCAAAAGCTAGACATACAATAAAAATGTACATCAGTAGCAATTTACATCAACATTCTATGCATATGAAACATCGTACTTTGTTGCAAATTACAAATTATTCATGGTAATTTTAAGTCAATGAATAATGAAATTACCATGGTAAATTCTTTACATTTTATGATCAATGTACGAGAATGTTATAGTATCTAGATGAATCAAATCAAGACTTATAAAGTTTTTTTTTAATTCCTTGAAGCAGGTGAAAATGGATCCTATAACACTGACAATAGCTTTTTCCGAAAATAAATTGAATTTTTTCATAACAAGATTGCGAATTATAATGTTTTTTTTTAAGTTGGAGCGCAATTTGTCTGCACCCGAATGGGCCGAATCTCACAGAGCAAAAGTTGATGATACGCGCACATTCTCCGACTGGCAACACTACGGTGCTATGTTCGAAGGAGCAGATGACCACGGAACAGCACAGATAGTCGTAGTTGCCCCAGACGGCAGCGCTGTATCTGCCACCAGTACTGTCAACTACATGTAGGTTCATCATATTATGTGCAGGTTTTAGGACTTAAGTAATATTTCGTTGCTAAATTAATTATTATAAAGTATGTTTAACATTATTTTATCAACTAAAGAAGCATCTATCTCAAGATTATTTGGTCCTGAGCCGGATTTTCCCAGTGACCTACAGATAGTAGGATCTTAATTCTTCTTTTGATTATGTACCTAACATATTATATTTTAGAAAACGAAATGTTGATGTTTCTTTTATTCGTAGTTGGGGATCCCAACGACGCTCCAGGAGCCTTGGCATCATCTTAAACAATGAGATGGACGACTTTGCTATACCAAATCGGGATTCTGTGTACGGCATGCCCCCTTCTCCCGCCAATATGGTTACCCCGGGGATGCAGCCGCTCAGCTCGATGACGCCAAGTATAGTCCTGAGGAACAACGACACCGTAGACCTGATTCTCGGTGCAGCTGGCGGCACAAAAATTACGACACAAGTCGCATTGGTAACGTTTGATTATATTACAAATTAAAAAACCACAAATTGTTACGGATCTGTAAATACTTACAAACTTTAAAGTTCCTAAAGTTCGTTGTAAAACGACAAACGAAATGTATTCTTTCTTATTGATTATTGCATTTAAATGAAATTGCAAGTCTTTACAGATTAACGCAACCTTAAAAACAATGAATGAAAATTCTAAAGATTTGCTTTCATTATTGGCAATTTTTTTGTCTAATTACTGGTTATCCATTATTTCCCAGTTAACAATGCACACTCTCTTGGAAAATAGCGAGTTACCTGAAGTGTTACAGAGGCCTCGTCTGCATCACCAACTTATGCCAATGGAGGTTGAGTATGAAGACTCGTTTAGCCCTGTAAGTGTTGAACTATAGTAATTTATCCTGTTGACTTAATTTTCGATAAACAAAATTTTTATACACTTTTATGGAAATAATGAGACAACATATATTATGTTTTTAATGGTTTTTTTTATGGAACCTTGGCTGATTGAAACCAACTTTGTTTTAGGACGTCATTTCATCTTTACGTGCCAGAGGTCATGTGACCACAAGCCGAGGACCCACGGCTGGATTCGCTGCAATGGTTGCGGCCATGCGCGACAGCGGCGATCAATTCGTACCGCAGACTGATCGTAGAAGAATAGGCAGCGTAGACGGTTTTTAATTTTTGTATCGGACAAATCCAAGCAATTTTGATTTTTAAACCGGATTAAGTTGACTAGCATTAAGCAATTGTCTGCCACGGAATATAACAGTTTGACATCAACGTTAATATAAATACTTCGTGACATAGAAACACCTACGGCAACATAAGATTTCTTGTTTATATTGTTTGAAATTTGGATTTGTGTTCATAACGGTATCGAGAGAAGAGAGGAGGTTGTAACTAAAATTCTGATGTAATTGTTCTCTACCTACGTAATTATATAAGGTACTTAATTGCACCTTCTTATCTCAAAATTATAACATTTAGAAGTGTTGACAGAGAAAGCAGTTGAAAAAAAAGCTTTAATACCAATAACTAAAAAATTTAAAAAATAGTTTTAAAGCTTTTTTTTTATTTACAATTATTATAATAATATTACTTTACTGTAATATTACTGCCATACTGGATTCGTTTAAATAAAATTGTTATGACAGTTATAGATTTTTATGGAATTTCTGAGACAAAATTGTTGTAATCCGATACGATGATAATGCCATTAAAGATGAAATATAACATAATCATGTTACCTAAAACTGTGATGTTAATTTTAATTTTAAATAAACGTTGAGTTTGTTAAAAGTTTTTGTATTCAACTCCACATGTCAGCTTTATGTAAACATTTGTAAAGATAAGATACCTATGTTGTTATATTGAATTTTTCCTACCACATATGATAAAACAACCAACAGGTAAAAATATATTAAGAGAAACATCTCTTAATATATTTTGTATCGTAATAAAACGCAATATATTCTTACTGGTAAGTATTTTATGGGGATAATGAGAGTAATAAATCTCTTTATTTGGCATTCATTTTGTATATTCATTAAAAGTAGTAGTAGAAATAAAAGTACTTAATTACAATAAAAAAAGAATAATACTACGACAAGATTAAATTAAATTTTAATAAAAATGATGTCAAAAGGGTCTTGCGTCAGCATAAGTGCAGCGTGGTTATGCTACAACACTGATTTTCAGCAAAACCCTACAGTTTGTCTTTTGGACAGCGCTCATACAACCATTTGATATTAGCGGGAAATATTGGTAAGTAATAAATTAATAAAAATAGCAATTATTAGCGAAAATAGGTGAAATTCTTGTGCGCAGCGGCAAAGTGTTCTGATAGTTTAATGAAAATGCTTTGTTAGCCGCTTAGTCAAAATAACGACCCGCGTTACAGCGCTGGTATGTACATACCTACCTATATCTATCTTCCCTTCCTCTTTGCAACAGTCGGCAAACTCAATTTTGCAAAATAAGTTAATATATTGTACTTTAGGCAAAGCTTTTATATATTTTGTATTGTAGGTACAACGATAATATTTGTCAGAAAGTATCTCCTTTAAAGTTCCAAAAATCTAAAATCCTGCCCGGTTCTTTAAAAATACATACAATATAATTAATTCTATTTGCTATGTGAGGACACAGATAGAAGACCGAATGATCAGCATTAGTTGCTTTTTCAGCGATTTTCAAAGACAAATTTCCCCATACAAAAATATGATTTCAAATTTTAAAATTTAAATGTCAATAAGTAATTACCGATTTTTAAGTGACATATAAATATAAAGCACGATTAAAATGTCAAAAGATGGTTTCGCGCCAAAAGTTATGACTTTGAAGTTTGACAGCAATTTATGAAAACAGAGGAGTTTTATTTTAAATGTGAAACCGAAAAAATCTTGTTTTACAAATTCAAGAAACGCAGTTACTTTAAAACAATATTTTATTTTATAAACTGTTACAAAAATTCAGGCGCTAAGTGTGATTTTTCTCTATTTTAATGCTGTAAAAGCTGCAAAATGGCTTACAATTTGTCAGAAGGATCACTCGAGGTAAAAAGTGCCGATCGTCCTACAAATGTAACTAATACAATGACATTTACATTCGATACAGCTAGAGTAAGTGAAAATACCTAAAGCATTACGTGTTTGCCTAAAAATTATATACTTACAGGTGATTATGAACGGTGGGCACTATGACAAGCCGGTTATGCAGGTGTTAGGGAGCAAAAAGATTCAAGGAAGTGGAGCAAATGAACGGTTTCGGCTACTCGTGTCGGATGGCAAGCATTCTCATAGTTTTGCAATGCTTGCAACACAACTTAATGATAAACTCATAACTGGAGAATTATCTGATTATTCCGTTGTTCAGATTGACAGATTTGTCACTTCAATTTTAAAAAACACGGGCAAGGGTGAAAAGTAAGTCCTTTTCTGTTAATGTTTTATTAATTATACATAATATAAGGAGTCCCCATTAAGGGTATTAATATTCATAATAATATAATAGCATAATTCTAAATCTTGTTATTCTATTTTCTTAAATAAAAGCCTACACCTTGTTTCTTTAACCTTATTGAAGTAATAAACTATATATTTTCTGTTTGTAGGCGAGTGATGATAATTCTAGATATAACCATAATAGCACCAGGAACACAGGTAGGAAAAAAACTTGGTAACCCAAGTACATGGACAGAAGAATCCGCACAATCAGCACCTGCCCAGGTGCCAGTAGCAAAACCAGCACCAATGCCTGCTAGACCTATGGCTAATCACAGTGCAGCTCCAGCACTGGATAGCAGTATGCTCAGTTCACAAATGACACATCCTATTGCTAGTTTGAGTCCATATCAGAATAAGTAAGATTTTTTCTATCAATTTCCATACTTCTATTTTACTATGATTCAAAATTTATTTAAATTCATTTTTTTCCAATTAATTACTATTCAAACGAAAGTAACACACATTTTTTTCTCAATAAATTAATGTAGCCTTGTTAATTTAGGTGGGTGATTAAAGCTCGTGTAATGACTAAAAGTGCAATCCGTACCTGGAGTAATGCAAAGGGCGAAGGTAAATTATTTAGTATGGATTTATGTGATGAGAGTGGAGAGATACGAGCAACAGCTTTCCGTAATGAGTGTGACAGGTTCTACGATATGATACAGGTTTGTTCTGTTATAATAAGAAACTTATTTATGTACTTCTTAGTTGTTTTTTGCCATTATAACTTAAAATTACGTTCACAGGTGGACAAAGTATACTACATAAGCCGTTGTCAACTGAAAACAGCAAATAAGCAGTATACAAGTATTAAGAATGACTATGAGATGACATTAACTCCAGATACTGTAATAGCTGAGTGTATGGAGGATGCATCTTGTGTTCCCACCATTAAATATGAATTTTTACCAATCAGTGAAATTGCTAATAAGGGTGTGGATACTATCCTTGGTGAGTATTTATCGGTTCCCTTAAACAGTTATCACTGCATCTTCATCTACTATGCTGACCAAATGCATGTTAGCAGCTGTCAAAAGTTGAATTTTTGCTTCTGTAACAAGGCAAGAATATTGTAATAAAAACTCAGCTTGTCAAATAAAATAAAAATTCATTTATTCATCTAGGTATGTACACTTATGGACATCAATATAGTTAAAATTTTGTTATAACAATATTCTCCATTAAGAAAGACTATGGACACACAACCTTGTATCAAACTCGATTCCTCATTATCAAAAGTAATATGGGCACTAGTGCAGTTCATCCCACACAGAGAGTTAATTTCAGTCAAAAGTATTATAAGTACATTAGCCTGTGATATTTCATCATGATACAGGTCATATCAGGTGTCAGTCTGCATTGCTGTGTAGCAATGTGTGTCTTCTCAAGTAAAATTTTATAAATTTTGCTATGTAACATTGTATTTTATATAATACAGATACTATTGGTGTGTGCAAAATGGCATCAGATTTGCAAGAGCTTACTGCACGCAGTACAGGAAAGCAACTAAAGAAGAGAGAAGTCACTCTAGTTGATTCGTCAGGTGGAGCTGTGAGTTTTCTCAATCTTCATTAAGAGCTGTTATCATAAGTGAAAAAATATAGGAAATCCTAGTTCATCCCGCGTCGGTCATCAACTAACCACTTGTTCTCAACAAAATTCTTTATTTTCAGATTGCATTAACTTTATGGGGTAAAGAAGCTGAATCGTTTGATGGAAATGCCAATCCTGTGATTGCTGCTAAGGTAATTTCCAACCAAGAAGAGATGGTTTGAGTTCTCAATTTAAAAATTTGATTATGTTTATTAATTTTAAAATTGTGCAATCCGTATTTTTATAAAATTGTTTAAAAAGATACAGGCTATGAGCGCCAATAACTTTTTAACGTTATTCACCCACTCAGTGCCACAGGCCAAAAAGGGACTACTACATCAGATTTTTTTTCTATTTATATATCAATTACTTTTAATTGCCATATTTATAAATATGTATTTTTTTTAAATAAATATTACAAACTAGTATTTGTCTTTAAAAGTAGAACTGTTTTTATTGTTATTAGACACTTTACTATCTTGTATATTTTAGGGTGCTCGGCTAACTGAATTCAATGGAAGTAAATCACTCTCATGCTTAGCAAGTACAATGCTACGACTCAACCCTGATTTGCCAGAAGCACACAAGCTAAGAGGATGGTATGATAACGGAGGAGCAGATATGGATGTTGTTAATATATCAGCTAGGTATTCATTATAATGTATTTATATCATTTACACATTTACAGCGACTTCGTCCGCGAGAAACGTTATTTTGGGCATCCAAATTCGTTTTTGCAAACCTCGTCATCTTTAAAAACTTAAACTGTTACCCTTGACGTCGGTCACGTCGTTGTTCTTGCGAGGTTATCTTAATAGATAGACATAAAGCGGACTTTTTTTTAGATCATTTAATAAAAAATAATTCTTTTATATATATTTTTAGAACATCTTGAACCGTTTTTTCAGCGTACGACTTGGAAATCAATAATTATGAATATTTTTCCCATTTTTTTTTTCACATTTCTCGCTATATCTTCGCTTGTATTAGTCACACGATTTTATAGCCTTTCTCAATAAATCCTCTAATCAACACAATAAGAATTTTTAATTCAAACTAGAAGAACTTTTATTTTTATCTTTATATAAAACAATTTTCTTACATATTTGCTTTACTTATTCCTTTCTACCTAGAATTATAAAAGTGTAGTAAGCTTTTAAATAAAACCGTTAAAGTGTTTTATTTATATTTACTACTTGATGCACTGCAGATATTGTTCAATATTCTAGCTCCCCTTATTTTTATTACTTTTCATAAGTAAGTGCAGATAATAGCTATAGATTAGCTGTATAAATGACTTGTGTATGTTATATTATAGGTGAAATGAATATATTTCAGAGCTGGTGGTTATGCTGGTGGAAGCAGCGACTGGATAACATTCTCCGAAGCCGAAGAAAAGCAACTAGGCTCTGGCAATAAAGGGGATTATTACTCGCTCCTTGGCGTCCTGACGTTCACATTCGCTGATAATGCAGTATACAAGGCCTGTCCACAAGAACAGTGCAACAAGAAACTAGTGGACCAAGAAAATGGATTGTTCCGCTGCGAGAAGTGTAATAGGGAATACCCTAATTACAAGTATAGGTTGCTACTAGGGGTGAGTCACTTACCTAAAGAAATTAATTTAAACATATTTATATTTAATAGAGGAGGACAGAAAAGGGTTCATATAATAGAAGATGCGCCGTCGACCTATGTTGGCTTTGAATAATAGAAAATTCACAACCTGAAACAGAAACGCAATTAAACCTCACGACTTTTTTATATTTGGACATTGGTTAGCGGCCGGGACGGAATTTCCGAAATTCTCACCACCTATTTAATATGCAGACTTCCACACGAAATTCAACATGTTTAAAAAAAAGAAATTATTAGAAACACCCGGTAAGACCTGGTGGGGGCTTAAACAACAACAAAAGCTTTATTATTTATTCACGAACTATTAATTACTACACAACGTTTCCGTATGAGTGGCCATAGTTAAAATAACTCGTAAATTTAACCAACACATTTCGCGTTTTAAACCGTTATGAGTGATTTATTTAAATTTGTACTAATCACGTAAACTACATACTGCATTTAGTATCTGGAGTAATTGTGTTTCTCTGGTGTTCTGTTTCCCTGTCAACTTTCTCCATTAATTTACATGGTATTTCAGGCAAATGTATCAGACCCCACAGGAGACCAGCGCATTACCGCTTTCAGCGAAGCGGCTGAAGCGATGTTGGGCAAGAATTCAGCGGACATCGGAAGACTGTTTGAATACGACAAGGCGGCGTACGCGCAGCTTTTTGAAGATGTTAAATTTAGGACGTTCGTATTTAAGTTTCGCACCAAGATGGAGGTCTACAGCGTAAGTGTTATTTTGTTTATTGTTTATTTGGTACCTACTGCTACATAGTATATACAACATAAAACAGGATTACACAATTAGAAAAAAATTGTTAACTACTTATAGCAAAAAAAATTGTTTAAAATACTTAAACTAAATTTGTGATAAAAAGAGTTAAATGGGGTTTTTTGCCAGCTCTTCTTGTTTTTCTTTAATTCGAGAACTAACAAAATTTAGAAACTTTTCTTTTCAACTTTAGTAACCTACTTACCTACAAAAATCTATGGTTATATATTTATGTTGTACTTTGGCCTTGTTGGCGGCCTTTGCCGATCCGCACGGTTTACTATAAAAATACAATAGATGGTTACTTACTTATATTTACAATTTTGTACTAGTCTAGTACAAAATTGTAAATATAAGTAAGAAACATATATTATTGTAAATTTTTAAATTGGCAATCGGTATCAGCTGCAGCTGCGCTGCTGAATGCTTGTTACCCTCAGCAGCGCTGTTTTTTAGACTGATTTTATAATGCAATGGTGTTTCAGGATGAAGCTCGTCTGAAAACTACCGTCATGAGTGCCACACCAGTTGATTACAAAGAAGCAAATGCAAGGTTTATCAAGAACATTAAGGCGTTGAGTGGGGTGGAAATTTAGTTTACGCCAAAGATAGTAAACTCGCTCTATAATCGTTTGGAGACTATAATATTTTGTTTTAAATTATGAATAATTTTTATTACAGTATTTACTTTGTAACGTTTTGGTTAAAAGTCGATTATACTCTCTAAAGATTGTTAGTTATCAACTAAACCTTAACATTTTTTTATTAAACTTCTATGGAGAGTATTTCTTTTCTTAATTTGTTAAGGTACAAAAGTCGCTGGTTGATTTCTGTCAGTCTCCTTTTTAAAGCACATTAATGTTTCAGTTTATTTATAGCAGGCAAATTATGTACAAATTTAAGTTACAATAATAATAAATGTATTTTTAAAAATATTTTATTAAATCTCCCCCTATTGTAAGACTAACTATTGCCCTCAAAATGTACTGGGTTCCAATCTCGGGACGTATTTCTGTCTCGCCCGATCAGTGCAAAGAAATTTAATCAGTCTCCAAGCATTTAAATAAAGAAATGACAGTATGAAAAATATTTTTAACGGATTGCAGCGGAAAATGTATTGGTTAAACTTTACAAATTATTTTAACTACGGCTCTACGTTTAAGTATACCAATACAGTTCTCGTTTTAAACCTTCAAGTGTTTTATTTAAATGTGTCCTGCTTATACACGTTTTGAAATATTTTAAACGGAGGGCAAGAATCTATAGATTTCCAGGTGTAATTCGATTCGTTTTGAAATAAAACAAAAGTTTCACTAGATTTATTACTTTATTCAATTTCATTGATATGACTCATCATTTGGCTAAAGGAATTGAGTTGTTAATCACTTAGGCAACCGCAACTGTTTTTAATCTTACAAAAACTAAAGAGTTCTTTTAAACAGTTATTTACTAATTGACGTTTTCATACATTTAAAACTTGTCACAAGAAAATTCACACACACATTCTTCTTAATTCTTAATAAAGCCTCAACAACAAAAAAATAGTATGACATAACTGCCTTGTCGGTCTAGTGGTGGGTCTAAAGCTCTAAAGGAGTTTTAGAGCTGGGTCCATCAGTGGGCCGAATTGTATCAATTTATAAGTTGAAGAGAATAACGTAAGAATGAAAGTGTCATTACGTTTCGATGTATGACTAGCACAGAGTATGCAAATTGCCTAAGCAAATTAACATAGGACAAAAACAAGTAGCTAGATTATTAACTATGTAAAATGTATACTTAACATTAATTATTAACTGGTTACATTCATTTAATCTGAACTGTAAAACATCTAACATTGACTATATTTATATTGAGTATAGATTATTATAGTAATGAAAAACAAGGAAAATTCATTTAACCATTTTCTTATTAAGATAACTTTATGATATTTTACAATTCAGACGATGAACTCAACATAATGATTTGTGTTTTTCATTTAACAGACAGTCAATGGCAGTGCGGTAATTTAAACATATGTTTCGTCATGATAATGTCATATGTTATTAGCGATCGAGAACAAGACTCAAAATATAAAATTGCTTAATTAAAATTATCACAAACCAAATGATGTATCACAAGTATAAAAAATTAAAGCATTAACCAATACACGTTAATAGATACAATAGTGTTTGAAGATAATTAATTTGAATACGAAAAAAAAACTTCTCCACTGACCTATTAACACTATTGCGGGTAGACCTACATTTTACGCGTCAAATTAGTTAAAATATCATAATTAAATTCTGAAGATTATTACGTAATATATATATATATATAGTTTTATGAACTATGTACATTATAACGCATACATGTTTATTGTACATTAAACGAGGAATTTTAAGTAGGAATTAAATATTGTTATTAATATGTGTTACGTAAAATGCAGATCTAGATAGAATAATCAATGATATCTTATATTACAATCGTTAACCTAAAGCTGTCCTAGCGGTACACTTTAATTCATAGACAATTAATTATTATTATAAACATTAAGAAAATATCTTGTGAAATAATTTTCAATTCCAAAAAGGATTTATCATTTCTTAACGTAAACGAGATTCCTGACGAGTACTCATCACCGAGGCCGAACGTGAAGTCATTCGGTACACGTGAACTACAAATTATACACACAAGTGTACCCTAGCGAAGGTAACTCCAATCTAAATTAATTCCACATATATCAATAGTCATAGCCCGTTAATCTCATATTCATGTCACGTTCGCGATCAAGGAGCTGAAATCCGCTCGATAGAACTCGACGTCGCGTCGCGTAGATTCAATTCATTCAAGCACACTCGTTACACTAATTGTGCAGTAGCTCTAGAATACAAGTTCGTATTACAAAATGCAGGTCATGCAAGATCCGTCTAACATCTTGGCTGCTGTGGTCGAGTGACCAGTCACTCGATAGCAGAGCGGTGAAGATGCAGGGCGGAGCTCCTGAAAGACAGTAGAGGTGCGAGCGGCGCCCGCCGCCCGCCGCCTGCCCGCCGCCGCGCTGCGCACGCGCACCGCGCTAACAACATCGCACACAACCGACCGATACTACCACACATCCATATTTACAACCCGCTAAGGACCAACGAATAAGTTAAAAGCGAATAAATAATAGCGACGCTCTTTGGAACGGATTATACTCGAGGTACCGCGTCCCGCCGCGCTCCGGCCGACGCCAAAACGTGCACTATAATTAAAACAACGACGCCCTAAAATTAACCTTAAAATTAAACGTTAACACAATATGGCCGAGAGGCGATAAGATCTTATGCGATCTATTTTATTTTTTTATTTTGACGCACGCTCGTACGCGACGAACGCAACGATAATTTCGAGGTTACATCCAAACGACTCTGCCTAAACGAGATTCAACCTTAGAAAGGTTTAAAAGAAAAGCGCCTCCTCTGAACGATTTCATTACATAAATACATCGTTAAAGCCTAAAATAAACAATAACTTAAGACTAATATAAAAAAATATAATTTGTAAATGTCTTCGAAATCATGCGAGATTCAAAAAGTATCGTTTGTACAACATAATCACAAACACTGCTCGGTTAAAGCAATCAAAGGTGTAAGATAACAAAAAACAAACGCGAGTCGTACAGTATCCGTGCGTTGCCACAGACCGTAAGCCACGCCCACATTCCGCGGTACAGAATTGATCTAACAAAAGTAACACATTGCTGTTTACAGTTAACTGTACATGCAAAGCGATATACAATTTTATATCAGTTCGATTCCCCGGTATGTGAGCGGCTATGTACACCACAGCATATCACACGTAATAGAATATTACATAGTCACAAATACGTTGCAAGAAATCTCAACATTAGTATGAAAGAGATTCCTTATTACGTTTTAAATTTTAACAACAATTGGACCACATCACTTACATATATTGGAAAAACTCAATTTATAGAAATAATTATTCAAACTCCAAAAGTTGTAACTTGAAAACCGAAACTAAGAAACATAATAAAAATTAATATTGACTCTTACAAAGATATCTAAAGGTAATAAAAAAAATGGTTAATAAAATAAATCATCTACACATAGTAGACGTCAACGCGTGTTGTGGTCCACGTGTGTGCGTGCATGTGGCGGTCTGTTTGTGTGTGTGTGTGCGCGTGTGCGTGTGTGCGTGCGCTATTCTCACGGCACGAGATCGGGCAGGCGCCCGCGGCCCTAGGGTCGCGCACCCGCTTCGCCGCTCACCACCTGTTTATAAAGAAAAAATATATTTTGGGCAGTCGCAGTAAAGTTTTCAAACATAATAACATTTTGTTATACTCTCTTTAACTAGTATCGACATAAATATTTCAATCCACCCTTATGTACTGTCACACAGTTATACTAACCAGTATCCCCGTACTAGTAAACAAGACATAGTATCTATGATATCGTAGTTATCATTGGCATATTTTTAGTATATGAACTTGTGTATTATTTTAATAAGGCATATGTTATTGTATGTTAAATATTTCACACGAATACTGTAATACTGAGCAACAGCACGGAACGCTGACGATGCCGGTTCAAGTCCTGCACGAGTCGAACATTTATTATATATCAATTTATTTTCGATTTTTAAACTATAATACTGAATTAAATAAATGAACAAGATCAAAATTACATCTACTTATTATAATATTAGAAGTTCAAAATGTGTCTCGTGACTCAAGGAGCCTGTATTGAGTATGAAGAAAATATATTTACAGGTAAAAAGTTGATCAGACTTTCGTATCCTGCCTGGCCAAGAAGTTTATATTTACCTTTATTTAAACCTCTCAAAATGTTTTATACGTAATTAAAGCAGAGTAAATAAAGATACATTACCTTCAGCCTTTTTTACGTCCTAAATACTTAATACAATATCAGTCTCAATTGCGTACGCACAGTGACTCAATACTGTTCTTATTGCAAGAATCTCTGAAGATTTTATAATTCTATTGCGATAGAAAATAGTCAACAAAACAGTAATCAGTACGCAAATAGGTGTTTCTATATAATATATTTAACTTAGTTTGGTATTGCTTTGGGTTCTTCTTAAAGCTCCTACACAATAAGCATCTCTAAAATACAACTCCTAGTTTAGTTATCAAGTTTAAGCATTTAAGTGTCATTTTATGGTCACGATATTGTAGGTGGGTAACGGCTAATAATAAACGAAATGTGTGACCCAAGATATGTATTATATATAAATAGATAATGTTACTAGAAGAAACTAATGTGAAAGGGTTAAAATACGATAATATCAACATGCATTAAAAGACAAATAAATAAAATAAAAAGCAGTATAAAAGAAAACTTTATTTCTTTCTGATACATACAATATCTTAGAATAAATAGTAAAACAGTCTTATAGAGGCGTATAGTACATGCTAGTATGAAATGAAAATCATTTATGGTACAAGGGCTGACTCACTTTCCGTTCCTTGTAGTAGAGTTCTTCGCTTTCCTTATCACAGAGCAGTAGGACTACTGCGCCGAAAAGGAAGATGGCCGCGCCCCACCCCACCCCGTACGCCCAGCCGAACTCCCAGACCGATCTGTTGCCTGGATACAAACAGGTATTATAAACGTTTTTCTATAGCCATTTTCAATTTGTATATATATTAGATACATTTTTTTTCCTTTGGTAACGTTCTGTCAATATCGATCTGACTTGATTTATTGCATAACTGCAAAACCTATTGTCTGTAAATTTTTGATAGGCTAATTGGTCTAATCGTAGCAATAGCTAATAACAAGTGGGTTCGATCCACACCGGGGACAACCATGTTTCCAATAAATTTATAGTATTTCTGAAACATGATGGACTTCATCTGGATAATAAATGAGGGATAGGAATATCGATAATTCGGTCCCGAACCAGAATCCACAGATTAATAAGCCGTAAAGTTCAATTTAGTTGCCGTTTCAGTCTGTGGATTTCAGAATATCCAACGCCAACATAGGTCGATAATTAATCTTGTTGTTATGTTATATGACTGAGGTATATCACCTTCCATCAGAAACATCCCGACGATCGTCTGTCCTCCACTATCATTAAGGAATTAAATAAGAACTTTTAAACACTTACCTAAATTCAATTCAGCGGCAAAACAGACCGGGTATATCACCAGGGCTATCAAGATGCACATCACTGAAATGTATAAAATAACTGATTAGGTGACAAAAACAAATTTATTAAGCAAGAGACTGACGTCAGTTGTGACTCTTGCGCATCAATATGGAGACACATCGGAATCACACAAAACTATTCTCGTCAGAAATTTAATGTATTTGGAGAAAATTTTCCGGTAAATGTTATAAGCGACTTTTCTTTTTATAGAACTTTTAATTTCTACACTCAAAGTAGAAATGTTTTTTATGCTATACAATATAAATGGATTGGAATTCAGTTATCAAAAAATTAATACTGACGTGCAAGCGACATGGCGAGTACTGCGAACCGATAATATCGGAATTTAGTCCGATGGTCAGTGGCGCGCAAACCCAACCCGGTGAGAAGGGCTCCGCACACATCCGCCGCGAGCGTAGCTACGCACAGACCGGCTGCCGCCCTGAAAGAAACGAAGGTGGAGTTAAAATCGTTCTCTATTGATCTATGTTGTATTAAGATCTAAATTCTAAACTAATAAAGATGTATTTCTGGCCCCAGCCATGTAACGTCGAAACAATATGGATATAAGGCTACCACAGAATCAGATTGACGGTGGTTCGTGATGAGGACGGATTTTTGATATTCCTGCCAGCTATTTAATATCCTTATTTTCAGTCGAAGTCCGATAAAGAAAATTTTCAGAAAAATTGTTAATTAGTTTAAAAAAATGTTGGGCCCGTTGGGGTTTGAAACCACGACCCATTGATTACAAAGCTGCTATCACACCGTGAGCCCGCTATTTTGGTTTAAAAAAATCGGAAACCCCTAAACTGAAGACAGAACGCTAGTCAACACTTTCCTTAATAAACCTGTTTTTGTCCAATTTTCCATATATTTCCAGACCCGATGGAAATCGAATCCACAGCACGTTGGTAATTAGCACCTTGCTTCCCTTAAATCAAAATGTCTGTCAGATTTTGTATGTTCTCAGAAAGAAATGTATGTACCGTCCCCATTTTTATATATGAATCAAACGAATATAAAATTATTATTGGTATCTCAGAGAGAAATATTTTGTTGAAGTTTAAATCGTTATTAAAACCAGCTTTCAAGAATGTCCTAAATGTTCTTTGAGCGTCAACAAAACACTTCGTTCATTTGAAGTGAAATTATTTGAAGGGCACAAACAAAAGAATCTTTTATAAGTTATAATTGAAAATGCCAATGTTTACCCGTTTGTCGTTGCATATTATCTCAGTGGCTACACTCACCGAGAAATACTTGCATAGTCGACCTTGCCCCATATTCACTTATAATTTATATTGCTTTACTGTACTCACTCGTCTGACATTATGCAACAAAGGGAATATCAATAAAATATAAAATACGATAAGATCATTTTGTAACAACATATTAAAACTTTTACTGCGACTTTAATACGAGTCGAATGACGTCAGTTTTACAAAATTTAGCCTTACTAGAGACAAAAATAACAAAATTGTTACAGTGATAAATACAACTTTTTATAGAATCCAGTAGGCACGATGTTCCGAATTATATACAAAAAAAAATAGACACAAAGGCTTCTTCTTTAAGTGAATTATAACGCGATTTAAGATAAAAGAGGTCGTGGATTCAAATCCAGTGGAAACATGATTAATTGCATGATCACAAGCATGTAGAATTCTAATGGCTTCTCCTTATCTACTCCGTGACTCACGATTGCAGACTTAGAAAAGTTTAATAATTTACATAAATAAAACTCGAAAAATGAATGCCTACAATGAGACAAGTAAGCTCTTATCGCAAAACCTAAATTCATTCCCCGAATTAAAACATCGAGACGGCACTAAATAACTGTATTCATTTCGCAAATTGCAAAGTGCCGTCTCCAAACTGACAAACAGTTATGAATCATTTTTAATTTAATTTGACAAGTACGGCTCTTCAAAGAAAGAGCGCGCCAATTTCATCCGTCGTATTAAGATTTGCAGTTAAACTTTACAATTAGGGAAATGTTCTTCAAAGCGATTTTGTTAGCGTTTGCTTTGTAAGATGCAGAAACAGTGATTTATACTTAAGAAATTATGCAAACTTGTTTTATCACCAATTTGTCTATCACCAATCTACCAATTGCGATTTTGCATATCTAGTTTTGTAATTAAAGGTGTATTACACAAATGTATTTAGATAAAAACAAATGACGAGGGCGGAATCCAACCCACAACGGTGCGAGATGTTGATGAACAATTAAAAAATGTATTACTTTATGATGCATAGTCTATACCTACTCGTGAGACGATATATATATTTGTCGGTCATTTTAGATAATATCAATAATAAATAAACAACTTAACCAATTTAAAAATATATTTTTCCTAATTACAGATACAATATATAATATATGAAGCTTAGTATGTCATATACTTAAATGCGTTTGTCGGTTTGTCCTTCACGCATCATCGGAATAACGGATCGATCTGTTTTATTGCATAGATGTGAGAGTTGAACGGTGAAATGGGCGTGGTTTATTTTCCAAGCGATCAATCACACTAAGAACATAAACGGTCTAATTAGGATTACAAGTGGTTTCATTATGTACAATAGGGGTTACATAATAAAAGGCGTACATTGGTACTTTGAATAGTTCTACATAGCGTTAAAATTTTACTTTCTTTTAAATACACAATATGTATACTTATAAAAACAATAACCAACTAAAATCCAATTTCTTGTTCTATTTGAACGATATATATTTTTTGCTTTAATACAATTAATATTATAAAGCTTGAAGAGTTTGCTTGTTTGAACGCGCTAAACGCAGGCTACTGATTCGAATTGAAAAAATATTGTTATGTTGAATAACATCGACAAATAGGAGCGAAAAAAGGAGTGTGAAAAAAAAGCAATAAATCATTTATCTTTAAGGGTTGTTGTTGCGTGCACTGCGAAAACGGTTCAAGAAACGAAAAAATATGTATAAAAGAATGAATTCTCTTTAAATGATCTACAAAAGTATGTCACAGTATATGTCTCAGTATAATTAGTACTACTTAATTAATTAATAGCATGTATGTAAAAGGTAGCCTTATTTCTATTAAAAGGACACTAGAAGTTACAAGTGATTACATTTTAAACACTCTAAGTATAACTTGTATAAACACGTCTTCAACATCGGTTCCAATCTATTTGAGCATCTAAAAAACCACAATCTGGACTCCCGTTCGATATAAAAAATTCGGTATTGAAGTAATTCGGTCAAGTAGTCCAAACAAACTATCGAAAGCGCGGATGGCTCTTGAAACTCAATACCGCCTCTCGTGTTACCTATCAAATCTACCAAAGGGGCATGCAGCGTGCAGTACGCAGCTGCAAATTGCCAAAACCACTTCCAACTATTGACCACTTGCATATTCATTAGACACTCCTTGTGTAGTAAACACATTTTAAATTTTGAGTTTATAAGGTTATTTTGTTAGAAGTTTATTTGTATATTGGATAATTGAATTTCTGTACTTGTAGTTGAGAATTTATTAATTTATAAATATGCTAAGATTGTTTCATTCCTTTTTTATAATTCAATTGACTGTTGTTCTCATACCAAAAAACACATCGTTTGTAAGTGTAAGCAGAGAAGCGTTTTTGTGGGAAGTGGTGTAGATACATATTATACTCTCTGTATGTCTGTAGAGACATTTAATTTATAATTATTACACAAGTTGTCTTAAATTCCTACCCGAGCAAGTAAATTATTTATTTATTATGGTACATCAAAAGTTCACTTACATATAATACACATTAATAAACATCATAATAAATTATAATACCTATGTAATTTAGTATACCTAGTTAGTATCTAGTGTTATTTAATTTTTAAAATCAACCGCCTCTGTAGCTAAATGGTTAAACGTGTTGCCTAGCACTGCGTTAAGCGAGAGGTCCTGGGTTGGAATCCCGGGGAAACAGTAAATCTTTTCGATCGGGCAGGGCACAAAAGTCTGATCAAGTACTTGTCTGTAAATAAATCCGATCAGACACAGAGATGTGAACGCCCCATGCCCCAGGAGGGGAAACGGGTTTTACTCTTTGGGTCTCAAAGTCGAAACATCTGTAATGATAAATACTTACTTAATGTATGGCGCGGGCCTAGCGGCGTAGCACCCCGGTTGAGCCGTTATGTCGAAGGGCAGAGGCGTGGGTGCCTCCGGATCGATGCAGTGCATGAAGAGCCCCTGCCGCCACCCGGCCGCCATGAGCCAGTCCGCTGACGCCAGCCCCAACACCATCAGAATTATCACGAGCAGGCCACATATTAGGGCGATCACCTGGAAAACGAAACCTTTTTAAAATTAATTTTAATTACAATACATATTACTCGTTATATATATTCTTTATTATTTCTATAAATGATATAGACCACTTTTAGGGAGTGCGGTCTCCTCCATGCTCTTTCAGAAATTTCTATAGGTATTTAGCTTTTCCTTATCACTCGGACCAAGTATCTTTAAAAGTTGCCTACCAAATCTATAATTTATAAAACGAGCTTTCAACGAGTATGAAATTTGACGTGTCAATCTACATGGGTTTCGAACTGTGTGCGCAGTCTCTATGCATTCTACCTATCAATGGAGTGCTTTACATGTCGTCGCATAAACACGGACGATAAGCGTGTTATTATGTACATGTCAAAAAGTGTTGAGTAATTCTGTCCTTCTAGATATAAAGCACCTTCTTCCTTTAAAGGCCAATAATCTTTTTTAGACTTTTTTTTTTACAACATAAAAATGAGAATATCCCGTAGATTAACCATACATTGACGAGCTCGCCAAAAATCGGATACAAGCATGACCAGACCAGACCAGACCAGAACAAATAGCGCAGGGATGCACAGAACAAATCATGAACAGATGGCGGGCCGTCAGCAGTATAAGTATTTAAAGACATTAAATAATTGATAGAAATGTTTAAAATTAAAAATAACTTAATAATTTTGCTATCGGCGGGCCAATATTCGACCGCCGCGATCTGTGCATCTCTCAAATAGCGTTACGAGCTGTTGCTTTATCAAAGTGGATGTGGGTTCAAGTCCTTTTTTTAAGACTTTTTGGTCTACATAGTTTTAATAGTAAATTAATGATTTCAATTCTTATTTATCTTATGTAAATGAAACAGCAAACACACTTTTCCATTAACATTGCAGCGCGGATATAAACTGGATGCCACCGTAGTACGTACAGCGGGCGTGTACATGCCATTCGCTCTATTGTGCCTACACTCATTAAGCACGTACAAAAGAACATACGTAGTGCAAACGCTAAAAGTTCTTGCTACAAAGAATGTCAAAAACAAAGAACGCTCGCGCCGCGTTGCTGCTAGCGATCCATCAAAAGTAGGACTAGGAATTATAATCGCGAACGCGAGGGTAAGAACGTGAAAGTGTCTCGAGGGGCGGCGGGGCGAGGCTCTGGATCGATCGGGCGAGGGATACGCGGACGGACCATCAGCTGTTAAGACCAACACGATCTTGCAATAGAAATCACACCCCTCGTCTAAGAGGTGCGACGCGACTGGCGACGCATGCACCCTGTCTGTGCACCCCCGAACCGCCGTGTTCTTTCTGACGCAGACAAAATCAATGATGTCAACAAAAGTATTAGATACTTCGTGATAAGACATCTAGAACTAAATATGAAACAGTATATATTTGTTAATCCATATTTCTAATTTATAAGTAATTTCTTTATGTGTGCGGCCATTATTATGTGAATGCAATAAATAAAGCATCCGAAACGTCGGGTCGCAGTAAAAATAAAATAAAACGTAAACATTTTTATCTACACAGCATCAAGTTTTTTATCTAATATTCTATTCGTTATTATTCAAGTGCATGTTGTAAGTTTTTCTTGAATAAAACATTTTATATTAATAGTTTAAGGTTGTGTTGATTTTATTTATCAACAGACACAACAAAAATTACACATTGATGAAAACCATTAAAAAAAAGAATTTTAAAATGTTACGTTATTATTTCATATCTAGTTATCAATGAATGAAATGATAAACATTTACCATGTTATCATTTTACTCGATCATCAATCTTAATTAGAAAAAATGATAACACGTTATGCAAAAGCATATTTTCTTAAAATTTTATGTAACAATTAATTTTTGTATGACAAAAGGACAGTCAAGCATGGTATCCAATTGACAGTGACATATCCAAGGCATATAACAACTAGACAAGTTGCGTTTATTTTGGCTGTGGAGATTTACAAAACCGCAGACATAGTAATAATATAAAACTCGACGGTTTTTATTTGTAGACAGTGGTACTTGAGGGAACTGGGGAACCATTTTCTGCCACCCATTTTAGATTCAAAATGTCCAGCCAAAATTTTTTCTAAAAACAATTTAATTGATTTTAGAAACATATTGGGCCTGTTAAGAATTAAACCCTTCGCCCGTTGATCATTAGCCATAAATTGCTCCTATTGTTACACGTTCTTACAATATTTATATATCAAATTACTCTGTAATAGAAATACTTAAAAATAAAAAGTCCCTACATCAAAATCTCGTAGCCTTAGCAGCGCTTATCCCTTTGAACTGTTGAATTTGTTGACCTCGTCACTTAATGCTATTAGGAAAGCTGTGGCTTCTATAAGATTACCGCTACATTAAACGACCTCATTGAATTGCTTTTATATCTACTGGGGAGTGTCTTACCGCTTTTTTCTTTTAAATTACATAGACTTTGAACCCTAACATATGACGTAATGGTTCTAAAATTTAAAATAAGAACGCTTGAAAACTTTAATATTTTCACATATTATTGAACATGGTTATATAATTTAAAAATCGAAAATAAATTAATAAAAATTTTCGCCTCGGGCAGGACTCGAACCATTGTCAGCGTTCATCAGAGCAACAGCACGGAATGCTGACGATGCCGGTTCAAGACCTGCCCGAGTCTAAATTTTTTTCAATTTATTTTCGATTTTTAAAATAATAAGAACGCTTCTTAAATTTTCTTTTATTAAAAAGATGCCAGTAAAAGTTAAAAATTTCAAGATACAGTAATACCAGCTAAAAACATAGAATTAAAAAGACTGGTCTATGAACATCTAGTCGCATGAAGTATGTAGTCGATCGGTTAGTAGGTTTTGAGGTGGTAGTCTTTTTATCTGGCCGTCATAGATGTTAGGAAAGCAATGAGATTACTTCACAAAAACAAAACAAGTCGCCTCTATTCCATACAGTTTCTCTATCCGTTTATGGTGAACGGTTATATGTGTGTTGGATCACTTTGACTTCAATATAACTGTCCAGAGCAATATTCTTTGTAATAACCGTGTTATTGATTCTACATATAGACAATATATCAAGTAATTATTTATACATTAAATAAACAAATATTCTCACTCAGAGTTACAACTACAAAGCTAAAAATAAATTAATGTATCGAAGACAATAATTTTAAAGATTTATCGCCAAAGATCGTATACGTATTACTCTAATAATAATTCTCTACATTGGCGAGCATGAATCTTTTGCATAGATTTTTCAATATAAACTAAAATTTAAATATTTAATCCTTAGATCAGCTCTCGTGTGCATGTGACGTTAAATATTCATAGTTTGTAATAAGTTTTGCTGGGCTCGTTGGTGTAATGGTAGCAATGTACTGCTAATAAACGGGTCGAGGGTTCGATCCCCACCGGGTCCAAAACTTTTCTAATCGATATGGAATTTATATTGAATGGATGGTAGGGATATCGAAATTTCGTCCGGGTCACTAACCACGCTTCATTCTGTGGATTTCCGAATATCCAAAGAAAAAATAGGCCGACAGCGCATCTTGTTTCGATGAATAAGCTGAGGTATTGCACCTATGAAGTGAACCTCATGCTTGTGTCCTCCTTTATCATTAAAAAAAATCACCTGTGCAATTTGATTTGAAGCCATTTCTTCTTCTGAGGCAAATTGGGGTGGCGGCGGCAAAACTGGCGGCAGGGCGCGCGGCTGCGAGCGGAGCCCCACGGGGCCAGCTCCCGCGCGCCCCTGCATGCGCTTACGCTCACAGTCAACCACAAATCGTCACACACACTGGCACATTTCTTCAGTACAAGTACACTCGATGCCCTTAATTATCACCGCAAATCGAGGGATTCAAAGGGCCCTTATGTATTGAAATTGGATTGGATGGAAATGAAAGGAAACCTTAAAATTATATAGTCTGTTGTTTACGCGAGTAGGACACATTTAATTAAAACACTTTAACGGTTAAAAATCGCGATATATATTAGATAAACTTATTTACCGGCAGCAGCCGTAGTCCCCCCCCCGCGCCCCAGATGCGAACCGTTGGGCCTAAATTTTTCCAAATAAGTTTAATCCATATATTCATTTTAAATGTTAAAATGTTTTTGTTAAAGTTAAAATGATATTATAAAAAATATCACCACAAATTATTGATTTGTAATAGACCTTCTATTACGAATAATTAATTTTTACCCCGTGCTAACTTTACAACTTGGTCAGTAATTATGAAAGTTAAAAATCATGATGGCTCTGACAGTTAAAATATCCACGTGATTAAAAAACCCATGATAGCTGCAGAAAATCGGTAAAGACTCGCAGCTAAGAGCTGTGTAATTAGCTCTCGTCCTTTTCTCTCTTGATGTTTAGAATTGAAATGTACTTCTAATAACGATTATCTATCTGAGTTCAAATGTCTGCATTTTCTGAACCTTGTTAACGAACTTCAAATAATTATTTCAAAGATAAGACTTTATCTTAATTTTAATATTGGCAGGTTAGGTTTTGGGGAAATTCCTGTCTAACATAAAGGATTCTGATATGATTGGCACGTTACGTGTAATTTTATAAAAGTAACCGTTTTCTTCATCCTATGTAACGTTTTACCAGGTCTATAAGAAGAAAGCTACGTATTATTTTACGTAAGGAAAGCCACGGAAACGTGGTTCAGGTTAAAAAGTGCAGACCTATGGAAAGGAAATATCATGGACAAAGATTATGCTAGTATAGGTAAAGTAAACGACAAGAACATGTAATGATCCTTGCCAACAATGATCTCATACAAAAGGAAAGGATTTTTGACAAGAGATACAGAATCCACATTGGGGAAAGGCAGAAGTGGAGAATAGACTCGGAAAACGTGGGCACAGTGTGCTATACAGATGGTTCCAGGAAAGAAACGAGAAAGTTCTCTGGGTCAGGCATATACATGAAATGCGAAGACGGAACAGAGATAACTAGATCAATCCCACTGGGGAAACTTGTTAGCGTATTTCAGGCGAAGATATTCGCCATCATGGAATGTGCAGATATTGCCAGGCACTTAAGACCCCTGTCAAGTGTTACAATTTACAGTACACTAAAGCCTGCAAAGAAGAAACAACATCTGCTATTGTCAAAGAATGTAAGGAAGCAGTGGACAAACTAACTGATGAGGCAGAAGTGGCAATTGCCTGGGTACCTGGACACCAAGGAAATATTGGCAATGAGAGAGCGGACGAACTCGCTCGCGAAGGAGACTTCCGATAGCCCATAAAGTAACCAAGGGAATAATCGAGCGCAGAATCATAGAAGAAACAAACCAAAGATGGAAATCTTCGACTGACTGAAAACCTGATGAGACTAACGAGAGCGAATATCTGACTCATCGTAGAAATCATAACAGGACATTGCCGTCTAAATAGACATCTTACAATGATAGGAATAGGTATCACCCGTAGGTCTGGAGTGCAGAGAAAGTGAGGAAACAAGCATCCATCTACTCACTGAATGCTCTGCGTACTCGAGGCTAAGACAAATGCATATGGGCTCAGACGAAGTTACAGAAGATGACATTAAAGAACTACAGATGGAAAAAATAATAAGATTCTGCAAGCAAACCGGAAGGTTTGAAGGGGACACGGGGAAAGTTGGATGACCCAAAACCTCTGCAAGGAGGAAATGGGGAAATGGGTGAAGTGGTCAGCGGATAACGTGGACTGATCACCCGTCCTGCCAAGGGTGTCCCCGATAGAAAATAATAATAATACGTATTATTTACTCTGTCGAATATACTAACACGAACAGTCCCCATCATATCTTCATGTGAATAAGTGTTACTTGGTATCTAAGAATAATAGTACCAGTTATCTATATAAAATATGCCGACGACAGCAATTGTAATACTTTACTCTCCAGTTACAAAATAGGCCATCTCATTGAAATCAGATGACCCAATTCCTTAGTACGCAGTTATTACTGAAAAATGGTCAGCCGAGCGTTCATGAGCATAATGCAGAATATCAAGAACGTGTGAAATTTAACCAATAAACTAGGGTAGCGACATCAACAAGCAGTGCTTCCGCATGACTTCTCAAATTAGGTCAGGGAGTGACGGAATAAATGCGTATTTCAAATACGGGGAGGTAACCAAATGAGGTTACCGGCAACACATAAGAATACTTTAATCAAAATGAGGCAGCATAATATTTGGGTCACTCAAATCTCGCCGACGTTCACCATAATCGAGTTGTGCCGTTTTCGAAACAAAGACCAAATTTTTGACGCCGAGTTGAAAAGCATTTGGCGGTTTAGGCTTAAAACAAGGTAATTTAAAACCTTTTTTGAACTGTTGACTTCAAATAACACGAAAACAAGTAAGCTTTTTGACGCAGTACGTGCCTCTTGCACTGAGAATATGACAAAAGAACGAATAACTAATTCAGAACGACCGAAGTTGTATTGTTTGGTGTGACGTTTTTTTTGCATATATCGTTTTTACTTTAAAAATACTTTTATAATGCTATGGTGAAATAATTGTTTGCCTAGTTAGGGTCTAAAACAGCACCTTAACGGAAACATACTAAAATTGTAGTCATGAAGGATCACAGTATGATCGTCGCAAATCATTGTGTATTAGAAATAAACGTAGAACCATTTTTATTCGCTACGTTCGTATGTTCCATTATATCGAAGGCAGGTGTATTTGTTCAAACGTTTGAAAAGGTTTATTAAAACGTGAACTCGACTGTAAATCGGAAAACGTTCAAAGGAATCTTTCCCCTTAATACTTTCGTTACACGTTTTTTAATTAAATTATATCGATAAAATAGATAGCTAGCTATAAAATTTAATCAATATTAAAAAATAATTTATCGACCGAACTTTATTGATATATATATTATTATAATACTATCCGCAATTTAAGATGATTTCTGAGCAGAAGCGATTGCTTTTTTGTTTCTCGTACGTAAAAACATAGCGTAATGCCGCCTGTAAACATATTATTTAATAAGTTATTAAAATTAATATGATAAAAAATATGCTGCGCAACATACTTGCATATGCAAAATACATTAAGAGCATTAAAGCTTTTGCTGCGTAGCAGTGGGGAGTACAACGTACACAAAGAGAACGAGAGTCATCGAAGATTCAAGTTGACTGATTTTGTGCTGAAGCAGCAATATTTTCAATGGGTACTGCTATTTAGTCTGTGCTAAGAAAACCTACATACTCGGCTCCAAAATGATACTACAGGAAAAATTTTTTCTATACTTCTATCTAGATGTATAGAAAAAATTTAACTGTCATTTTTAATTATTTGTTTGTTCTATAATATTTTAAGGTGTACAGTACTTTACAATAATAATTATATCTGAAACTAGACAAATTCGGTTTATCGTAGTTTCGATGCGAACAAAACGTAGGGTCTTCGTCCGAAATTACGTCAAAACTGCCGAAATTCGTTCAAAAGGTTTAATATCCTCTTGGATAATTATAGATATATCATAGCTGTTAAATATATATAATTAGTGATATACAGTAATTATTATAAAAATCAATTTTGAATCGATTCGATTTTAACTTTAATTCAATAAAACTATGGCTGCAACAATTCGACGGCATATATACAGTATAACTTATTTCAATGAATGTATACGACCTATGTATAACTTATTCCAATAAATACAGACAGTGCTTTAATAGATTTCGAATAGATAGTAAACAAAACGCTCCAAATCGAACGCAGTCTGTTTTCAATCATTGTTTACCGGATGCATTGTTTCCAGAATAAATAAACGTTTTCAATAATTGCTTTTAGCGCTAAAAAAGTAAAACAATGGGTTCTAATTTTACTGTATCAACAACGAGACAGTGGAATCAATGTTTTCGTTACACAGCGAAAGTGAAAGTATGCCTATATGTTTGGATTCGGAAGAATTATCGTCTGTATAAATTCATGCTCATTAGTAATAAAAAGTAGAACTAATATAAAAAGCAAATACATATAACGTGTGCCCCAATTTTAATACTTTACTCAAATTAAAAAAATAGGCCACACTAGGAGTTTTATGAGACCCATTTTAATTGCTAAAGCTATGCCGCCATCAACGGACGTGACTTGTCTACTTGTATCAAGTTGAACGTGCATTTTACAATAAAAAAATATGAAACTGAATATAATAACAGCTCGATAAACACATTCACAAAATCTGGCTTAGTTTTGCGCATTGAGCCGCGCCGATTTATACAAAAAGCACCTTTATCGTCTTCCCAGGCAAATAACACTCAATAGAAACGAATACCTCACTAAAACAACTAGCAGTATTTTGAGGAAGGGAGGGTTTGGGTGCAATTAAGAGTGAAATTGTGAGGTCGCTCGGAGGGCGGCTCTACGTAGGGCGGCGAGACTGGGCGACGCAGCGCCTAGCGCGAGACTGCTGCCTCTCGCCCCGTCGCCCTATCCCGACTACACCCTCCCGCGCGACAACAAAACACAGATTACTGAAAACACTTTTATTAGCCAAAACGCTACTTAAGCTTCGATCGTTCTACAGTAAAACGGCACTAAGCACACAACAACAGGCAACATATACAGCTTAAAGTTTTTTTTTAATTATAACATTAAAACTCCCACATCTTTGGTCACACCTGTGTGATCTGCAATGTTCTCGGTTGCTCGTTACGCCTGGGGGGACGCCTAGGTGTTCTTTGGCAACAGTCGGCAACGGCTCGTAGCCGTCGCGTGTAGCTAGATCGGGAAGGCATTTTGAACCACTTCCTGGGTTCGCTGGCGCCAAAAGTGGTGACCATTCTGTCACCCGGTTTGGATGTGTCGTATACAATCTTAGGACTGTCTGCTGTGTCTGAGCGCGGCGCGATACGATACTTTGCTCCAGTAATAGCTTTCTTGATGCTGTTGAACGCTCGTTCTAAAGCGGACTCTTCGTATTCCGAAGTGCTTTCTCTATTTACAGCAGTAAACTCGACGTGGGGTGGAAACTCAATTGTCTCGTTTTCTTCCCTTTTCATCAGTCGTTTAAATTTCGAGAACAAAGATGGAGGTGGTTCAGTGTTCGTTCCGACTGTACACATGCCTGGTCTATAGTCATGGTCTATGGGAATGGTTGTAGGAGTATAGGGCTGAGGTGGCAGAGTAGAAGCTCTTCTCGGTGATAGATCCTCATCCTTTAAATAGGCTACGTGCAAAGTGCTTATGCTTAGTGGCTGTTGCACAGCAGGCCACAGATCTCTGGTCGGTGGTACAGGCGACGGCCGCTCCCCCATCATGCGTCGTGCCAATTCGCCAGGCTGCCAGAGATTACTAGGCGTCAAACCCCCGTGCGCTTCCATTCCGACACACTAGTTCACTAACCACACGTAACTCTGTATACTAATCCAATACTAGGCTTCATGCATTTCTAAGGTTTCCAAGATAATATACACTCACGTTCACAATGTACCCGTTCATAATTGGATAAGTGATCGTCTAAATGGATATTAAATATTATTGTAATGCGAAATGCAATTATTGAAAGTTAATAATTTATATAAAACTCGCTGCAACCGCATTTTTTATTAATTAGCAATCATTTTGTGGTAACATTCCTCTTGATTTGATCTTTTTTTTTTCAATATATCTCCTTATAATATATATAAACCAAAGCTGATGTTCGCTAACTGCTTGAATCTGTATAGTCATTCCAGGATACTTTTATTCTAGTATACTGTCTGAAGTTTACGCGAGTTGTACACATTTAAATTAAACGGTTTAAAACCTGATATATTTTAGTTAATAATTTTCAAACAAGTTTAACTGAAATATATCGCGTTTAAACCATTCAAGTGTTTTTTTTTAATGTTATGTGTACATATATTTATTTATTTAATCAATAAAATTCATGTTGTGACAGGTGGGAGCCCAATTCGACACTGAACTTAAAAACAAACTTAACTAAATATAGAATACAATTAAACTATGATTTATATGAATATCTTATTTTCAATCCTCCATGGATGTTTAAAGAGACCCTGAAGTGAGGGAATCTGTTTAACTACTTGCCTGTGAATAAAATTAACCAGTAAAACTGAAAAAGAACTATATCAGATCTATGCTCTATAAAAAATGAGATTTTGCACACATAGATTTATTTAACTTTGAAATAAACAAACAAGATGTATAAGTTATGTATACTGTATAGGCCTGCACAGTCAACATGTCTATAGAGACATGAAAATTAAAAGATACTCAAAAGCTTGGCCTTATCATCACAGCCTAAATAATTTCCACCGCATGAGCGGAAACTATCTATGAAAGTGTAAACCTTAACTATCAGAGAGATAAATGTTCACCAATAACACATTTTCTAAAATAACCTTATAGTTCAAAATCTGTCATTTACTGTCTTATCTTTCAAGGTTTAATAAATAATATTTTTTCTAAACTCGAGCAGAGAAAATATTACTTATGTAGAGAGAAAGTAAAAATATGGACCAGGAAAGTGGTACACTTATATGGCAAGAAGTCTGAGGTCATATATATATATATAAACATACCTTTAGCGGTCTTGTTATAGTGACAGTTTCAATCATTGTTGTTGATGGCATCCTATTATTTTCCCCTAAAAAGTATACATAAGGTTAATATCACAAAACAAAATAAAGTGTTTACTTCTTTTTGTTATAATTAAAATAAAAATACTATTTTAAGCCTTACATTTCAATATCAACTATTCTGAGAGACCTGTTAATAATAAATCGCTATTATATCATTTATCATTTTATATGGGGACAATTTATTGTTGATCATAAACAAACATTGTACTGCATTTAACATACATGATTGTATATAAATATATGAATGGGTGGTTTTTATAATGAAATCAATTTTGAAATATTTATGTTATGAGTCAATTTCTTTATATCTAGAACTAAGTACCTATGGATGAGTATATCAAAATATCAAGGATTCAAACAAAGGGCACAATTAATTACTTCATTTATGAATATACAGCCTAATTACAAAGAGAACATTAACTTACACATGGAGATGATTCTATAAAACAATGTATTAACAGTTTTCACTAATAATTCTTAAATAAATGTTGAATTTAAACACACAACAAAATACACGGCACAACGAAAACGAGAACCACCACAGACTAACCAAAGAGTAAAGATTATTTTGCAAGAGTTATGTATGAGTTACTTTAACGTCAATAATGGCAACACTCAATTTTCTATATTCATATTGAACTATATCCATGGCCATGTAACAATATAAAATAAACATTTTGAGTAAATGACTAGCATCCATGTTCATGTAACGAATATATAAAAATAATCATGTTGACTAAATCACTAGCATCCATGATCATATAATAAATAAAAAAAAATATTCATGTTGACTAAATGACTTGCATCCGTGGTCAAGTAGGGTATGAAAAAACATATTGAGGTTTATTGTTTTATGTGTTTTATCTTAGAACTCAGCGTTTGCTGTCTATATGATATCCAAGTGTTTTTAAATATGCTTAAGTTTTAGTATTGTTCATTTTTTTCTTTTTTGCATACATTATTATCATATAGATGGATGATCTTTCCTTTAGTTGGTCTAGTACTAGTCTATTGAAAATCTAATAGTAATTGTAAATTACTGTACAATGGCGGGAATTAAGTCACTGGCTGTGCGTGGTATTCGCAGCTTTGGTCCCGAAGAATGTGATGAGCAAAGAATATCGTTTGAGAGACCTCTAACTCTCATTTTAGGCCAGAATGGATGCGGTAAAACAACAATTATTGAATGTTTACGATACGCAGTCACCGGCCAAATGCCGCCCGGCAGCCGCAATGAATGTTTTGTGCATGATGCTAAAGTTAACAGATCTAGTGAAGTCATGGGACAAGTTAAATTAAAGGTAAAGAAATTAAAACTCATTATTCGCAAGATAATATGTTTAAAAATTATTAGATCATAAGTAATAAAAAATATTCCTTCCAATTTTAGATTTATTATCAAAATGTTAACGAATCGTATTAGAAAACCTAGATTTTTGTATGGATTAAACTTTATTCATTAAAACCTCAGCCTTTCTATTTCCAATTTTTCTAATTTATTTATTTATTTTTGTAGATTGTAAATGCTAAAGATAAGCAGTTAGAGGTGTCAAGATCAATGAGAGTGACTGCTTTACAAAAGAAAAAGACAAAGTTTCAAACTTTAGATTCATTTCTTTCTGTTATTGATGAAACTGGAAAGACAAAGGATATATCCTCTAGATGTGCTGACTTGGATGTGGTGATGCATGAAGAATTAGGTAGATAACTTAGTTAAATTCCATAATAATCGCACAAATAAATTGAAAAAGTAAAGAGAACTTAAAAAAATTGAAATTTAAAAAAAACAATAATGCTTATGTGCTTCAAACCCCAACCAGTATAGCTACTGTGTTCAAATAAATTTAATCTTCGCTCAATCCTATGTGCCTATATCTTGTCTTATTAAAATGTATACTAATCATTACATAGTAAATCTTCCCTCAGTGCATCTAAAAGATAAACAGCATCATTATATTTCCCTGTAATTTAAAACTTATCAGTCAATGACATCAGGCAGTCCTATACCACTGAAGATTACATAGCATTACATTGAGTTCTTATATTACCAAACTTCTTTGTAGGTGTATCAAAAGCAATATTGAACTCAGTGATATTTTGCCACCAAGAAGACTCAAGCTGGCCTCTAGATGAGGGTAAAAAAGTGAAGGAGAGGTTTGATGAGATTTTTGATGCTGATAAATACAGTGATTGTATTGATAAGCTAAGAAAAATTCGAAAGGAATACGCTTCTACACTGAAACTTTTGGGTATGTTGCGTTTTATTCTATTGTAACTTACTTTGTACAAAATTGTTAATTTCTGGCCTTTGCTTGAGTAACAAGTTTCACTACTAACATAATTAAATTTAATATCATTTGATTATGATGATTTTATATTAATTATGCCATTGCAGAACAAGAGGTTGCCCACTTGACAGAAAAGAAGCAAGATTTGGATAAAAAGAAACTGGATGTTGTCAACACTGAATCAAGAATTTCAGAATCTGAGTTAAAACTGGGCGAGCTAACGCAAGAGCTAAAACCAGTTACAGAAAAGATCAATGCTATTGTTGCATTGCAAAAGAATTTAGTGCTATTTGAGACTAAGAAAGAAAAAATTAAGACAAAGTATGTTGGTAATCTACAATATAAAACAATATTTAATTGATAGAATAGAATAGTTGTTAATATTTATTGTAATTTCAAGATTAGAGCATTGTAAGACACAGGAGGAAGAGTTAAAGAAAGCCATCGAGACTATGTTTGAGGGAACCACACCGGAACTGCAAGAAAACATAAGTACACATATAGTATTACATAACTTATTGTTTATTTAAACTCATTTTGTTTAGTTAATATTTTTAGCCTACCTATTGCAAACATCCAAAATGTCAGGTCTTAATTAAAATGTTGTAAATAATATGTTTTGCAATCCAATAAGTTGTTGTTAGTTTTATATAATTACTTTATAATTTTTTTCAGCCAACTATGCTGCAACTGTTAAAGCAAAGCAAAAGGAACTGGATGAATCTTATAAAAAGAATACTTCTTTCAATAAAGAAGAAGAGAAGATTGCTAATGAAAAGACAGCAAATGAAGTTAAATACAACAAGTTAATTCTTCTTGAAAGTCAAAATCAAGAAAAAATTGATAAAAAGAATACTCTTATTGTGGACACAGCTAAATTAGCAGGTGATGTTAAAAAGTCTCAATAAAATATAGAAACATTTGGCTCTAAAAGAAAATTATTATTGCTTCATAGGTAAGCAATAATAATTTATATAAGGCCGGAAATATACATTTTGTTTTTGAAGTTTCGTCATCATGACAGTCTTCGGTTAGTCGTAAAATGCGTAACATCTAACGACAATATCAATTCGTAATGGAGAAACGTCTAAAAAATCTCACGGCAAATTACAACGGCTGTATAGCTTGAAAAGTAGTAGATGAAAATTAGTACCTTTATTTCGGCATTATTCACTGTTCTTTTTTCACTATTTCACTTCTATCTTCCATCAACAATTGTGTGTTATAATTAAAGAATTAGAGATGGAGAAAGTAGAGTCAGATGAAGACGCAGAAAAGGGGATGGAGGCCATCACCCAGCGCATCAAACAACTCCAAGATGCACTCCGAGAACAGAAGAGAGTGGCTGATGATGAAGAAAAGAGATACCAACATCATGTTGATGAGAGTAGAGATGCACTTGTTAGTATTATGTTTCTATATGTCTTTATCCTTTGTCTATTATAAATAAAATCTATTTTATTACTATTATACATATGTAGTAATGTTTGTATGCATGTTTCATTCTAGCACATATACTTTAAAACCATTTTAAACGAGATCTCAAGCCTTTAATAATAAGGCAATAGTGAAATTAACTACATAATCCGACCCCTGAACTTATTTTTTATAGGTTTTGGGTCGTAGTTGATATATGTCATATGTTTTAAACCATTTAAAGTGTTTTATTTTAATATTCACGACTATTGATATTGTTCATGTTTGCAGCCTTCTTGTTTATTTGTAAATAAAATGCTAATTGCTATTGCTTTTCACAGTCTCGACACAAGGAAAAAATATCAAACAAGGAAGAAGATATACAGACAAACAAGAAAACTATAACCAAGCTGGAGAAGCAAATAAACGATACAAACAAATCAAAACAGCGTTTAGATACAGTAGAAGCGAAGCTTAAGACTGCAGAAGAGTAAGTAATAAGTATCGACCTTTATGATAATTAGGTAAAAAGATGTGTGTTTGTTTTTTCATGCTTAAATGACCCTTAAGGTTTGAGCCACTTTATATTTGAGATATGCTTTAATTCAACATAATATTTATTTATTTTTATTGGTTAATATACAGCTTTGTTAAAATAAACAGATCGAATTAAGAACCTACTTTTTTGAATTTGGTTAATAAAAAACTATTAAGAGTTTAAAATGCGAAATTCGTTTAAAGTAAAATTGCGTTTTAGAGTCAATTAGTTTAAAAAGATTGATTCAGTTGATGTGCCGAAACCAGTTCAAAAATAATCCACTATACAATATAATATTTTATTACATTTGTCTACTTAAAGGGAGTATGAACGCGCTAAAAGTGACTTAAACACAGAAGAAAGCCAAAAAGAGATCAACGAAAATGAGAAGCTTATTGAAACTCAAGAGAACGAGCTTGAAGAACTCAATACAAAGGTAATAATACATTTTTATGAAAGGCTATTGTATGGTTAAATGAATAAAATATATAAACACTCAACGTTTATTTTTTAGGTTACCAAGCTACAAAAACAGACTGCCAAGTTAAAAGAGAGAGACATGATTGAAGAGTCTTTGAAACAAAAGGAAAGACAACTATCCGTCTTGAAGAATAAACATAAGTATGGGAATTGCAATTTTTACATTGACCGTTATATGCACTTAATTTCACTGTATATATATATATTTTTTGGTGATACCAAATTTTAGTAATGGAGGAGAAATTACAAAAGTACCTGTAAATGATAAATAGGCTTTTAAGGTAACATTTTTTATGCAAAATACCCCCAGGTATTGTCTGATATTTGCGCCTTCAGATCTTCGTGACCAAGATTGCGGCTACAGGTTTAACTAAAATATTGCGCGTTTTAACCCGTTAACAGTCATGCATTCAAAATATATGATAGCCAAGTTGCATTACCTAGGTAGCTCATTGCACTTACAAGGCATATATTCTGATCTTGATGATATTTTTTTATTTGGATGAGATTACACTAATAATTAATATTTATTCAACACTAGGTCTACCATAACAGAACTCTTGGGTGACATTCAAAATAATTTCGCTGTATCAGTGAACAAGCTGGAAGTGAAGCTTAGATCTGAAGTTGATTCCGCCAAACAGAAGATCAAAGAAAAACAATTAGAGGTTTGTGCTTAGAGTCTATTCTAAGTTAATTTTACTGTTTTATTTTATTCTTTATTATGGGCAAATAGATTATTTCTAATACATCTTTTCCATAAACATATCCTTAGTTTAATGAATACCTAATTAAATATCGTCTATACTTTACGTTAGTGCCGGTTACTAGATTATTTACATTTAAAGCTGTTAAAAGGGTTTTATCTAATATCGCGTGCATACATTTGATTTTTTTATTATTATAACTTAAAGGGTAGACTTTTTCCGATTTTTCATACTGTATTTCTATTCGTTACAGATAACGAGATTAGAGGCAGATCGCAAGCACATTCGCGAGCAGTTAAGCGAACGCCGTGCCGAACTAACTAAAGGAGAGGATCAGATGTACAAAGCATGCGGCACTCAATCCTATGAGACCACCCTGTCCAAGATAACAGCTACAGTAGAAAAATTGCAGGTACAGTAAAGCAATGCTCTATTACTATAAAACAAATATAAACGTTTTTTTTTATCTTTGAATTTAAGAATCTTTATAATATTGTATAACATCAATTTTCAGGATGAACAAAATGTACTCCAGTCATCCATGTTCATAATAGCAAAGTATAAAAACCAGCTCAGGGACAACAATTGCTGCCCCTTGTGTAGCCGTGGATTCGATTCTGAGACTGAGGTAATATAATTTTAATGTTACTTGTCCATAACATGAAATCGAATAAACAGATTAAATTAAGGAAAACACGACAAAGCTTTTACTTATCATGTACAGTAAAAATTCATGAAAAAGAATTGTCACTATGATATTCTCTGGCGCCTTAGATGCTATGAAGAGCAATTGTGGTGCAACAAATTTTCGTTTAAGGGGTCGTCCTTTAACTGAAATTTCCCATTAACCCATGAACCTACCATAAATACGGTACTTATCGTGGTCCTTCGAGCCGGATATTAGTTATTTGTTGTTTACAGAAAAATATATGTAAAAAATATTATTCTACAGTAGGACTAAGTGCCTTAAATTTTAACTTGTAATTAAACTCAGTGAAGATCTTAATATATGTATAAAATTTTTGGGAATGCCCATCTGTGATTCAGTTTCCATCAAGCTAATACGATAATTTTTTAAACTTTTAATAGGTAACAGATCTAATATCCCAACTGACTACTCAAGTTCTGAATGTGCCAGCCAAGCTAGAAAAAGTCACTGAAGAGCTGCAAGTAGCTTCAGCGAAGAAAGACGATCTTCTCAGTATGAAGTCACTCAACGAGAGGATAATCGCTCTTAAAGAAAAGGAAATACCGCAACTAGAAAAAAGAATGGCTGACGTAGATAGCGTAAGTATTTAACTTTTTATTAGGTATAATTATATACGAATAACTGACAAAACAATTAAGAAATACACATTTTTCTTTATAGTATTGGTGAGTAGCTCAGATATGTTTTTTATTCACTTATCTACGATCGCGTTCGTAATAGGTCGCTAAGACGAATGGAAAAATTAGTAATCTATTCTTATAATCAATATTTCATTCCAGAAATTTACTTGTTTAGAATGGCACCAGTATATTTTACAGCAAAGAGTTATGCCATCTAATATATATCTCTTCTTACTACCTTTTTGCTACTGTTTCTAAAAACTTCTTATTCTTTTAGCAAATATCAACCCTGAATGAGAGTTCTGAAGAATTGTCAATGTCAATATTGGAGCCTGAGCAAAAGTTGCAGAGCGCTCGTGCAATTCAAGGAGATATGCCATTACTTGATCGGTTCACCAATGAAGTCAACGCTTCAACGAAAGACGTAAGTAACTATAGATTATGTTGGGATTGCAAATCTGGTATAAATAGGTTTTATACATGGAAATGTAGGTTACATTTTCGGCCAAAAAACAAACGTGTGAAACATGAACTGCAAAAAAAAAATTATTAGTCAAAGGGATACAAAAATGTGTCTGAACTAAACCCTGTATAGGGGGAAATAAAGAAGTTATCTACAATTTGTCGAACTACATAACCATCAACATATTTTAACAATATTTATTTATATTGTCTTACAGTTTGAAGCTATAAAAGCGCAATGTACGGACATAATTACCGACATGACCCTTGATGAAGCAACTACTAAGCAGAACACCTTGCGTCAAAGCATAAGTACTCTACGCGCCAAAGTGAAGACCGCGCAGCAGAAACTAAACGCCTATAATAAGAAAATCAATTCCATGAACGAAAAGAAAATTAAACTTAAGGAGGAAGTTGTGAATATACAAAAGAAGGTTTGTGCTGATCTCGTCAAACGCAAAGTTATCGTTTTAATTTCCAGTTTGATTTTAATTAGGAGACATTTTACTATTATTAAAAGATATACTCACTTATTACTTTCATTTGGTATAAAATGTTTAAAAACGTTTGAAATTTTACATTTTTACTGTAGCATAAATGATATTTATTTATTATTTTAGGTCCAAGAACTGGTCAACCTACAAGAAAGCCTTAAAGAGCTTGAATTGAATAAGGAGAAATTTGTTGAGGAGCTAAAGGAATTACAAGAGGGCATTGCACCACTCGAAGCTGACCTCAAAGAGAAGATTAATGTTAAGAATGAAGTAGTTAAAAAGAGTAGGTGGGTGCAATCATTTCAAAAGTGTTTTGACTCTATAATGGCCTATCATGTTTACTGTCATATAAATTGATTTTGTCCCTTGTCGTGCAATACGAAAATAACTTTGCTACTTTTGCAACTGGCTGTTCCTGTATATTTACATAGTTTAAATGAATATTAGTATGTGAAATCCTGTTTCTGGCGTGTGTCCGTTTTAGATAAATAGAGCGACTTGACTGATCACATTTCTGTACTGACGGAAAATATTGTTGTTTCGGAATTGAAAACCAGGACTCCTGGTGTTCAACCATAATTTCACAAGGACATTTCTAAACTGTTTATACTCTTAAGCTAATAATATATTTCTAATCCATCAAAATTTTCAGAGGTGAAATAGACGTGAAAAACAATTACATTATGAAGGTGGTGAATGCCTTTGACAAAGTGAAGATCATAGACTTGGAGATCCGGCAACATAAGGAGCGTAACATCCAAAAAGAAATGGACAAAATTACAGAAGCCAATGAGTTGTTGATGGAGAAACAAAAGCAGATTATGGCGGATCGCGATATTCTTACGAAGAAAATGTCCAGTTTGCGAGATGAGCTCGCTAAGCAAGAGGTAATAATACTGTTATTAAATTGTATTTTCAACTAGCTGTGTCCGTGACTTCGTCCGCGTGGAATAGTTATTTTGTGCATCGTAATTTGTTTTTGCCAACCTCGTCTTCATCTTTATAAATTTAAGCTGTTTCCCACGGTGTCAGTACATAATGTCATAACTTCCTCGATAAATGCTCTAACCAACACAAATAATTCCAATCATTACTTCGTGAGATTAGCTTCAAACAAACAAACTCTTCAGATTTATATATTAGTATAGATTTCCTTTAAAACACTTATAATTTAATTACATCTTAAAAATACCAGTGAATTACTAAGATGTAATATATGACTATTTAGAACTCGTTTAAATAAGTGTTGTTAACAACAAGAGACAATCCTTCATACCGTAACATAACATTAACATCTGTCGTATCATAAATAATAATGTCGTATCGATTTGAATTTTAATAAAATATTTAACTGGGTACTTGATTCTTTTCGTTTTAATGTATTTTTTAGATATACAAACGTAATTTAGACGATAATCTCAAACTACGCAAAGCGCAAACAGACATCGAATCTTCCGAGAAGGATTTAGTGGAGATCAATGAAAAGCTTTCTGGTGTGAACACTGAAATGCTTTCGGAAAAGGAAGAGCTAATCTCCAAACAAACCAAGATCTTCCGGGAGAAAGCGCAGACGGAAGGAAAGCTTTCGGAACTTAAGGTATAACGCAATTAAATTTAATATATTCGTGTTTACTGTGTAATTATCAATGCGATGAATGATAAAATGTGATGAAACATCTGTAACGCATTTCGATTGACACTTAATTTCTTAAATTATATATTCAATAATGCGGATGCCCCATGCCCCAAATTGAGAATACTGGACTTTTCTTTAACTCGAAATAACGTTACAGGAAAGATTGAAACAAAGCAAAGCAGAACTGAAACGGACCCAAAACAAAGACATCGAAACTCGGTACCGAGAAAAAAATTATGAACTGCACGTGACTAAGGCAATAGACCGCGACGTACGGGACTACCTTGTAGCACTTGATAAGTGTCTCCTAGAGTTTCATAGAGAGAAAATGGAGAACATAAACCTTATTATTAGGTACGTGTTGATTAAATAGAATCCAGTTTGATTTATTTCTTTAATTGGATTTATCTCTATGGCAAGAGGGACCAACTCAAAAATTTAAACTGAAAATGGGCTTTAAACATTGCATACGGCAAGTCACACACTTTTCACATATTGTTCAGTGCTGATCGAAAACCTACTTTTCTAGGGAGATGTGGCGAAAAATTTACAGAGGCAACGACATCGACTACATTGAAATAAAGACTGAAGGTAGCATGACGGCCGATTCGGATCGCCGTAAATACGATTACAGGTATTACTTGACATGAAGAATCACACATTTAATACAAGCTTGTTACTATGTTATGTATGACTAATTGTAATTACAGAGTGGTTCAGTGCAAGAACGGGGTAGAGATAGACATGCGCGGGCGCTGCAGTGCTGGTCAAAAGGTGCTCGCGTGTCTAATCATCCGGCTAGCTCTGGCAGAAACATTTAGCTCCAGGTAAAAAATAAATAACTTTCCATACTATTGATTTGAATGATAGAAATAATGATTTAGTAAATAACCTTTATTCAATATTCTAGATTTGGCGTACTTGCGTTAGATGAGCCAACGACAAATCTAGACGCGGAAAACATTCAGAGTCTATGCTCTGCACTCGGAGAGATAGTACAAGAGAGAATGAAACAAAAGAACTTTATGTTTATTATTATTACACACGACCGTGAATTTATCGAATCTTTAGGTAATATCGATAAGGTTACCCATTACTATGAAGTATCCAGAAATGACGAAGGAAAGTCTAGAATTAAGAAAATAAGATTTACATAGAGCTAAATTAATTATTGCAGCATTTATCTTTTAGAATGATCTATCGTAAAGTGTTGAAGGCTGTTTATTTCTGTTTAAAGAATATTCTATCAGTCTTAATTATAGAAGATTACAATATAAATTTTAAATTATTTAATAGTTTAATTTATAGACTTAATAAATAAATACATCCAATTACACTATATTTCTACACCTGTAATACTGTGTAACGGTTGACATATTGCATGTTGATCTATATGCAAAATTTTACTCTCCTGCAGAACAGTGAGTGTTATCCCCAAACATTCAGCTATTTGCATCAGAGGAAATGATAAAGACAAGCATTTGGACATATAAGGAACCAAGTCATCTGTGAAACAGACACAAAACGATACATAATTTTGCCTCTCTATGTCAGTGAATGCTTGTTGCTCTCTGTGATAAAATGCTACCATGATTTGGACCGCTTTTTCCAAAGATTTTATGAAACTGTTATAAACGTTTTTAACAATATTTAGTGGTGCAGTGACTCGTATTGAATTGAGGACATTCAATAGACCATTACAATATTCAGCTAATGGATAGTAATCCAATAATATTTCTGGTGGCCCCGATGGCATACTTTCATTTATCGGCCTGGGGATGTTTTTAATACTCGAAACTTTGTATGACTTCATATAATGCTCAAACTGATTATCTGCTTTTTCTAAGCCATTGTTGAATTGAGCCAGAACATTGTTTCTAAATAAAGGTGTCAATACACATCTTAAGTCAGCCCCAACTCTGCCAAATGACAAACACAAGTACATGCACTGGTTTAAAAGCGATTCAAAACTCGATTCATCCTCTTTATAGATATTTTGGTCTAGTGTCCTGGCTAGTTCTTCCACCTGCAAAATCAGTTTTGGTTAGAAACTTTCAAATAATACTTAATTGTTACTTAGTTACATAAATGGATGCATATAAAAGCTACCTTTTGTTTTAACCAAGAAGACAAAGCACTTGTTCCACTTATTTCATCATCTCTGACTTTGGACTCTTGTGAATCGGATAAGAATATTGATTTGTGTTGTGTTAAAACATTAAACAGGTGTATCCTGTGTAATTCAACTATCCTCCTCAATAACCTATCAGGAGCTGGAATAAACATAAAATATAAATATATTGTATGATTGAATGTAACAGTATATATAATTACCAAAACACATACATTCAGTTGTTTTTGCATCTTCAAGAGCTTTTTCAAACCAAGCATTTCTTGCCTTTAAAAAATGTAAATGTAATCCATCTGATGAAGCATTTTTGCTTCCCATATAATTGTGGTCTTCTTCAGTTGATTTGAATACTATGTTTGCTCTACGTAAATATCCCAAAATCTAAAAAAAAATATTTTTGTAATTTAGGGGTACTTGTTTTGGGTTGGCTACCAATTCCACTGCAGTATGAACTTAGATCTGACATTCAATGAGTTCGTAGAACAATAAACTTACTTGCAAGCACTGTGGTAAAGGTAAGTCATAATGAAGCTGGTTGAATAAGTGGTATAAGGTTTCATACCACAAGGTCATAATTTCAGAGGTTGTGTTCTGGAAAAAATATATTTTTTACTACATTCTTATATGTATAAACTACAGACAATTTGAATGTAAAAAAAAAATGCATACCTGCACAATTGGTATATTTGAATATCTTTTGGACAAATTACGAACAAAGGTAAATATATCCAAAGCACTTTCATAATCTTCAGAATTTAGTGCTTCCCTCATCAAAGACGGTAACTCTAGTAATTCAAGTAGCTTATCACTCTCATTTCTTATGTTGCTGTATTGCCTGTAAATGAACACAATATTTATATCAAACTAAAATTTAACCTATAAGTTAGGTTAAGAAGAGGGCAGATCTTATGTATTTTGTTTCTATCATAATTTTTTACAAAAGACAATCCCTAAAAATAGTGGTAAGTTACTTTTTGTCTTGTATGATATCTGAGGCAACTTGTGAAAACTTCTCACATTCCTTCACAAAATCTGGTGTTATTTCAAGGAAATTAGCAATAGAGTCCTTAGACTTGCCAAGATGTTTCATAATGGTTCTGGATATCTCAGCTGTTTCTACAAAAGTTTTGTAATTGGTAAAAGCCAGTTCCTGTGTCTGTTCAGTCAAATGCTTCATTTCATCATTCAGTCTCTCTGGCTCCTTTGAAATTTGCTCCCAACTATTTGACCCTGTTTTTCTAATATAATCCGATATATCAGCGAAGTAGTCGGCATTTTCTGAAAAATTAAAATATTTAGCGTCATTTTTTTTTATTTACGTGTCATAAATATAAAACAATTATGTTTAAAAATAACAATTTCTGAAACTAATAAATAATCTACCTGAGGCTGAATCAGGAAATATTAAATTACATAATTCCTTTAATTCTTGCGCCATGCTGTTAATTTATTTATTACTTGCTTCTTAAATATTTTGTACTAAAATATAATTCACTGACATTCATTAGATGAAATTTTTTATATTATCATCTACCACAGACTCAAATATAATATAGACTATTTATCGAATAGTTTTTGGTTTATTATCTACGGGGCATAATGTCAAATGACATGACTACTACTATATAGTTATTTGTTATCTGTTCATGTATTTGGCTAAAATATAATTTTCATGATAGCCTTGGTAATTTTACTTATTAACTAGACCAAAACTTCACATTAATTATCATTAAGTGTTAATAGATCGAAATATAATTGATTGGATATAGTAAATATTATTTCTGTAAATACGTTGTTTAAAAGTTGGTTTCCCCTTTTTATTTACCACAAGAAAAAGTGATCGAGTAGTGTGATTGCGTCATGTGAAACCCCAAGTAAATAAGGACTCAGGTAAAATTAATCAAATAAAGTTGTTGAATCAATTTTATATTGTTTAAAATTTTCAAATTTCCATGAAATATATTGTGTATATCACCAACTTAACCTTTCATTTGACAATAACCTATTCTCGGCACCATTTTTGTTGCGCCATTTCAGTTCTAATCTTAACGTTACATTATTACGTGTTAATACGGACACATGCATAATTTTCTTAAATTTCCCTTCCCAACGCTTTATAAAATGGTTTATATTTTTCGTTTAGGTTATGTTGATGTTTTGATGTTTGCCTTCTTATTTTGAAGTTTAGTCGATATTAAGCTAGAGAATGTTGGAATTTCTAAAACGTAGTTTTTTTATCCTGCATTTTACCGGATGTAGAAAACTAATAATTTCTTTTAAATGTTTGCTTATCTGTTATTATCTTGGAGATATGCGTATGTAAACAAAGTATTATAACCTCAAATTGATACATTACAAAAGTATAATTTTTATTAAATTATATTACAGGTGTCGAACATGCTTTATAAACATATGTTGGATTTTATATATATTGAAAACGAAAGTTATCTTTCAAATGAAAATTGTAAATATAAAGAGATGTTATTGAATAAGTGAAGAAATAACTCAAGTATGGAGGGTGATGAGTTTCACCTCCATTGGGGGGATCAAGATGTAAAGGTAATGTTTTTCTGGTATTTTATTTTGAACTTTCATAAGTTGATGATCAATATAGATAATTATAGCAATGGTATCTTGAGAATGATTTTTTTAACTGGGTATAATTTGAAAGTTTCATTAAAATATATGTGTTTGTTTTAGTCTAACATAGAAGTGTCTGAAGAAGTAATATGTGAACTAGGAAATGTGCAGACAGTACCATACTCCAATATGGTGTGTACATTCTTCATCTTACGTGATAAGTAAAAAGAATAAAGAGTCAAACTAAATCAGACTATTTACATATTATAATTGTTCTATTTGAAAAGACTAAAAATCACACTAAAATATTGTTTATAAAATACTTTACTCTAGATTTTGTATTTCAGACAGAAGAAGAACTGATAGATAATGCAGATAATATAGCTGCAGAAAATTTAGTTTATTTATCACAAGATGTAGTGACTTACACAGAATCGGCAGATATTGTTTCCGACCCTAGTGTTGAATGTGTTACAGAGGAAGTTATCACAGATGACTGGGTCATTACTGGTGGCCAAGAGAGGTAGGGCTTTATAATTTTGTTATCTACAACAATAAATTATAGCTTGTTTTCTACTACATTACACCTTAAAATTAATTTAACTTAACCTTTTCAGAGTGGAAGTGCCTTTTGAACAGTTTGTACCAGCACAGGAAATTAAAATAGAGAATGACCTTGATGTGCCATTACCAACGGATCAGGTAAACATTCTATTGATTTTACTTCAACCTTTTCTGTTAGTTTTAAGGTACTTGTACAAAGCTTTTAGTAAATCATATAAATCATAATCATATTTTCTTTAACATCTTTTATTAAAAAGATCATTCTTATGTTATTATTATTATCATGTTTAAAATTTTACCAAAATAATAGGATGAGTACACAGCGATGCGACCGTTTCCATGCGATTTCTGTTCTCGTCGATTTCGAAAGAAGGCAGCGTTAATGAATCACATGGTGGCACATCAGAATGACAGACCTCATGCGTGTAACTTGTGCGGTGTGCGTTATGTACGCAAATGCGACCTTATGAATCACCTCAAAGTGCACGCGTTTATTCCAGACGTTACTGAACAAGTAGAATATCACAGCAATGGTAAGTAGTCTTGAACTGCTTGTGGTCTTATTTATACTATATATTCTGTAATAACTAATATGGTCTGTAAATACATACCTAATTCAGAGCACTTTAACATGTAGACTGTTTGGCATAATGGTAGCAATGTCTGGCTAATAATCATGGTTTCGATCGCCACTGGGTCCAACATTTTTTAAATTAATTATATCTTAAACTTGTTGGACTCCATCTGCACATATGTATATTAAATGCATAGTAGGAATATCGAAATTCCGTCTGGTCACAAACCAGCCTGGGTGAAAAAGCTGTGAATTTTATTCGCATTTCGGTTTCAGTTTGTGGATTTTGGAATAGACAAAACCAAGAAAGATCGATCAATAGCGATCTTATTAGGCTTAGGCATTCCACCTTTAATACAGTGAACCCCAAGCTTGTCTGTACTCCTCATATGTTAATAAATTATCAGTAATATGTACCGCGACATAAACGAGCGTTGCTAACAGTGTATACATATTTATTGTCATAAATATTTCTTATTAAGTACATTTCTTACAGATGATGAAACAGACAGTAGATCATTAGCTATGCCAAAAAAGAAAAGAGGAAGACGGAAAAAGAAACCAGAGCCTGTAAGTTATTTAAAATTACATCCTTGTATTAGTATGTTTTTAATTGAGTGTTATACTACTTGGCTGCCACAGTCTATATTACAACTCACATTATTGATAAAAATGTAATCTTAAAAGACACTTTTGTTGTTTTGTTTTGTTAATTTTATCATTTAATTGTATATATTACAAACTGATTGTTTCTATAATTTCTTATATTACAGAACGGTGTATTAGACGTAAACATGAGATCTGCGCGCACGCAGCAATGGTCGCGTCGTGGTCGCACGCCGCCAAAATCCCCCCCTACTCCTCCAACACCTTCACCACCACCTTCGCCATCGCCTCCTCCGTCACCTCCCCCGCCACCCGCGGACCCTTCGAGACCCTTCGTCTGTCGGCACTGTGGGGTTGGATTCGCTAGAGAGAAAGCGCTTCAGTCGCACGCCAGGGTTAGTAATCTTAACTTTAAGTAAATTTTAAAATTTACTGGTTAGATTTATTATTTTGAACATGTTATTGCACATGGAAAATATATTGCGCGAGAGTTGGTTGAAGATATATGTTGTGAGCTATATATAAAGAGTGCAGAATGTGAATTATTTCCTCTTCTGTCTGTTTGTTTGTTATCACAATTAGCAACAACTTTCTTTATAGTCTGGCGTGTCTTGTTATGTGACATTGATACTCATGTCGTGACACCTATTATGAAACAAGTATTTATTGGATGTTTGCTTAATTAGATACATGGTGGAGATTCACCGATGGAGTGCGGTGAGTGTGGCGAGTTGTGCTGGTCTCGGGAGGCCCTCGCTTCGCATGCGGCTCAAAAGCATCCACACCTCTCTCATTTGCCAAGATCTAACAAACACGAACCTTACGACGATAATTCGGGTATGACAATCTGCTTTGACTTAACGTTTTCTTTCTATTATAAGAATAAGGCATTGCTCCCCAATCAAATTAAAAAATCTTAACTCTACTTAGATCTAAGAAATATGCAATATACACAATATTTTTAGCCTGTTCTCAAACATCAATCAATCTCATTGCTGATGTGATTCGTGGACTATTGATTGAGTCTGTGAATATCACAGGACTTAACGCAATGTCACACTACATACCGTGGCCTGTTGGCGGCATTAAATAATATTTAAAACGCAGCTTTAGTTAATCCAAAGGCGTATGCATGAATGAAATTTTATTCATTATTGATAATCAAAAAGAAAATCACTTTCTGAAAATTTGGTTGATGAACTTGGAGACTTTTCTCCCTAAAAATATTATTTATCGCATTATAATATATTTTGGCTATAAACTTACTAATACAACCTGTTGTTGACGAATGAAATGATATGCTTTATTGCAGGAGATGACATGGACTTTCGACTGTCTCCGCTTGGTCACAGCGGAAGCGAAAACAGCGTCCGTCAAGTATTGGTCTATGACACAGTTCGGGGTCCTGAACTCTTCTGTCAGGTCTGCGGCGTTGCGTTCCAGCGGGCTGACTTACTACGGAGGCATGTCACCGCTGCCCATAGGTATTAATCTACCTCAAATCAATTTAATTAAACTAATGTACATCGCGTTTTAAACCGTTAAAGTGTTTTATTTGAATGTGTACTACTCCCGTAAACTAACGACAGTAGTATAATATACATTAATTAGAAGACTGACTGACTTTGAAGGGTAGCGTCTGTGATTAAATAATCAATTGTTATAGCTACAAGCGGCACGATAGCACTAGCAGTACCTGGGAACAAGAGCACACGTGCGACGTTTGCGGGGAGAGCTGTCCAGACGCGTTGACGCTGCTAGCTCACGCCGAGAGACATACAGAGCGACACCGCCCTAACTCAAAGTAATATTTTATTATCATCACTTTCAATCGCTTTTTTATAATCGAGGTGGAGATGAGCATGTGGTTCACTTGATGAAATACCCCAGCGATACACAAGATACATCTCAACAAGATGCGCGATGTCGACCTATTTTGGCTAAATATATAAGGCGTTCCATGGCGTTAAAATAAGTTACATTAGTTATAGAAAAGTTCTTAATTTGTCTGAGACAGCATGAGGGTTTCCACTACATTTGTGCTATGCTATATTCTTACTTTTAACACCCACTAATCGTATTCATTGTTGCACATAGATTCAATGATGATATGTTATTCTATATGGAAGGATGCGTATTTTTTATATCATCAAACCATTGTTTCAGATTTAAAAAGCTTTCAAAAGGTCGAAACGCGACATCCAGTAACAGTTCAAGACAATTTCCTTGTAGGGAATGTGGTAAGTAACTTGTAAGCTGTGTAAAAATTGGGGGGAGCCATGTCTCAATTTTGTATTTTTATTATTTTTTATTTATGCTTATGTTCTAGGCAAGGTGTTCGGTTCGCGCAGCTCTCAGCAGATTCATGTTCGTATTCACACGGGTGAGCGTCCCTACGCTTGTAGATTTTGTTGGAAGGCTTTCGCCGACGGTGGCACTTTGCGTAAACACGAGAGAATACATACAGGTACAGTAAGAATTTATACATTTCTGGATATCTGTAGGAGTTTACCTGCAATAGATTTTTGTTTTCGACGCCAATAGATGGCAGCGTAATTAGTTCACACAGTGAAAGATAGAGCTCCAATTAGTTGTCTTTGGATGATAGACCTTGGCGCGTATGGTTAATACATAGGATATAGTGTTAAAGCCTCCCTTAATATCGACAACAAAGTATTTTACAGTGACAGTTATCGGACAAAATAGAAACATTGTAATTTTTACCCAACCAATTTGACACGACAACTCAATTGGTCGGTAGGACGTAGATAGTAGATGCCGGCTCAAGTCCCGACCATGTTGTAAATTTTTTTCAATTTAAAATCGATTTTTAATTTATATAGTGTCAGCGATTACATGTGAAAATTAGTTAATAAAACATAAAAAGTTTTCAATTGTAACTTTTTTCTCATAGTTAGTTTTCTCCCTACATTGAAAAACAACCCACTGTGTGCATAATATGGTTTGTATTGTTGCAATAAACATATTAACCATCTTCAAACTTTTCAGTTGCTTGGTCTAATTTATTGAAATTGTAACTTCTTGTTTATAGGTGAGAAGCCGTATGCTTGCGCCGTGTGTCCACGGGCGTTCAACCAACGAGTCGTCTTACGCGAACATGTTCGCTCGCATCACTCGGCCCCAGACCGAAGAGCTAATGGTAAATTAAAAAAAAAAAATTAAAACTAACTGACCTCCATATTTATATTGCCATTTGAAGTATTTCGAAGTTTGAGTCCATAAAAACGATCCTTATAGGTTAATCTTAATTCGCGATATTTATTTAGATTTTCCTGTGTTTTCCCTCCTATTGGTCGTAGTGTGATATTTTATACGCCTGAAGTTTTCCTCGATAAATGGTCCAACCAAGTATTTTGTCAATTCAAATCAATAATTCCTCAGATTAGTGTGTTGAAATAATATATGTAAAATGACCTATTGACAGTAACAAATTTTTATTCTTGATTACTGGTGTTATTTAAATGTTATTCAATACATATTGTTAATAGATTTAGGACACAAAATACTATGTTTGTGTTTCAGGTGGATACCAGTATTCATGTGGCGTGTGCAGTCAACCAATGCTGAGCAGCGCAGCTCTAGTTCAGCATCTTATACAGCACTGTGACGATAATACTGCGATGAAAAGACAACCACATGTAATTTAGAATATTTTTTTATTCGTAGTAGTTATATGTTTTTCAGATCATTATGTAAGAGGAAATAATTTAAATTCACTCTCTTGAAATATTGTCTACAAAAAGTATTCTATGTGCTTTTAGCTCTGTCATTAGTAGTTTATTCATAAAAGCCATTAAAAGAGTTTCTTTGTAATAAATGTAATATTTTAAAATATTTTTTTCTCAGTCCGGTCCTCGAAAATATAAACGTCGACGGAAAGTAAAAATGGAGCCAGCATCGTCGCCGACTGGTGAGTGGGGCGAGTCGCGTTCTGTGGGCACGTCCCCGCCCCCACGCTCGCCCTCCCCCGAACCTCCGCGCCCCACACCGCCGCCTCCGCGTCGACGACGACGAGTGGCGCCTGTGCAAGTTGCCAGACCGCGTATGATACACACCTCTGAAGAGACCAGGGCGAGAACGAAACAAGTAGGTCAAATTGTATTATTATTATGATTAATGCATGTTAACAGAACAACATTATAGTATCATTTTCTAATACTTAAAGAAAAGAGATTATTGTTAATTGAAATAAGCTAAGCAAAATATCGAACACTGATTAACCTCATATTGTAATAATGTGGATCGCTTTTAGACGCTTATTACAAAACAATATAAAATAAAAATTTATTAATTTTCTAATCCTAGATATCTTTAAATCAAAAAGGATTGATTTTCCCCTACATGAATTTGGCAAAACTAACTTTTTTGACCACTTGGTCTGAAAAGGTATACATATTTTATTTAAAAAACTTTCAGTATCATATTATCTATGATTAATTATGTTGGTGTAGAAGTTTGCATAGGTTCTAAGAGGTACATTATATATGAACATATCTTTGAATTGTTTCTTGAAACGTTTACCAGGTACGTACGCGTCGACCGCCGCGTCATCCAGCAGATGACCTGCGAGCGATCGCTCGCTCAGACTCCCCTGCCCACCCTACGGCGCCTTCACCTGTTGTCACGCCATCACCACCACAATCTCCCAGTTCACAACAGTCCCTCGAAGAGGGTCCTTTTAAATGTGAAATGTGTGCAAAGGAATTCCCGAGGCGTGACGCACTATTACTGCATGTCCCTGTACACATATGACGAAGGAAACCCGTCAGGGGCAAAAAGAAAGCAATCAAGAAGTAGAATAGTCCAGAAGGTGCTAAATATTACTGCATAATCCCAATTCTGCAAAGTCACCAACTAGTGACCTAAGAGCTATTAACACACCTTTACAGCATTCTGTGTAAAATAACAATCAAATTAAAAAAGCCTGTGTTGCAATAATGATATGCCCTTTATTGATACAATATCAAATGTTAAAAACTGTGCCCCATTGGGACCCATGAGTCAGGACTACATTGTTTAATATGTAAGTGACCCTAAGGTAAAATTATTTTTAAACTACTACCATAACACCATACATTATGTATTTTACTTGTTCTTTACTTTTGTCGCTAATATACCTGAAAAATTATTGTTTATATATTTAGTTCTTCAGTATTGAGCTGGACTCAAAATTATATAATACTGTAAAAGACATTATCCAATGGGGTTGTTTTATGTAATAATATTTTAATTGACTTATCATTTAATTTTGACAAAGTATAATAAGGTTAATAATAAATTACATATGTACATATTTGTTTCCTCCAACATGTTTTTAATCATGAAATATATTTTATTTTTGAAAAATATCAGCAATACACATTACGCATAATTTAAGTTAAAAAAATGTATGTCTATTATTTTATAAAAACCAAAGCCTTTTGACAACTAATTTCTATTTACATCAATTTTTACTCCATGTGAGTCTCGGACATTGTTTATTGGTCTTGTCTATATTTAACTAATTGACTGATTGATGTGTGGGATTGTACATATTATATAAGGTTATTGTAATTATAATGTATCATAGTACATGTTGTATGAAAATAAAAATTTTTGATTGGATATTTGTCAATATACATTTCACAGTATCACAACAAATTGAGATCATTAGTCCGTAAAACTACTGCCCGCCCTACCACAATGGTTTAATAAAGAGAATTCTCAAACTGAAAATTGTATGCATATTAGCATAATGTTATAGATATTAACAATATACTTCAATACGGATCGTAAACTAACAGATAATCGAAATAATAATCCGATCTAGGTGGAGTATCCGCAGCTAGACCACGAGTATAATATAGCGGACATTAGTCTTAGCTTAGACCGCATCGCAGTGTGGGTGATGGCAAAGACAATATTAATTACGAATCTGTGCACACAATGTAAATTTGTCAATGTCATTACCAAAAACAGATGTCTATTGTCAAGCTCAAAGATTATATTGCATACTCTTTAGAAATTGACATAAGCTAATGATTATTTCAGATTGACGTGGTTAAAAAGTTATTGCAATAATAAAAATAAGAATACTGAAAAATACTACAAAAGAATACAATAACGGTATCTATAGTGGTAAACATTTGCAACAGCAGTTGGACTAGATGAAACAAGTCTATTTCTGGTTTAAATTGTAGATTCAAGTTTCACTTAAGGATTTCCCTACTTGTATAATTAAACTTGGATTGTAAATTGCATAATAAAAGAACTGAGACTGTAATTCAAAACGGCGGGGCGAAGTAGCAATATGAGAAGGGCCAGAGACGGTTATCAGTACCAGCCTGTTCCCAGGGCTCCTACTGAAGATGTACTGGAACATGAAAATGAAAGAATGGCAGAGGAGCTCAGTGGAAAAATAACCACCCTTAAACATATGTCTATAGAAATTGGTAATGAAGTTCGGTATCAGGACAAAATGTTGCGTGGCTTGGATGATGATGTTGACAGAAGTTCTGGGTTCCTAGGGAAGACAATGGGTAGAGTTTTGAAACTTGGCAAAGGCAATCACAACTATTATATATTTTATTTGTTCTTGTTTTCAATTTTTGTCTTCTTTCTGCTTTACATAGTATTAAAGTTTAGGTGATCACCATCTTTGTAAAGATAATGTGTTGTTCTTCATTATAATCATCACTATATATTTGTAAATATTAAATTGTTTATCAAAATATTTATCATGTCTTGTTTTCTTGCATCATCACTGCAGTGTTCATGATGGAACATGATGAAGCTTCCAATAATATACTATTATGGGAAAGACATCAAAGAACTATGGTTTTTTGTAATTAAACATTCTTAATTAATGTTTAATAGAGTAATACGATGTAACCTTAAAGACTAGCAAGAGAGAACAGCATTACTTTTTTAGAACAAGCAATAAATACTTATAATAATACTCTTTAATATTTAATAACAAACAGGAAATGTGTACAATTCTTGTAATAAGTTACAATATTCTTCTCCAACTGCATCTTTTGTTATTGCTATATAAAGATGGCATTTTGAATTTAAAGTCTTTGAACAGCTCCGTGCCGTGTCAATAAGTAAAGCTACTAAACCACAAGCACTCTGCATTTTTGCTTCTGTTGCATATGAATTTAAACTATCAATGATAATGGTGGTTGGGACATTTTTCCACTCAGTCAATGATGCTAAGCTTTCAGTTAAAGACATTTTATTTCGAGTATATAGAAAACTTATCATTTTTATATAATGTCTGTCCACTGAAGTGATGTCTTGCGATAATTCTGGTAATTCGGTTAATTCTTCTTGAGCTATGTATAAAACTTTACCACACTTTGCATGTAGTAAAGCTTTTTCAAAAAGCTTCTTTCTATTTTTAAATTCATCTTCTAATAAAAATTCTACGCTGATTTTATAATTTTCCATTGCATAAAAACAGTATAAAATAAAATCTCTAAATATTTTTAATAAGCATCAAAATATTAATATAATAACAACTTTTAAGGAATGTTTTACCAGACTTGACAGGCGTTTATGACAGTGACATTTCGTATTTTTGTAGAGTATATTGCGAGCTTACGACTTACATGAATTACAGTTTACACACGAATACATTAGTTTTGAGTACACTGAATTTTCGGCAAACGCCTAAAATTACACATTTCAACAATTAACAAACTATAACTTTTAATTTAAGAGCTTCATCACATTTTTAGCATTCCTAACAGAAATTTCATACAATGGTTTATAGATTATTTTCAAACAGACATTACACAACGTTAGACCATTTAGCAATGAAGTTGATTAAATGAGGCAATAAAAGGCCTGATATTGTACAAATATATTTATTCCTCTTATAATAATTGATTTCTTCTTACGAAGTATCGGGTAGTCTTTGGTAAAGATGTGGTCGTGAAGCACACCCAGGACATACATGTAGTGTTGAAGATATCATGCTCTCGCATTCCCAACAATAATATTCCACACAACGATTGCAACGATAAATCTAAAAAAAAAGGATTACTAAATTCTGTTCCATATAAAAAAAAGGAATATGTATGCTCATACTAAGGGATTCAACTTTTAAACAGAATAAGCAATACCTGTTTATCAACATCCGTAAATGATCTTACGCAGGCAAAACAAAATTGACTTTGCCCATCATTTTTTAACTCTTCAAATGGATCCACAGGAAATAAATGGTGATAAGATCTGAAAGCAACAATGGTGTTTTTACTATTGCAAACAAATGGTTAATAAAGGAAGTAATTTGCAAAATCAAAGTTTTTATAAATTATGTTTATTATATTTTACCTGGCAAGATGTGGTGCTGATGCTAAAGTAAGACCGCATGTTCGACATTGAGCTGGCAGAGAACAGTACTTGCTGCGACACTGTGGACATAAATGGCCTTCTCCACCAACACCCTCACCTTCATCTATATGGCTGCAACAAAGAGTAATTTAAAATTTAGGAAAAGTTTTACTAATTAAAAAAGTAACTTACCATCCACACTTAGTCATGCTCAAATCATCAACCATAATTTTTTTTAAATAAAATACTTTAACGGTTTAAAAGACGATACATATTAGTTAAACTTTTATGAAAATTATTTTAACTACAGGAGCCATGGTCACAGGGAGTGTATCCCCGGCTGCTGCAAAGCAGGCCGTAGTTAAAATTATTTTCAAATAAGTTATATATCTCGCTTGAAACCATTAAAGTGTTTCATTTAAATGTGTACAACTTGCGCAATACAGACAGTATTTAACAATAAACAAATCTAAATACTAACTTTAACGTCTATTTGCTCACCACATGCATATTGTTATAGGTGGCTCTGTATCGGACTGTGTGGATGGTGGTGCAGTATGAGGAAAACCCATTTTCACAAGTCCGGCATCAAGCGCACGTGCTCTAGGCGGTGGCGAAGTGTGTTCTAGTAATAAAGAGCGGTAATGTACGTCATCTAATACCACCTGAAAGATTATACAAATATTTAATTTTAATTAAAATATTATTTACAGTAAAAATTATAAATAAAATGTCAGTACCACAGTGAGATACAACGCAGCGGCACTTCATTATGCTTAATTATATAGCAATTGTTAAACTAATTGTATGTATAGTCCAAACTAAAGTGTATTTTTTCTAACTTGGTCAAAGACCACAACATATATGGCCGATTTCAAACGATTAAGATTTAGTGATGCACTTTTATATAGTGTTTGCAACAGATGACACAGAATTAAAGAAATTTCCATAATATGTTGAAAATTATGTTTATGTCATTATTTTTTCATTTCACGTTTGTAACTCTTTTTAGCGATTATTCATGAGTTTTAATTTTGCCAAGAAAAAAAAAATACTCTGTACTTTGAAATACTACTGCCTTTGAAGTGAAAACTTTTATCTTGCATTAGAAATATTGACCAAATTATAAACAAGTAACTAAGCTAAGTGTAACATACACATATCTCAATAAATAGCTTTAGTTACCCCATAATCACCTCCTGTGTCCTGACACAATTTTTTACATATCCTCACTTCAGCTGCTAGACCAATTACAGAGCATCTAATTCCTTCATTTTTTAGATTCTGGAAAACATGCAATATTCTTTGAAGATATAAAGAACAATTAATATTTATCCTACTCCATCTTCATTGTTACATATTATTTATTATATGCAGATGGATGGAATTATATTTTATAATAAGATAGAGACTACATTAATGTTAGTTTTTTGTACTTTTTGGTATTTTTATTATAAAATATTTTTATGAATTCTAAATTGTTTATACCTGAATAGTTGTGTTCACATCACCAGGATCACAAGTAGTTAATGAAGCAAACAAAACTAATAATTCTCTTGATGCATGTCCTGGGAGAGGTTTTAAGACGCGATGAGCCATTTCTAGTGTATTTTGCAATGAGGGTTCTCCAGTTAATGCTAAATTTAATAAGCTGTAAAATTATACAGTTTGTATGACATCTAATATATAAAATTCTCGTGTCACAGTTTTCGTTGCCATCCTCCTCCGAAACGGCTTGACCGATTTTGATGAAACTTTTTGTGCTTATCCGGTATCTATGAGAATCGGCCAATATCTATTTTTCATCCCCCTAAATGTTAGGGATAGTCCACCCCTAAATTTTTATTTTATTTTTTAGACAAAATTGTTAATTTTTTATAATACAACATACAAAAATACATACAATCCTTAATTTTCACCCTTCTACGATAAACCCTTATTCTTTAATAGCCATTTTAGTAATTTAATAATTTTCCCTCTCCTGTCGAAAACTGATCAATCGTCATTTAATTGTTATAAATTATTTATATGGCAAAACAATATTTCCCGGGTCAGCTAGTCATGCTATAAAACTTTAATAAATCCTCAGTTTTCATGATAAAAGTTGTAAGTCTCACCCTTGTACTACTTTAATATGTTTCCTTATATTTCCTGACAATTCAGTTATTTTTTCAGCTCTTTTATTCTTCATTGTTATTAAGCCCAATTGGCTAAGAGGGTTTTGATCAAAGAATTCTTCAATAAATTTCTCTAGTAACTGAAACAATAACTCAATGAACCTGGGTGTTATAAAAAAAAAAAAATTCAGACTTAAGTATAAAAACTTTTTCTTCTAAAAGTAAGACAAAATATGTGCAGAGTTATGAGCACCACATGAGCAATCACACCAAAGTAGATATTGGACATCTTTTGTATAGTGCAATTAAACAAAATAGAATTTATTTATTTAAATACTGTCTGTATAATAGGAGTTTTATTTTATTAAATTATTTGTGGAGTATGATAGGATGGCGGACTAAAGTAATACTTATAAAATGTATACATCTCTTTTTAAAAATATAAATATATTAATAATTAGGTGTTAATCTTGTAAAATATAATGGTCATGTTAACTAGTACAGACCTTTAATGTGCAGAGAAATCTTGTTGGTTTTAGGTCTTGGGAAGACATAGCCTCAGAGCAATCAATTGCCACCAGAAGATGCCGCATCATCCCAAGTCTAACAGGCCCTCGCCTGGGGGTAAGGGCTTTGCGTGCTGCCTTCTGAGCAAATTCTGCAACAAGTCCTTCAACCAAACCATCTTCATCTTCCTTAATTGCTTCCCTGGAATGTAAACAAGTATATTATTCGTTTTGTACTCGTAAAGGAAAACTGGAAGAAAAATAATAAATATTTAAAAATAATAAACATACCAAGTTTTCTCATAACCTGTTTCCCATCGATACTCTTTTAGGTCCTGTTCATCGTCTGCCATTTTTATTAAATAGATCGTTATTTAGTTTTAAAGATTATGAACTCAAGTCAAAACTACGAAAACATAAAAAAGATTAAGCAGTATATAAATTATAAACAAAATAAATAATTCTGAGTCAATTATGTGGCACAGACAATATCAATATCATCCAAATGTCGAAATGATATCGTGATGACAGATACAGACATTTTTGTAAAGACTTTTTATGATACCTTTAGGTAAAGTAAGGAGACAAGCATTTATCCTCTATTAATAATGCAGTTATTTTATATACTTTTACAGCATACTACATTTATGAATAAAATATATGGCAAATAGCAGTTATAGTATAATCTATATAAGTTTAGTCGATTCCCTGTGGATTTTACAATATGACAGTGATTATCCAGTAAAAAAAAAATTGACGTCTGACGGCTGACGCATCGTGGGACGCTTTTCGCGCTGTGAAATTTATTTTTACATATTCCTTGTTTTGCATTTAGTGAGTCTATGCATATTTTCGTGGTTGGTATATGTAACTATATATTCAATAATTTTTAAACGTATTTCCAGAAAATGTCGGGTATCGCAAGTGCTCGTCTTGCCGAAGAAAGGAAAGCTTGGCGCAAGGACCATCCCTTTGTAAGTCATGTCTCAACGAGTTTAACGTACACGAGTGAATGGCATTTTTATAATTTTACGTTTAAAGTGATAAATTAATATGTATGTTTCAGGGGTTTGTTGCAAGACCTATGAAAAATCCTGATGGCTCCTTGAATTTGATGACTTGGGAATGTGCGATACCCGGAAAGAAAGGGGTCAGTAAAGCTTAAAAACACTAACTTTTTGTATTTATCTTCTAAACATCTTTTTTTTTAACTATTTGTATTAAGATGCAAGAAGCCATAGTAGTGTAAATGTTTTCAGTTAAATTTAAACTCGAATCAAATTTCATTTAAATAGATTTATTTATCTTACATCATGATTTAATAAATCTATAAATATGAAATATAATTGGTTAAGTTAATGACTTTTCATTATTTTAGCTACACTTACTTTAAAGTATTTTTCGAGAGATGTAATGTAAGAAAAATTTTCAGACACCGTGGGAGGGTGGGTTATACAAACTACGCATGATCTTTAAGGATGACTACCCATCAAGTCCTCCGAAATGTAAATTTGAGCCACCCTTATTCCATCCCAATGTCTATCCATCTGGCACAGTTTGCTTATCTTTGTTGGATGAAGAGAAAGACTGGCGTCCTGCAATTACTATTAAACAAATTCTCCTTGGTATCCAAGATCTGCTCAATGAACCAAATGTTAAAGATCCTGCACAAGCTGAGGCATACACAATCTATTGGTGAGATTGAACTCTTATTATTATTCTGACAAGAAGGTGGGAAAATATGCATATATTGCAGCTATGATATTCTGTTACTGTCTTTCTTTAATACATGTCAATCACCATAGACTATGAATAGAAACATATTTATATCTTAAGTGTAATTTTTTCTTCTATCTACGATGGTACATTTTGACATCTAAAACAATAAACCCATATTTTAATCTACCTACTAACTCAAAATAGATAATTCTTTATATTTTTCTTTTAGCCAAAATCGTCTGGAATATGACAAGAGGGTACGGGCACAGGCCAGAGCTATGGCTGCTACAGAATAAAAAACTTAGTAATTAAATAATTTTACTTTGTAGTTAACTGTGTTTAAAAATGGTTTGATTTTTTTTTCTGGCAAGATACGCCCACTATTTCTTACACATTTAATATGTTTACAGAAAGTTCTTATGTCTGAGGTAGAATATAATAAGGAGTACAAGACTATAGATTTGAAATTTTTCAATTTGGTTTGACCAATGCTACAAAGTAAAATTATTGATCCTCTCTTTAGATGTAAGATTCTTAAAATTATTAAATCATTTATCATTCATAATATAAATGATTAAATAGTTTTTACTTAAAACTATAGTATAATAATTTGTATACTTTAGATTCCATGTTTCTTATCAGTCCTCTTCATAGTTAACTCTTACTGTATAATATATTAAAATTACACAAATGCTAATTAATCGCTATTTATTTTTAAAAAGTAATTCAGTTTCGTATCCTACATTAAACATGTTACCTGGGATGCAAGGATTTAATATGTCCATAGTTTTAAGTCAGCTTATTTGATTGTGTGAATTGCCACTTGGTTATAAAGAAGTATTAAATGTTTTTATATACAATTTCTTTTCAAGTATAGGTAGTCTTTTAAAACTAGTAACAAACAATATCCAAACTAAATTGCATTTTATGTTCATTGATCATCAGCATATCATATTAAACTTCAGCTGATATCAAAATATGTTTGTGTGATAAGAATCTTTGACTATAATTTTAAAATATTTTTGTATTTTACGTTAGGTTTATTGAATAAATAAAATTTAAAGACTTGCCTTGTTCATTACAAATCATCTTAAAGCAATATGCAAAGGGAGTGCATAAGGTCTTTATGCAAGTTACTTATTAGGTGGCATAGCATTTTTTAAAGTATACTTCCCAATAAAAGGTTTAAATTGCAAAGGTGGAATATAAGTCTTAATAAATACTTGTTTGGAATTAGAACTTAAAAATAAACAGAATTGTTGAGTAGTTTTGGAAAATACAGCTAAATATATTTTTCTTATAAAATATTCACTCTAGAGTTTGGTCGTGTATCGTAAAGAAAGGCATGTCGTACGACCAAAAATTCGACGAATTATCTACCAATACGCATTTAGCAGTATAGTAAATTGATGATCCATTCTATGATTTTTCTAAAATCAAATCCATTTCTATGAATAATCAAAGTTTAAATTAGAAGCGTAACTTAGATTATTCATACAAAAAGTTATATAATTGAGCTCGCATATAAAATAAATAAGTTTAAAAATTATATAATGATTTGCTTTCACCCCTTCCCCCAATGCAAAGCATAACTTAAAGATTACATTATATAGGGTCGGACCCATTGTAACCTTTCGAGAATTAGAAACTTGTAAAGAGTATGATAATATATTGATGTGATGATAGATGATACCATATTATGATTAAAGAACATCGCATGTGATGGTTATTGACTAGGACATGCGATATCATTATCAGTAGATAATTAATAATCTGTAGTAAAAATGTTTGAAACTTTTATAATTCAACTTCTATTGACAGCTGCTGAAATCGGTTCTGACAATAAAAAAATTTGGTTATTACTTTGACATATTCCGTAATTCTCGCCTAGGGTCGTCGTACAAATTTGATTTTTTTTAGCAAGTTACGAACGAACTTACAAAATTATGTATGATTAAAATCATATTACATAAGACTGACAAAGCTAAATAATCTAATTAAATTTATTTAGTATGTCTTTTGAGTACTTTTCACAGGTCTTGATGACATTACAGATTTATAATAATAAAAGTCTTATTAAATTATTACATATAAACAATGAAAATTACATTTTTATTCAATGTCGGCCAAAAGTGACGTCTAATTGCAATGTCGGTCAGACGCTTCGCCAAAATGGCGACTGCCAGTTTGTTACGTTATGTCTGTTTCGTACTGTTTGCTGATTGGCTTAAATGTATATTTTCCTTAAATGTGATTGGTTTCTTGGGTTTAAGCAGTGCAGTGAGAACATAATTTGTCGGCCACCAAAAGCAGGCATTTTTAAGTGTCGGTCGGATTTTATTCATCTTGTGAGAGCGGTTTGAATAGCATTGTTGCTCCATTTAGTACACTTTCAAAATTCAATTAAAAAAATAATAAAGTATTGACATTTTATGGTGAGTGTATGTATAAGTTTTCAAACAAAAAAGTATATGTTTATGTTAAAAATATTTAAGTTCTTAGTATAAGTGTATTTATTCCAAATAGTTTTGTGCAAAGTTGAAGTGAACAAGCGTCAGTGAGGCTGTGCTATGATTATTTTAATGAAAATTTCTAATCTTGCGAATATAAATACAATAAAAAGTACTCCATATAAATTATCACTTAATAATGCCACCAATTCATTATCATTTATTTAAAGAACATGTTTTTTTATTACACGTTTGCATAATGAAGGTAATGCGTAAGTTGGCGGGAATGCGTCTAGATCATGTATTATTTTGGAGGTACCTCTTGCTTATTTTAATTTACTACTATTATTTCAGAAAAAATATAGCGTGATATGGCAGCAATGGAAGTAGATGAAGCACAACCCGAGGTTCCTGCTGGAAATCCTCAAGAACTGACAAAAAACCCTGTTGCTTTAAAAGGTTATATTTATATGCTATATTACGGAAACTGTATGTACTGGATCCAATCCTTTTGGAGACTCTTACTAGACATGGCTGTGTGTATTCCAATCTAGTATTGTTGGTGTTTTAAATTACACTTTATTTAAAATTCTCAGAAGCCCATGAACAAATGGCCACACTGGACGTGCTAGTATGTGGGCAGTGTCATGCAGTTTTTCACTTTGTGGACGAGTTCAAAGAACATAAAGAGACAAATAACTGCACTGGAAAATCACCAGTTAGAGATAGTGTAAGTATTAAGAAGAGTTGCAGCAGCTATTTGATAAAAATCTTTTCAAGCACTTTTAACCCTAGTCCATAGTAATTTTACATCAAAAAGGTTTTGGTCTGGGAACCCTTTTATGTGAATACCTGTGCCAGGATTTTTAAACTAAACCATATCATTAAATAGTGTTAGGCCTTATGTCATTATATGTATAATTGAGTTTGTTTTTTTTTGGTTGGTATCCCTCAATGGTGACGGACAGTGATGGTGAAGTTTTTATTTGTACATCTCATATTCCTAAAAAAATGCTGAATTTAATTTGTTTAATTATTATAATTTAATGTTTGTTTAATATACTATTACCATTTCTCAATGTCAATTTTACTACAGGTTTTGTTTTGATTTTTCTTTTCAGAGTGAAAGTAAGGCCCAAGTATGGGCATTCCTTTTATGGAAGTGTTCTTCAACACGTGAAGGATCAACATCAGTGGACAACAGTTGGAAGTTGTACCAACAGTGGTGCCGCATGCCAGAGGCACAGCGGACTGCGTGGATCACTGCTGGCACTAATGTCCAGGCACTATCTAAGTTTGCTCACGCTAAAGTTGTAAGTCATCAATGTTTTGTTTTTTCTTGCTAGCATATGCAATGCAATAAAAATATAAAATTCTTTCTCGTTAATTTCATCACATTTTAATCCCTTAATACAGTAGAATCTCAAATTTGGCACCTTAAAAACCACAGCGTAGTTTATACATTGTTGAGTTATTAGAATGTTTGTATTACTTCTTGCATTCTATAGGAGATAAATGTTTTAGTGATATTCTATTGTTAAAAACACATGTTTATATGTTGATTATAACATTTGCAGCCCCAAAATATCCATTTCGCTTACATTCTTAATTGTTACAAATACCCTAGGGTTGGCCCCTGGGATTGGCAAAAAAAACATTGACTTTTCATTTTTTTAGATCGAAATGAAGTCTGATGACCAACTTGTGCCTGTTCAAACTACACCCGGAGATGTAAGGAGACGAGGTCGTCCAAGAAAAATAAAACAGGTATTATTTTTTGCATAATAGAGCTTGCCTACTTATCAATCCAATCAAGTCCAACTTGCAATTGACATGTATGTTTTATTGAGAATTGGTTTGTATCCAAATGCAGTCTGATGTTTTTAATAGACACATTGCCTGTTTATTATCCTTTCATTTGTAGTGGTTTAATGTTTAACAAAGGGAATTTTGTTTAAATGTTTACAGGGTAACATTCTATTTTTTTTATATTTGCAGGAAGAACCAGAACCCCAACCATCTGGAGAAGAAAGTGATGAAAAGTCATCACAGAAACTTTCAAGCCAGAAATCAGTTTCTACAGCAACTAAACCTAAGGTATCATTTAAGGTAACTTTACATACGTAAAGAAATATTCAATTAAAATGTATCCTTATTATATTATTGATGGCTTACTAGTATTTATAAAAAAATATTTAAATACATACTAAAGCCACGACACAGAAGATATGATTTATGGGGATATTAATCTCTAAAATTTCATTCAATCAACAATATTATTGTATCTGTATTATTCCATGTAATTTTCCTTTAAATTTTAACAGGATGACAATGAAAGTGTTCGAGGTGCGCAAGAACGTGTGCCGGCCGCAGATCGTATCGCGAAACGCACGGAGCGCGAAGCGCCCCCTGGCGCGCAACTGCAGGAGTATGTCGTTGAGAAGATTCTCGCCAAACGGTTCAACCCAAGACAAAAGCATTATGAGTATCTGCTCAAGTGGGAGGGATATCCGCAGTAAGTTATTTCTATAATATAATATAGCTGATTTACAACAACCGCACGTAACGACGGTTCAAGGCTTACTCGCGTCGAAAATTTTTTTCATTCTATATATTTTTATATTTGATATATGTAATGCCATTAGTTGCCATAACATAAAATTTTACAAAAGTTATTAATTTTTAGTTTTAGTATACTAAATGTATTTTTATTATTATGTAATTTCTTATCAATTATTTTTACAATAACTACAAAATGTACTACAAAGTATTATATATGTAATCCCCAATTATGAAGTGACAAAGCGGTATGTGATTTTTATACGTATTTTTAATTATATCAAGGGATATATTTTAATTCTTTTTATATCATTATCGGTTTTTCCTATGTGGAGACAGACACAGTTTTTCTCGTTTTTTATTATTATTTAGGTTTGTGGTATTTAAATGAAATATTTAGTTTAATCAACCTGTACTTATGTGAAAGCCACCGCCTCCAGTCTCAAAATTAGGAAATGGTTACATTCCATTACAACAATTCTAACGATCTTGATATATATTTTAGTTCCTTAAAAAACACTATTTTTATATAAAGTCAATACGAACTTTTCCTGTCTTTAGACATTCTTTTCATTATATAATTTTCTAGTGAACAAAATACATGGGAGCCATTAGAAAACATGGAGACCTGCAAGCATCTTCTGGAGGCGTTCGAGAAACAGTTAGCGCGACAAAAGGAGTTGAAGGCACTCCGAGCACAGCAACAGGCATTACATCCTGTACAGGTAAACGGCTTAATGGCTAAAATTACGTAACATTTGAAATAAGCCTATATAAGGAGGGCCTTGAATCCACAGCACAACCGATGGTATATTGGGCCTTTAATTTACTGACTATACTCACCAAATTATAGTTACCTTATTAATGGCTGCTGAAGTTATTATTTAGTGCTTAATTAACATGAGTGAGAGAGCTCTAGTGTGAAAACAATTACTATTATAACAATGGACAGTTTCAAACATATTCTTATTTATAGGTTAAGCAAACAAGTACTCCCTTACCACAAGTTGTAAAGCAATTGGTGAAGAAAAATGACACTCCAGCTTTGACGCCTACTGGGTAAACTAAAAACTTTACTTACTTTAAACATTACACACCATAGACGCAAACCAAAAATACATTTGGTTGGTGTCTATGGTTCTGAACTCTCGAAAGAATTTTATTTTGAAGAGTAGTTTTTGTTAGTAATCACAAATTATGAATATAAATGATTTATTTTGTTTCTATTATATATTGTTTTTAATGATAGAGAATAGTCAAGCACGGTTCACTTGATGGTAAGTTGTTGGTGGATGATGGTAAATACCCCAGCCTTTAGGTCGCCTCAGCCAAAATAAGTCGACAACGCATTTAAACAAGATGCGCTGTTTGTGTGTTGGCTTTGGATATTTAGAAATCCACAGACTAAAACCGAAACGTGATTAAACTTAACGGCTTTTCATCTGTGAACGGTGATTCGTGACCCGGACGGAATTTCGATATTCCTACCACCCGTTTAAAATATTTATTAGTAAAATGTTAGATCCAGTGGGGATCGAACCCACCACCTGTTGATAATTAGCCGTTCTCTTACATGACCCGTCAAATAATAATTATCATTTTCTGCAATGTTGTTTACAGCCGTTTACAGAGGAGCAGCAAAGCGCGTGCCTTGGACCAAGTGAAGGCGTGGTGTGGAAGTGCTGATGACGAACCCCCGGTGAAACGCGCGAGGGCGCAATCAGACAACGATTATTCCGATCCGGATGAGCCTAAATGTAAGTTTCATCAAATACTTGCTGACCTGACAAATGCTCTTTTGTCTTATGATGTATTTCGACGAATTTCGGATCACCATCAGTGAAGGTGACCATAGAAACGATTCTTGTGATTAAATCTCAAAAGATACTTATAGTTTTTTCACATTTCCCTCTGTTCTCTTCTATTGATTGCAGCCTGATGTTTTATTGCCTATAGCCTTTCTCGATAAATGGTTCATCCCACACAATAATCTTTCGATTCAAACCAATAGTTCAGCTTTAAAATATCAGTAGAGATATGTCTTTAAAATAATCGTGCCAAAAAGTAAAGACGCATAATCCTAAAGCGCTTAATACATATGTAAATTATTTGTTATTAATAGATGAACAATTGAAATATTGAGTGGTTAGAGCAGCAGCACGGAAACATTATCAAAAATAAGTTTCCCATCTCCTAAATATCTTATTTTCTGCAGTGGACCTAAAGACCATCAATGGACAGCAGTCGCCCAAAGCCTCAGTCGACCCTGAACTGGTAAAGTCCCTGGGCCTGAGTGGAAAGGGAATGCCTAACATTAAGGGAGTCATTAAAGTCGATCCGAAGCATATGCCGAACTTGAGTACAGGTAAGACTCCATGTGGATAAAAGTCATTACAAAAAATGAGTAAAGTGGATACAAGAAAAAACCTATTGTAAAATAACATTTCGGACAAGAAGCAGAAGGTTATTTATTTAGTGTTGTCTGTAGTCTATGTGAGTAGTACAGATTAAATATAAAATCTTAACTGTTTAAAATGCGAAAGATAGTTAATTTGATTTTTAGACAGCTTTTTTAACAATATTTAAACGATATTTTTTGGCATAAGAACATTAATGTAGGTGTTCAATTAATACGAATCGTTCATCAAAATCAAACCGAATTTTTTTCTTGAACATACATACATAGACTTACAAAATCATTAGCTTTCCTATTGGTCTTTTCCGTAGTCTGTTAAGTTTTATCAATAAATAAGCATGATATTACCATTTTACATTAACATGGACTGTTATTCCAGGTGTTTACATAATGTCAAAGAGTTCCGGTATCATGAAGATAGATTCGCCTGGAAAAATTGGACCCGGTCTCAACATAGACCAGGATGTTATCAAGAAGCAGATAATGGCAGCTAAACAGGTATAAGAAGCGTTGCTATAGAAAATAGACATTAATAATTTGTGACTTCCCCAATGAATTTGGGTGAAATACGGTGTTTTAAGTAAACACATTAACATATTCTACGTTTCACAGAAAAAAATGGAGGAAAACAGAAAACAGTCGCCCGGCACGCCTATTTCACAGGTATTTATATGCGATATAATAATAATATGTATTTTTTAACTACTATATTTAGGAAAAGGTCCCGTTTATCTATATTTAATATATAAAGCTGTAGAGCTTGTTTGTTTGTTTGAACGCGCTAATCTCAGGAACTACGGGTTCGAATTGAAAAAATATTTTTGTGCTGGTTAAAGCATTTATCGAGGAAGGCTATGGGCTATAAAACATCGCCCTGTGACTAATACTAGCGAAGATACAGCGAGATATGTGAAAAAAAAAGGGAATAGTATTCATTATTATGGATTTCTGATGCGTATGCTGCAAAAGCGGTTCAAGGTACTCAAAAAAGTTTCTCTATAAATGATTTTTAAAAAAAATCCGCGACGCTATATGTCTATCTCTTAAGATTTTCTTGCAAGAACGACGGGAAGGGATGCGACCGGCGTCATGGGTAAAAACGAATTTGGATGCCCGAAATAACTATTTTACGCGAACGAAGTCGCTGGCTCCGCTAGTTAAAGATAAACATTCGTTTTATTTCTATGATTGCAAAATAATTTAAAACACTATATTAACCCCCGATGTAAAAATAAGCTTACTAGTTGCGCTCTTCCAAATAGTAGTATTAATGGGTATTATAGTCTATTTGATTTTTATAATTTAGCCAAAACAGTCAACTATATCGTCTAATATTAATACATTAAATATTAAACATTTCCTGTTTAAAAAATATATCGATTGTATATTTTAAACTTAAATTCACCTTTGCAGATAAGGAAAACGTATGGGCCATCCGGGCAACATGTTACAGAGAAGACAATAATCACTCCGTCTGGGCAGAAGATCATACAGAGAACGATACAACGGCCAATCGGGGGTGCACAGTCGGGTGATGGAAAATCACCCGTCACTATACTGAATAAGAAATTAGCACAGGTTAGATGCAAGTTAACTTTAGTTTAGATAGAAAAACTTTATTTTAAGTTTTATAATAATTATAATTTAAGTAATTTTACACATTCACTTTTCCTTTTCATCTATAATTCATTTTATTTCTTGGCTATACATACCCACTTGGGGCCAGATTATATATATCAATTATCTTGTATTACATATTTACAAACTGAGAGATTGAAATTGGAGAATGTTTCATAAATAAACACTTATGTTATTCAAAGACTACGACATATGGATTGTAGAGTCTAAACGTAACTGAAAAATATGTAAGTCCTTTTGTTCTCTTAATAATTTTTTTGCAGTCACAAATCGCCGGTGATAGCCTTCTACGGCGTGGTGGATCGGTGCGCGGGCGTGGCCGTGGTAACTTTTCGCTCTCGCCCAACATCATGCGCGTCAAAGACAAATCTGCACCTTTCGACATCGATAAGGTAATTTGTTTTCAGCACATAATGTATATGTACGTGCACATAAGGTTGGAATAGTGTAATGAAATATCCAAAAAGCAATACAAATTTGATGATGTATCTTTTTTTGCATAATTAAAAAACAACTTGAAGAATACGTATTATAATGAATTATTAAAGGGTTTGACAACTTTGTGGATTCTCGAAAGAGATCGTCTCTTTTGTCATAACAAAGTTTATTACAGAGACATAAGACTTTAATATCAAATTTATACATAAAAAGAAACTTTAAGGACATACTTTTACTTACTCTATCATTTTCAACACAAATCAGTGTTAAAAATGTTCGTGTGGATGCAGAGAAAAGCTTATGAATAGAGGCTGCTAGAAGCAAAGTGACCTAACTAAAAAATAAAAGCTTTTCAATACGGGGGGATACAGTTAAGTCACTCTGGTTCTAGTGGCCTAAATTGTAGTGCAAAATTTATTCATGATTAATTCCGTATGTGTAAAGTGGAGCACCTCATCGGAGTCGTCAGACGGCGTAGAGGATCCGTTCCCTCAGGACCTGGGTCCGATTCCGCCGACGAGCCCCGACCGGCCACTCACGCTATGTCCCCTTACGGGCAAGCGCCTCGCGCGAGCTGAAAACGAGCCTACGCCGCCACCTACACCATCACCACCGCCCACGCCGCCGCCAGAAACGCAGCCGGAGGGTACTATGCTTATGAAGGTATTTACTTAGCTACGTATTATTAACTAGCTGTGCTTGCAATTTCGTCCGCGTAGTATAGTTATTTTGGGAATCATATTATTTATTTTTCAAAGAAACTCCTTAGCTTTAATAATTGTAGTTGTTACCCGCGACGTCTGCTTCTCGAAGTTCTTGCGAGTTAATCTTAAGAGATAGACGTACAGTAGTTTTTTTTATCATTTATAGAAGCATCATTCTTTACTATTATACTTTTTTTTTGGTTATATATAACCGTTTTCGCTGTACACCCATCGGAAACCCGCAAAGTTGGATAATTTTCCCTATTTTATCATCTCATTGGTTGCAGCGTGTTATTTTCAGCTTTATACTATTAATATAGATAATATTACTTTAAGGTTTAACAATAATTACTTTTGCAAACAAATTACGACGTTGTTTGATTTTTTTACACTATTACTTATTTAGGTGGAAATGTCACCCGGTGGAACGACTGGAATTGTAGTGCAAGGTGAAGGAGGCGCACAGCCCTCGTTACCGGTTCTAACAGATGACGATGGTGTAAGTAGAGTTTCTAATGGTTTAATTTCTCTTAACAAAAAATTAGTCCGAATTATTATTTTTTTTTTGTTTTGGAGGAATGAAATATTTGTTGTCTTATTTATCATAGACGGAAATGAAGGTGGAGGCGAGTGCAGTCAAACAACTACTGGAGGAAGGTGTAGGCGTCGAGGACAATGAAGAAGTGGGACTGCAACTCCATTCGGGACACGCACCGATCATGATTCGCGGCGAGGACGGAGTTCTTTATCAGGTGAATTATGAAGATTATTCTAGTTTGCTCGGTATAACAATATCTTTTCTCTAACAGTAAGTTTGAAGATTCCATAGTCTACCTGGGTTGCTAATAAGCCGTCAGTCACATAGCTCTAATCTTATGAAAATCAAATTGTTTAATTTCTAAACACGAAATGTTAATCTTATTTTTATTTATATTAACGACCCGACCTATCTAATGCCTTGCAGCAATCGTGGCCACGGGGGTCTAATTAAGTGTTTTAACGGTTTAATACACGACATGTTAAACTTATTTACAATTTGGACTGGACTTCTTTTAATGTCATCTGCCTCAAAGTAATGTTTATTTATATTTTTATTTATCTATATGTTGTGTATATCCATAAATTAATGTTTAAATATACGAATCCGATGTAGGTTGCTGGCGAGAACGAAGCGGGACAAACTTTGTTGGTGGCTGCAGAAGGCGTGGAGGGGGCGGTCGAGGGCGCGGTAGACGGAGAGGGAGAAGGAGTTATGTATGTTACGCGAGAGGATGGACAGGTAAAAATGCAATAATGCTCTCAGTTATAAAAATTGAAAGATGGGTAAGCATGAATATAATTATAATTTTTATACTACAGACATTATTAGTATCGACCCAGGGAGTGCAAGGTGCCGTAGAGGGTGTGGAAGCGGCTGCCGAGGGTGAGGCGGAGGGAGTCACATACGTAACCAGAAATGAAGATGGACAGGTCAGTTTTAGAACGAAGTAGACGTGCTTATTTAGAGTTAAAAAAAATAAAATTAAATAATTTGCGTAGGACGTGTTAACGATAGACCCGACACAGCTCGCACAATTATTGCCTGGCGGGGAAGCTGGTGGCCTACAGCAGGTTGCTGTGCAGATGGAAAGCGAAGGTGGAGAAGAAGCAACACAAGTTATTGCACAGCTGGTGCAAGCGGAACTTCCTTCACCCGGTAAGATATTTACAAAAGAAAAGCCCATTTTTATTAATGACTCAAACTTGCAAACGAGGGTACTTTATTTATTTAAATAGTTGAGCGACTTCATCCGCGATGAATAGTTATTTTTGTGTCAAAATTTGTTTTTACATACCCCATTCTATAGATGATAGCTGTTATCCACGACAGTGGTGTCCCGTCTTTCACGCATGTAAATTTATTAGGTTTATTTAAAGAGGAATCATTTTTTTAAAACATATTCTTAGGGTATTTTGAACCGTTTTCGCAGCGCACGCAACGGAATTTTTCAATTTGAACCAGTACTTGCTGAGATAAATAAATAGTAAAAGATAAATAAATAGTAAATTAACAATCTGTTTGGTTTTATAATAAAAGTAAAAATAAAAATATTTGATTATTTATTTCTTTTATGATATATTTTAGGTGGCACGCGGCGTGTAGTACTACTGCTACCAGACGGAACTCTAACGATGACAGAATTGGATAAGGAGCAATACGAATCTATCACGGAAGCGGGCAAAGCGCATGAATGAATGCATATCTAGGGACCGAAATGAAAAGTAGTATAAACTAGCGTCGGCCGTTAGCAGCGGTCGATTCTACAATTTACACATCTATTTTTCCTAAGCAAAGCACAAAGTACATTCTAAACTTTTGGATAGGACCGAAATTCGGATGTATTTTGTCTATTGAAATGTGCGCTAAGTGGGATCTATGAATTATCGATTTTGTTTAAGGAATGCTTTAATGTATCATAAAGAAAAGCATGATTAGTTTATACTGATAATATGTTTAAAGTGTTTATTTAAAACCAATTTCCTCCTTCGTATTGTGGGTTAAAGAAAACTTCAAACTCATATTATGAATGGAAAAAATATATGTTTTTCTAACACAATCAAAGAGCTCATTTCACTTAATTGACTAAACTAATAGTTTTTCAAAAAGCGTTTTTTTTACATAAATTATTTATTAAAAGGGGTCCACTTTTACAATCTTATTTAATTATATTAATATATTTTTACAACCGGTTTCTCGTTTGAGTAAATTACATAAAAATATTTATTAAGACTATTTGTTTCTTAAACATACTTAAACTTGATTTTTACTTCTCTATGTCAAAATATAAGTTTAACTCTTGCCTTTTTAAAAATTCTGATTCATTTATAAAAACTGATGAATTGGTAAAAATTTATAATACATTTACAAATCAGCTTGTCATTACTAATTTTACCAATTCACGCACTCTCTGCAAATCAGAAATCGGTTCCTGATAAGACTTAAAAGACGACTCAAGTTTAGATTTAATCGTAAATCTAGACCTAGACCTATGCTTTGTTTAAGGTTATTTAACTTTCAATGCATAAGTTTATTTCAAAATTAACTAATAACGAATTTATTGCTTACAATATCTCGCCAATGCTGTCTTGGTAAACCTTACTGGATGTACATGAGCAATATATATTTGTAATGGATCTATCTACATCTTAAGTGTATAGTGATAACTATAGCAACAAATAATTAAGAATTTAACACATTTATTTTGGTATCGGCCACATGTCCTTGTGAGTGACATTAAATTAATTATTTTATTGTTGGACTAAATTTGGTTATATTTTACCTGAAAAGAAATACATGGGCGGACTCAATCCGCAGGAAGCTCTAGTAATTACCTTAATATGTTGCGAACTTTATAAACTCTTCGCGTGATTCGTGTATTTGTTAAATGTCTGCTGTCAGGTCTTGTTTTCAATAGAAATTCATTAAAAACAACGAAACAAATTTTGTATATACTAGTGTAGAATTTTTTTGCGTATATCATATTGCATTGTACATAAAAATTTTTGAAGTAAGTACGGTTATTTACTGAAGTATGTCTTTGAAATTTTGACGAAATAACTATCTAGACTACATTGTATAAAGTAAAATAAAAATTTTTAAATAAAGTTTTCTAAGTAAATGTATTTTTTTATTCAAGTACCTTAATGTTTAAAAATAAAATCTATGTAAGTAATACCTACTTGTTAATTTGAATGCTGTGCCCACGCGGAGGAAACGTTATAAATAAAACTACGCCAACTTTTAGTATGTGCGATTTTATTATAATTATTTTATCACATTTCTACAAAAAATAACCTAAAACTTTGCTTATCTAGGAATATGAAAATGTTAACAGACACTTATTATTCCTACTTGTACATAAATCACAGATAATCTCACATTTTTAAATATTTGGAAGATAATCATAAACATTCTAAAAATAGCCATCCACACATATACTAAAGGATTTCACAAATAGTCATTCGAAGGGCTGCGGGATTAAATCCAGCCTGTCAATAATTTTCAACAACTTGTAAATCATTATCTTAATTAGTTATATCCACTTACACTTAAAAATTACTTTTTATTATTCGATTATGAAACTTGGGTCTATTGGATAAAGTCATTAATTTGCGCTTTTAAGATCTAATTATGAAATGGACACACAATTTTAGCGTTGATTATGAGATAACGTTTGCAGGTAGTTCTCAGACCATTGAATATATCTACGAAGGATATATGGTGTGCCAAAATTAACATTACACAATTTTATTATCTGTTGTTAAACTCTTGTCTGTTATAAAACCCTGTAGAGAGCACATTAAACTTTTGACTCTATAAAATATAATTCTATCTAAAACAGTGAAATTCATATTTTTAAAAATTATTATGAAAATTAAGTACCTACTTACATAAGAAAACATTATAACATAAATTGCCTAGAAAGTAAAACATTACAAATGCGTTGTTTGCACCGCCAAAATTACATACAACTAGGTATACACGAGACATCTCAGTTTAAGTACATAAAAGGATAACATTATATTACACACTTTGTCCATTATCCATCTTATTTCTCGTGACCCATAAAATGTTTGGTTTCTGATAATACTGTTCTATTTGAATCAATGACTTGCCTTTAGTTTCTGGTAGGAGAAGGAAAAGAACAATTGTGGCTAAAGTAGCCGACGCTCCGAATAAACCGAAGACACCGGTCATACCGATGCTGTTCTTCATAACTGGGTAAAGTTTAGTGAAACCAAAGAGGACGGCATTGAAGAGGCAGAATATGTAGCCCCCGCAGAGGCCGCGCACTTTAGTGGGTAAAAGTTCCCCTATCATCAGCCCTGGTAGAAGGAAGAAGCCCAGGGTGTTAAAAGCTACGTAGCCAAGGATCAGAGCCGGTGGGGTTATTCCGCTTCCTGGTCCTTGGGAGAGTAGGAAGGCCAAGCCCAGCGTACAAACAGCAGTTCCGATACCAGATACGAGGACAAGGGCGCGTCTTGTTATTTTGAGAAGCATCACACACGCCAAAATCGTTACTATCAGACGGACAAGAGCACTTGCGTTTGCAGCCAGCTGAAATATTGAACACAGTTATTATAATATTTACTCAGGCGTTGGAGAAAAATTCAAGCGGAAGTGCCTATTTTTATATTTGCTTTATTTTGTGCATTCTATGTTTTTATAGTTGTAAATAGGTATATTTGTTGGTCATACGAACCAAGAATAATATTATATTCACTATAAAAAGTAAGCTAACAAAAATCGATTATTGAAACAGATACAAATATATATATATATATATATATATAACCCTTAACGCTTCATTTCTAAGTATAAACTTTATTTTTTCGCAAATTATTGAAAATTAAGAAGAAGTAAGAATAAAACTTGAAGCTTATTAAATAGGTGATAGGAATGTCGAAATTCCGTCCGGGTCACAAACCACCGGCCGCACATGAAAAAGCCGTGAAGCTTAATCACGCTTCGGTTTTAGTCTGTGGATTTCCATATCCAAAGCCAAAATAGGTCGATAGTGTATCTTGTTTAGATGCTATCGGCTAGGGTATTCCGCCTACAATCAAGTCAAGCACATGCTTGTCTGTCGTGCTGTATCATAAAAAACAAACTTACATGAGGACTTAAGGACCCTCCAGAGTCTTTGACGATGTCCACCGCGTAGAATATCACCACATAACTTCCGGACAGAATTTGCAGCATGTTAAAAGCATTGATGAGCAGAAGCGGCTTTAGTACGGGCGGGCGAAGCACTGTAGCGAAAAATCGTATCGTCTCTTCACCACAAGCTTTTTCCTTTTCCCTGGCTGATATTAGTTCGTGGAGTTCTCTTTGCGCCTGCAAAATCGATGTTGTTATTTATGTAAAAAAAGTATAATAGCGAATAATGTTTTTCCACTTTATTATATTATGTAATGTAACATTACATTATAAATACATTTTGATTCGTAAGCAATTTATTCTCAAAATTACTCGTTTTTCCACTTACAAGATTTCTTGTTACATGTTTATTAGGTAATTACGGCAATGTGTTTTTGTAATCTAAGCAAAGTGATAATTTGTCGTTTAACGACTCTCATATCCTTACAATTGTATGCCAGTTATGATTGACGTTCGCTTACAAAGAAAACATCGGTGTCATGTTCGTGACTTCATAAAATTACAGCTCGTGTGGCTATCTACTTATCGTGAACATTGTAAAACATTCGAGAAGCATCAATTCAATTGGTTTGCGAGTTCTTATTGAGCTCATTAGACGCGATTGCTCGAATTGTACTTGACACATCGTAAAAACAAACCAATTAAAAGATGGATTGTACACTATTACATGATATTACGAACGAGATAATAATAAAGGACTCCAATTAAACAGCACTAACCATCGTTCTCGGTTCATTAAAAACTTTTTGAAGATTGACAACAAAAATAATAAAAACTGGCAGTACTAATCTTCTATATACGGTACGAAATCAGGATATGAAATCATGACGTATATGAAATCGATTTTATTTATGGGCAGAAATGTTCAGCATTCTGTTGAGTTTTGTTATCCTTTAAGGACGATCTAACAAAAGGAATAACGCAACATAATAGAGGAGCCCAATTATACGACGTACCAGGGATTTAATTCCGAGGAAACATGAGGACAATTTTTTCGATGGCCGTTAAAGCCTTACTTTTTTTAATTACATTTACATTAAATTTATAAGTGAAACGTAACAAAAATGTCTCCGCCCTATTTAGCGGGGCGAAATGGCAATGATATCACGTCTTATTGTTAATAAAAAATAAAAATCGGCCTAAAGAATAAATTAAAGTTTTAATTACCGTGTCGGGATCTCCCCGCAGCCTTGACATGGCCGCCATCGCATCATGAAAGCGTCCTCGTCGTGCCAGCCAAGTCGGACTCTCCGGTGAGAAACATAAAGCTACAAACGCGAGGGTAGGCAGCAATATCGACAGATACGCCACCGACCTCCACGCTAGGGCACCTCCCAGCGCGTATACATAAAGTACTCCTAAAGAGTATGCGACAAATGGTGTTCCTATAAGAAGACCCCGAAGTCTCGGTTCCGAAATCTCCCCTAAATATACCTGTAGAGAGAAAAATACTATTAAATACTTCACAATATTCTTTGGAATCATAAGAACGAACTTTAGAAAACTCACATTTTTACGGGACCAAGAAATTATTAACATATTAGAAACTTCTGTGACCCAATTCTCAAATTAATGATATAAAAAGCAACATTTACATCGATACAAGCTTTATAAAAATTAGACGCAATTCGATTTTATCGCCGTCAATCTAAAATCTATTTTTTGAGAATAGCTTCCAGTGATAAATAATAGTTCACGTGATTTAAATTTAGTAAAAAAAATCTTATCAGGTCAGGGTTAGGTTATTTGGATCCTAATCTTGGCATTTAGGCCAATCGAACGATTTTCTTTTCAAGATTTTATTTCATTCCTGATGTGAATTTTAAGTCTATTTATATTTTAAGTCTATATATTTATAATAAAACAAAAGTGTCTTTTATTTTCATACCTGCGAAGGCGCAGCTAAAATTCCAACAGCGAATCCACAAACAACACGTCCCAGTAGTAAAAGGGCATGTTGAGACGCTGTACCAATGAGGATCCAGCCTATAACTAGTGGCAAAGTGGAAACTTGCAAAGTACGTTTCCGTCCTATCGCTTCCATGATTGGTCCTGACAACATCGACCCCAAAGGAGTGGCTGCTGAATGAATACTGGCTGGAAAAAAGCTTTCTGTTTAGTGTTTTGTCTTCACATATATGTTGACCACATATTGGTATTATTATAATTTATATGTCCATAGCAATTTAGGGCATTTATTTTTAAATTTGATAAAATTTGTGATATAATTTGCAACAGATGTCGATGCAAATATTATGTTTATCACTTTGGTAAGAATTACCCCTCTAGCTAGTTCAGTTACACACTGAAGCATAGTAGCTATAAAATGCTCTTGTCGATTTAAAACGGAAAATATGTTGGTTTGAAGTGTTTTATTTTTTACTCGTATGTATTCTACTCGCGTAAACAGGCAATGTGTGTTGTAAAACTATTTGATTGACAATAGTATATCAATAATAGTTCCAATTCCAGAGATTGCAACGCTATACACTAAAATTTTAAAATATGTACACTGCAAACTATGTTAATAAGACTGCACAGCTGTTTTTAAGGTCGTTGACCTGTCCCACAAGTATACAGTACTTAGTACAATAATAGTCTTTGCATAACTATGTTTTTTTTTCGACACATCCGGAAAAGCGAATAAATTGTACTTTCCACTAACAAACAGGGTCTGTTTAAATAAAACACTTATATTCGTTAACTGATTAACTAATCGATCGCGTTTTAAACCGTTAAAGTGTTTTATTTAAATGTGTACTACTATAACTATAGACAGTATTTGAACAGGGTCTGGTTTATGGCTCTTGTACTTATGTAATGAATTTCTTAACGGTTTAATGAAATAGTCTAAATAAAAAAAAGTACGTAGGTAGTTCTTTTGTATCGACTAATAGTCCAAAGACTAATAATAGTTAATTCATGCAATCGTATACTCTTAGCAATTATTTTGTGTAATAAAATTGGCTTCAAGATAAACATGATCACCTTGGCCCGTTACAAGCAGTTTGAGCAGTTTTCGTGTTACTAACCGGTAGTCATACAAGATGCATATACAGGATGTGGGTGCCAGATTACAACTGATTCTAAACAAAAGACCGTTTCAACGAGTCACTGTGTAGATTTTTAGTGAATTGGTTCTTTGCGCTTTGGGCTTGCATCCAGTCTTCTTTTCCTCTTATGGAAGTTGGTTCGTGACCAAAGACTTTTTTATTTATTTTCCTTTTTAATGTTTTTATTCACTAATCCATAAAATTGATTAAGCGGAGAGCATGTCTAATTGGTAAAACGGAAGAAAAGAAACAAGGTTACTTCCGTAGATAGTCCACAGCTATGCATAATCCTAGGTGTAAAATTATAGTACTTTATTTGTTTGTTTGTTTTACAACAAAGAACTTATTTCAAATTGACATTATCTGTGTTTTTAACTAAGATTTATTTTTCCTTTGTAGTCTTTTATAAGAATAAAATTATTTTGGCGCCACTGTGGGTTATCCTTGGTTTAAGCTAAAGTAAGATTAATTAGACCGCCCATCCCGCTTTATGTGAATATCGTGAGAATGATAGTCAGTATCATTTGCAGTATGTAATCTGTCATCCATTACTATTAATTAAGTTTTTAATAACTAAGAAAAACTTAAACGTTCCATGACAGCAATTGTATTAATGGAATGGGTAAGTAATAAGGCGGCCACAATTTTTTCAAATAGTTTCTAAAAACGTTAAACTGACAATTAAACAGATTAAAAATATTGCTTTAATAGCCCAATTATGTTAAATATAATTATAATATACCTATTTTTAAATATGACAAAATTACGTCACGGCAATAGAATTTATAGGCGAACTAATTAAAACGCGAATTATGGTCTCAAATAAAAAAAACATTATTTTAACGTTTTTGGGAATAAATATGAAAACGCAAAAAGTAATTCTTACCTAATTTAATTAATACACTTAACTTGGTGGGGCTATAGATGGAGTACTATCTAATGTCAAAGTGAAGTCGGAGTTAATATTTAAAACTAGCTGGGACCGTACAGAACAGACTCACGTTGTCCATTCGCATAAATTACAGATAATACTTAATTCTTACCTATCCAAGAGCCCATGTCGTCGTCTATTCGTAACGTGGAGTTTTCCTTTCGTAACTGAGGCAAGGCGACAGCAGAAAAGCCGATTGGATGTCCCGCACCCGCGGCTAATATGAGAACTGCACATGTTATAAGGCACTGTAACCAAGGAAAACAGACATTAAGCTTATTTAGGTACAATGTTTAAGTTCGTACTGTAACTCATAACGAATTCCTAAATTATATAGTCTATGTTTAGTAACGGGATTTTGAAGTGGAAAATACGAAGAATAAGGTTGAAATTTGCTTTAACTCCGGCTTCCGAGTCACGAAATTGTATGTCAATTTCGCGTTAAACAGTTTCGATTTGTTTAGCGTTCTTGTATCAACTATCAATTACACTTAATAAGCCTACAAAATGTTTGGACTGCTTTCACATAACATGACACAACAACATATATAGACTAAAAATCGTTATTGTATAAAATGTTTTTGGCTTCGCTGTTGGCGGAAAAAAAAAAAATATTTTTCCATGGAGGTGAGACATAACTCTGTTCTGTTCTGTAATTTAAATCATAATACGCTCTTATTTCGTTCGCGTCGTTTAAGTGACATTGGGTAGATATTAATACATTTATTTCGGATTTAAACAGTCTTAAAAAGTTTTTATTAAAATGGAACTACTCGCGAAATATTAAGACACACATTATGTTTTTTACAAACATTATTATCATTTGATATATTTTTATTCAAGCCCTTCATTATTTATAGGCATATAACCTTTTAGGAAGTCTGAAGAAAAGCATACGTCATCGTGGTGAATTTCGCAATGTTTTGTAAAAAACGTCAAAATGTTAATAATATCTAATCTGTTAACAGAGATTCTCAACTATTTCCTTATTCCGTCATATATTTTGAACTCTAATAGACAAAACAATTTCAACAAAAAATAACCGACTCACACAGTATATTAAAAAAAGTTTACTTCGCACAAATAATATGTATTTTGATTTAGTTAAATAGAATTGATTACATAAATAAAAAATTAAAGTCGTTGGCAATTTTTAATAACATTAACTACAATATCAAATGACCAAGTACAATACAAAATATTTATCATTAATCATCAAAATCGATACATAAGCGACGAAGTTACGCACGCACAAACATTACGGAGAACTCCGAAAAGTACCATAGATATTAGATAAGTCTGTCATTTAAATAAAACACTTTAACGGTTTAAAACGCAATATATTAGTTTAAATACATTTGAAAATTATTTTAACAGCGACCCGACGTTTCGGATGCTTGCGTGGTCACGGATCGCACGGTATCGCGTTTTAAACATAGGTGTTATTTCAGTATGTAGTCTATGCTCGCGTAAACTACAGACAGTATTTACAGCCGTCATTATAAAATGTAAATTTTCTTTGTGGTTTTATGGACTTAAATGGAACGTCTAAGCAACGTGTCTATGAAGTTACAAATCTGTACTAATATTATAAAGCTGAAGAGTTTATTTGTTTGAACGCGTTAATCTAGGAACTACTGGTTCGAGTTGAATTGTTGTTGCGTTACTTATTTATCGAGGAAGGCTTTAGGCTATAAAACGTTAGGCTACAAACAACAGGATCGTAGAACCAGTGGGAAATGTGAAAAAAAGCGGAAAATTATTTATCTTTGCCGGGTTTCTGTTGCGTCCGCTGCGAAGAACGGTTCGGAACCTCACAGAGAAGAATAATTTTCCCCGATGTTTTCATGCTCTCGCTGTTTCTTCGCTTCTATTAGTGGCAGCACGATGTTTTATACGAGTCCTTAACCTTCCTCGATAAATGTTCTACCCAACGCAAAATTATTTTTTCAATTCGAACCAGTAGTTCTTGACATTAGCGCGTTCAAACAAACAAACTCTTCAGCTTTGTATATTAGTATAATTAAGCGATATAAAAAGGCGAAGGTACGTTTACATTACATAGATAATCAGTATGAACGTAATTTTCGACGTAATAATCGAGCTAATGGGCGCTCGTTATTAGGTCAGTAGTAAAGTAAACACTTACGGTAATTGGTCAATGAGAGTTTTCTTTACATAAGAACGTGAAGCTAAATATTTCCGAGAAGGTAAGGAAACCTTCTTCGTTAATTTATTAGCTTCTATCATGACGTACTCGTTGGTCTAATGGTAGCAATGTTTAGGTTATAATCAACGGGTCTTGGATTCGATCTCCACTGGGTTCCACGTGTTTATAATCAATTTATAATTTCGCTAACTTTTTAACCAGTTATTTAATTTTAGGCTTTTTATTTGTTTATTATATAAAATGTCACTTAACGCTTAGACTATAATAATTTTAAATGTTAAAGCATATAATATTTTTAACTTGATACAGATGCGCAGTCGGCAGTCGATCAATTTTGGTTTAGTATATTCGGTAATCCACCGATTATAATCGAAACTTTAATTAATATTTTTAGTGTCACATCGTTTTGGTTTTTCAAAACATCTACCGTCCATTCGACGTTAAGTTAGAACACATTTAAATAAAACACTTTAACGGTTTAAAACGCGATATATGCTTTGCAGCAGCCTTTGTCACGGGGTCTCCCCGCGCAATTGTATATCGCGTTTTAAACCGTTAAAGTGTTTTATTTAAATGTGTTCTACTCGCGAGAACTACAGTGAGTATTTAAACCAATCTTTATTTTACGAGTCCACTTGCTTACTTAAAAGTCATTAAAATATCGTTAAAAAATTGTTTAGTTACGCGCGTTTGTACCGGCATCGGCTGTAGTTAATTATCGACATAGCAAATCAATTAGTAATGCTTTGTTTGACAATGACTCGATTCGATTCAATATTGAACATTCTAAAGCAGTGAATATTCATTGAATGTTTCGAAGAAAATGAAAAATAAATTAAGAAAATCTCCTTCATTTTTCCGTTTACGTATAAAAAAGGGGATTGCCTGATGTGAATACTGAATTTCTTTAGGTATTTTATATGACATAAAATGTGTTTGGTTGCATCCAATAAGTAGCAAAAAGTGTGAGTAGGGTTTTTCTTTTCTTTTTTATATTGGTCACGCTAGAGAATGGAAGATTTTGGAACGACAAAAACTGACTTTAACATCCATAATGGATTTTGTCTACAACTCTCTTACTTTTGGAAGAGTCGACATGGTAGTTAAAAATGAATTGAAAATTTTGAATTATTTCGAATTTTCACACAGAAGTTCTTGTTGGGGTTCTAGGCGACTAGTAACTGGTCAAGCCAAGTAATGTGATCTGGTTCCCAGCAGTAGGATGGAGCTTTACACAACATATACCTACTAATATATTAAGCTGAAGAGTTTGTTTGTTTGAACGCGCTAATCTCAGGAATTACTGATTCGAATTGGAAAATTATTTTTGTGTTGGTCCTACTCTATTTATCGAGGAAGACTACAACATCGAAACAAAAAAGGAGGAAAAGTTCCCAAAAAAGATTAAGATACCCAAAACGTATGTATGAAAGAATAATTCCTCTTTAAATGATCTAAAAAAATGTCCCCGGTAATCCCGGGTAACAGCTTAAATTATAAAAAAAAATTGAATGCCCAAAATAACTATTCTATTCGGACGAAGTCGCCCAAACAGTTACACAAATATTTTCACTTACCTGGTTTAAAACGCCTCGTACTGAGGAGTAGGTTTCTCCTTTCACGTAGGGTGGTAGAGTAGCCGTCGAGCTAATGCTACGTAGAAAACTCTGCAGAGCTTCATATTCCTCTGAACTTTTTGTTTCTTTACTTTTGACGACTGGCTTCGGACTTTGAGACAGCATCGCCTCGTGGGCGCCATCGCTGTAACAAAATCATAATATATTCTCCATAGTAAATAATTTTATCGGTTTAAAACGCGAAATATACACATTAAGATCAAGGAGAGGTTGTAGCCACGTCTGTTTATAGCATTTGAAACGTAGGATCGTAAATCTGAACTAATTGAATAATATACGTGTATATAAAAAAATCACAATAAAGTGTTTTATTTATTAAGTACATTACATACATTTTTGCTTTTGGAAAACTCTTTTTTTGCGTGAGATATAAACCTACTTCGTAAAAAAGATATATTTAAGACTTAGTTTTGTAAGTTACTTATTACTATTTGTTTTGAAATTACAGTGTAGGTGTATTACGCAAAATCTTCTAGAGGTTAAAAACTTTAGAACAAAGGATTTCTTGTCAGATTCATTATACGCCCTTGATACCGTAGTAATTGTATATTTTGTTCATAACTATATTGTCCTCCAATATATTAATACATATATAACTTTTTATGTAATAATTTTAAATAAGTATTTATTTATTTGAACGAAATATAATTGAAATAAAACACTTTAACGGTTTAAAACGCGATATATTAGTTAAACTTATTTGGAAATGATTTTTAACTACGGCCCGACGTTTCGGATGCTTTGCAGCAGCCGTAGTCACGGGAAGACAATAATTTCCAAATAAGTTTAACTAATATATCGCGTTTTAAACCGTTAAAGTGTTTTATTTAAATGTGTACTACTCGCGTAAACTATAGACAGTACGAAATATGATTGCTATTAAATGTATTAGTAAATAGTAAAGTAGTCAATGCCAATACCTATTCTCTCTATTTGCAAATAGTATAAACACCTAAATGACTTTCTGAGCGCTAAAAATACTTCAAAGAGCTAGATTACCTATTGGTGTACCTACTATTCAGTCGAGTGCACTAAAAACATTTATATGTTATTAATTTACAACCTAACACGTAATAAGTACATAATTTACAAAATATTTTGCGTATAACTGTTACATCGTCCGATATTTAAACCTAAACAAAATAACCTTGAAAAATCATCAAAATCTACGTATTGACTATTGTCAAGCAATATAGTTTGGCAAAAATATTATATGCGACCTTGAAGACGCCAGTGAAAAGTCATTACATGATTTTATTTTTAGACGAATTGGCCTGGCAAAAAATTTCGCCTAGTTGAACGACTATAATGTTTACTAGTTACACCCGGCGAAGTTTTTTAGCATATAGCTAACTATGGCCCCTCGCGTTGGTATACCAACGCGTCCTAGATTCGATTCTCGATATTTAATAATTTTTCTATAAAATGTCAGAGCCCGCCTGGAAATAAAAATAACGAGATCTTAAACCACAGACTACACATTACAAAGCCGTTAAGTCTACGTTTTGTCTGTCTGTGTATTTTTGAAGTTCGAAAGCCGAAATAGGTTGCATCTTCTTCGGATGTTATGTGGTTGGTGTATTTCTTTCCAACGAGGGAACGTCAAGCTTATGTGTTACCGTTTGTTATAGAAATTTAATCTTTGTATTCCGTACTATAATTAAGTAAACAAACCCGACGAGGAAATAACATTTGTTATCTTTTACGAAACGAATATTGATAAAACATATAACAATACAAAATCTGTTCAAAAAGCGATATCACTTTTGTCTACGAGATAAAATCCCTGATTGATTGATTGATTGCATAACTAATCTAAGTCCGCAATAAATATACAAAGATTACCTTTTCGATTAATTTGCAGGTTCCATATTTAATGTACATTTTGTTTTTCATCTTTAAAGAAAATAATATTATATGTACAATTTTCTAACGAAATGGAATTCTTTCATGAATATTGTTATGATAAGAAAACTATTTACAGATGTGTTCTGCATTTTTTCAAAGTCCTTTTATAAGAATAACTATAATAATATTACTATTTATAAGTTCTGACTTCCGTTTCACCGGTTGAGTTTATTTACAGTTAAGTAGTTCACTAATATATCGCGTTTTAAACCGTTAAAGTGTTTTATTTAAATGTGTACTACTCGCCGTAAACTATAGTCAATATTTAGATATTTTTTTCATGATTCTGGTCCTCCGATTTGGAATTTTTTTCGTTTCACTAGAAAGTTATTAAGTAAGTATTAATGATTATCTGTTATTTTCTAATACAAAAAATTCCCTGCAACATTGTTGAACTTATTAATGCCTATACTTTGCATACAAAAGGCAAATTGCTGTAACAATTATAATTGAACTGTCGTCTATATTATTTATTATCTATTAATAACATGTACATACATGCGTCAGAGCTCCTTATACAATGTAATAATATTTTGTGTCGTCGACCCTAGTCCCTAACATGGAAGCAGTTATAGAATTTATGTATTGTCTATATTAATATTATATATCTGCAGAGTTTGTACTAACTATATTAGCTTTCTAAGACAAAGCTAGACAATAGTTGAACGATCGAATCTCACTCTGAAAAAATTTTGAATGTTAGTTAGTCAAAAAATCTCTATGGCTCAATGGTTAATACATTACGTAAAATAGCTTTAAGTGCGAGCGGTCCAGATATCAAATCCTGAAAAACAAAACAGTTAATTCTGTTTTGTTTTTCGGGAAAATTGAGGTTGATTTAATCTGGGAAGACTGCGTGCCGTATTTTTGAGCGTAGGTATATTAAAAAGTTGGGTAACAAGTTGGACAAGAGTAAACTGGAATAACAAGGGGTAGGGTGCAGGATGAATTGAAACTAGGCTGTGTGTGGGCTTCCTTAAAGAAAAGAAAGAAAAATGGACCACATCGTCACGGAATGGCGTCAGATGGAGTAAATTAAGTCATGTAAAAAGTGAAATTTTGTTTCCGCGGGGGGTCAGGGGCAAAACAATTCTGTGTCCGTACTGATCAGTTTAAATGCAAGTAGTTGATCAGACTTCTGTGACCTGCCTGACCGAATTCAAACCTAGGACCAGCGCTTAACGCTAGGCAACACGTTTAAAGGGTTTTTACAGAGGAGAGAATCGTTTGTCTAAGACAAAATACTATTAGTTCAAGTTTAAAGTAAGTATCCACACTAGGAAAAGTGTAAATAACACAGGCTTAATTTATTTTTTTTATAAGAGATTGGAGCTTTGGTTTTCTAAAAGTTCGAAAACGTTACGTCTTCCAGAATAAAACATTTTTCCTGCAAGCTATATTAGAACAGCTGTCTTTTGTTTTAATTAAATATGTATAAGGAAAAATGCTAACGAAAACTACTCATGTGTAATTCTATAAATTACTTTAGGTATGTGTTTTAATACAGTTATGGACTTTGCATCTGAACATTAAACTATAAACTACAGGTTATATCTACATTAAGATCAGAGTAATCAATCAATATTATATCCGCAATGATTAGATTATGTGTTGGTAAATAATAATATAACATGCTACCACAAATGTGCTAAAACAGACGAACCTTTGTATTTTAACGATGCGCAGGCGTTGTCGACAAGAGATCGCGTAACCGAATAATGACAGCTCCATTATATTGACTTTACCTCAATATGAACTGATTGTAAATATTAATAATCAATTAAGCGACGTAGGACATTGCTTCTGGATGTTGGTAACCGACTGACAATGTTGTTGTACGCATTTTAATTGCTTATTGTTATCTAACTAACCCTTAACCTTCATGTTCCTTCCAAATGGAATAGGGCTTACTACAGGTTAAATGTTTACCTATAGCTAATAATATTATAAAGCTGAATAATTTGTTTGAAAGCGCTAATCTCGGGCACTACTGGTTCGAAAAATTTATTTTTGTGTTATTTGGACCATTTATCGATGAAGGCTGTTGTCTATAATGAGGTGATCAATAGGAGCAAATATTCTTCTTTGAGAGTTTTGCGTGAACTGCAAAAACGGTTCAAGATACCGAAAGAATATGTACAAAAAAGCCATTGTTTTTTGTACATATTTAATCTGAATATTTTCGGGACAGTATATGTCTATCCAGTAAGATTAACTTAAAAGAACCGTTTAAATAAAACACTAAACTTTAAACGCGTATTTAGTTAAACTTATGCGAATGATTTTTAACTTCGGCCCGACGTTTCGTCACGGGGGTGACCACGGCGCTGCAAAGATCCGAAACGTCGGGCCGAAGTTAAAAATCATTTTTAAATAAGTTTAACTAATATATCGCGTTTTAAACCGTTAAAGTGTTTTATTTAAATGTGTACTACTCGCGTAAACTATAGATAGTATTTAAAAGAACCGTTCTAATCATAATCATATTTAGTCGAAATAAGTACTTCGTTTAGCAAAAGAACGTTTGCCAGCTCATTGAGTATAACATTATATGAAAACTAGCTTTTACAACATAGAACGTAATGAATACCAAAATCCATGGATTACTTATTCAACTTGGGCAGTAACAAATGAACCGTAAAAGTGTGCTCGATAGTCGATACCGTTACGAAACGTGAAAACTTGTTGTGTCGAGTTATAACAAGAATATTACAAATAACTAGTTCCATCAAAATTAATTAAATAAATTGCAGGAGGAAACACACTCTTGGCTGCCTAATGTTACTTTGGACCTTGTGTTTACGCATTTTATCGGCGTTTTAGTCTGCGATACTAAGTGAAAACCAGTAACATAATAGAATACTGTCGGAAGCATAACTATCCCGAGATTGTACTGATACTGAAAATCAATACATAATCTTGCAGGCATTGATATGACGCATACATGTTTGGTCGACGAGCCTTGACGAGCTGGTTGGTCAATAATATTATTTTTATTATACTAGCTGTCCCAGGGACTTTGTCCGCGAGAATCGTTATTTTGGGCATCCAAATCCGTTTTTGTAAACCTCGTCCGTTTTATAAACTTAACCTGTTACCCACGACGTCGGCCGCGTCCCTTCCCGTCGTTCTTACAAGTTCGTGAGTCTTGCAAATAAAAAGAGATTCCATAAATATTTTTTGGGTATCTTAGATTCGCAGAGTACTATAGCGTCG